GTGAAGACCAGCAGGAGCAACATTATACAGGGAATTAGGGACAGCTCAAAATTTCGAACGCTTCGAACGAAAGAAGGTGACAGAAAGCCGACTAGCTTCCTCGTCACGAGTCATTGGCTCGTGCCATTTCTTGTTGTAGGAATTCTATATTTCGCCGAATATAGCGATATGAATAACGTTAGACATATGGAGGACATCGAATGCGTATTTGAAAGTAATTTTCCAATGAATGATTTTGATACATTTTCAAATACACTTACAGATGATAATCTGAACATCATTGATTCCGTTGCATACATAACGGAACAGAATTATTTCCTTAACCTTAATAAAAAGTTATTAAACGAGTCAAAATCAAACAGCGTAGAAATAGATCAAGTAGTATCTAAAGTTCAGAATATAGTTAGGACTATGTTAAGTTATAGGCGCAATACTACAAAAGATATCGGAACCACAAATAGTCTTAATACTTCTGAACCGCAAAATTTGACGGAGTACATTTTAGCAAATAATATAATGAGATATATAAAAAATATTACATATATCAACAGTGTAGTTGAAGGACTAAACGATACACTAATGGAACAGGATATAAATGTCCATACGTCAGCTACAAATAACAATATATATTTGAATCAAACGATTGATTCGGAAGAACCGTTATTCTACCAAGTGTTGAAGAATGCGTCGGAAGAATTAGATGCAACTACATCTGGGAACCTGAGCAGCGTATCGCGAGGATCAGCTGAAAACGAGGATAATAGTTATCAAGAGGATGCACAGACACATTTCGCAAGTACAGAACAAAGCACAACTCAAATGACTGCCACGAATGCTTTCGTGCAAAATGCAACATTCGTTTCCACCAATCGAATATATGGCGAGATAATGAAACGTATTCAAGCTGCCAGTGTACATTCGGCAGCGAAAAATCAATATAATCGCTCGGTGAGTCGACCCAAGGATGGGGAACAGCCTAAGAGGAAGCCGACGTCAATCGAGGATCTATTCTCCGACAAAAGGGATACGCGCTACGTTAATACTGAGACAAAACAGAGCAGTTCCCCGCATATGACCAACGAATGCCTCATTTCGACCAGGTTCTTAAAATTACAGCTGTTTGTGTCATCTTTCGCGGTATACTTCCTGCCGATTCTGCTCTCCTGTATCCTACAAATGCGAGGAAAGCACACGTGTAAGGATACACTTGCGATATTAAGAACAAAAATCGATCTTCCCTCGACGGATAGTAAAAAGATTCATCATCAAGATTCAGCAGAAGGATCCAGCACGCCACAGGACGTAAGAAACGACGATAGCGGAACGGATACAGATGCGATAAAGCCGATAAAAAAGGATCATGAAAGTTGCAGGGGAAATGAAAGTATAGCCTTAGAGATAGAATGTATGGTAAGAATATTCAATGTTATCAAGTTATCATTAATTTTGTGCGTAGTTCTCTGGACTCCGGTATTCTTAGAGACTCTACTGAGAGTATACTCGTGTACTCATGTGCCTCAATGGTTAACCGATACAACATTCTTAAGCGCCTTTTCTTTCGGTATCGTAAGAAATGCTTTGAATATAAATATAATTAGAATTCAAGAAGCTTGCAGTGACGCTGGTACGAAAGAGAACAAGATACATCCAGTTGAATAATAAGCTTAATAGCTAATATGTACGTCAGCAAAAGAATAGGTATGGATTCTCAATCAGTAAACTACTATGCATGTTTGGCTGAGCTTGAATTTTTTTATTTACTGGGATGTAAAAATCCAGACCCAAGAGACTACTCCTGGGTTAATAATACCAGTATAATAATAATAATGACAGTACGCACACTAATCACGAATACGTGACTTTGTATAATTACGTATATACATTTTGCACGCGTGAAGCGTGAAGCGTTTTTGGTGCATGTTTTTTGAGGAAAGAAGACCAACCGCAGAAAGAAGAGACGTGTTTTATATCGAAAGTAAAAAAAATATCTCTTTATGTACAAAAGCATTAGAACGCGCGTGCGACTGAACTCTACGCGTAACGAAAATATCTCTCGTACTGGGTAAAATAAGTACGCATACGTCGGGTAGGTAATCACATTTTACTCTAGAAGCGCGTTTTCAGCGCAAATATTTGCAGACGCTTGTTACAATAAAAATTGTCGCGAAAGTGCCCATATGCGACGTGACTTAATTTGTAAGGACTAAGGGTACGCATTGATAGAGACGTGTTAAGACGTTCGCTTACTGTGCACTAATCACTTATCGCAAGTAGAATTTCGGTCGCTTATTCGCTATGCAGACTGGACGCAGTGGACGCAGTGGACGCTGTGGACGACCGTCGGAAGGGTCCGAGATATCGCGCCGCGGCCGCGGATGCTCCCTGGGTTTCGCGTTTCGCACCGTCACGGAAGCGAGTGCATCGGTCACGCGAACGGATTCCTCCGATTCCCGTCGCAGCTCGCGATAGCGACCAGTAACGCAGTAACGGGTTTAATGTAATATAACACAACAATTAACATCAGAGGCGCAAGTACTGTGCGCTGTGCGCACGTCACGAGCCCAACTTAACCTCCTCGCTCGGCAGGCTCGGCGCTCGGCGCTCGGCTCGCTCCTCGTCAGCGCGCTTAACAATGCGCGCGCAACTTACATACGTGCACATATCGACAAGTTGACGTTTTAACGCGTATCGCACCTCGCACCCGCACGACCGTGCGCGTTTCTGATATTCCGTTTCGAACTCGCGCAAGGCGTTCCTCGTGCCGATCTCTTTTAACAGGGAATCTCGATACATCTTTAAATAAATCATTATCAAGTTTGATACAGTTTGGTAAACGAAATTTAGTAAAATTAATTAAAAACTTGCCGACAGCTTTAAATGTCGCTGGCGCATTTTAAGTATCAGGATTTAGAATAATCTAATTAAATTAATTCAGCGAGGCAGATTTATTTTAAAAACAGTTTACAACTTACTTGGTTTTATATATGTATACGTATGTATGCGCGTGCGTGCGTGCCTCAGCATTAACAGCGATGCAAGCGAGAATTATCCTCTTTTCGCTTGTACCTCGTACATTTAGTTCCGAGATACTTACCCTGTGAGTATCTACGTATATTCCAGTAATCAGCAATATTACACTTTTAACTGGACGAAGCGATATGAACGTCATTATTGTTATCATTGTACTGTAGCAGAATATTATCTCTGGATTATAATAATTTGATGTAATGCGTACACCCTACGTAGTAGTAGTTAAAAACGAACATTCTCATAATACACCATACAGTAAACAAAAAGAACGTGTTATTTATATGATATATATTCAAAACGCAAGGCGTGGACAGCAAATAGACAAATACAAAATGAAAAGAGCGAATACATTGCAGTTAGTCGATTTCAGTTGACCAACGATAAATCTAATGATTGGATCGCGCTAACAAAGCTCTATGATCTGTTGCAACGTGCGTCGTAGATCCGTACCGTTCTCCCACGGTATAATTTTCGCCTTCACCGACCTGGAGGTAGACGAGTTGTTGAGCTGGGTGGCGAGCGGATAATCCTTACGCGGACATGCCAAATCGACTTGAGAGAGACGCAAAATCGGACAGAGATCGTTATACCCGTCGCCGATGTAGACACGTCTCTCGTAGCTCTTGCTTTCCTTGCGTTTATCCTGAATATAGTCCATCAGGATCTGGCCCTTGCAGAGATTGACGGAGCTCATCTTACACGAGTGCTGCGTGTGATACGCGTCCACCCTCAGCCTGCCATCGTCGTCGTATCGGCCCAGGTTTGTGAAGACCCGTGACACCACGTGTTTCAGCTGTCTGTTCCTGAGCCAGTAGTCTATGAATAGGCTGTTGGAGTCGCTGATAATGATGATCTCGTGACCGTTGGCGTGCAGGGAAGTGAGAAGCTCCGTCATCCCCGCAACCGCGGGTATACTGACAATAATGTCCTCGATTTGACTCGCGTTCACGGAGTTGTCGTGCAGGAGCTCAAAGATCTTGTTCATGTAGGGCAACCAGCCGTCGGATTTCCGTAGATTCTGCACATTCTCGGGTATTGCTTCCGTCAGCAAGTTTTGCACTACCACGTCGGTGTTGTCCTCGCAGATGGTGTGATCAAAATCGATCGCCACGAGCACGCCACGACCCATCTCTGTAATAATTAAAGCATACGCGTCGCGTTATACAGCCGCCGAGAATCGAGATCTCTGCCAAGCTTTATAAAGCCCGATATACTTATTGAGACATTAGTATACGTTCAACGCGCTAGATAACTTGTTAAACAAACGTGGTCATATGTGTAGGGTGATTTATTTAACTTAAACATCTTTACTTTATTTGAACAATAGGAAAAACTTGAAGCTCTCTCTGTTTATCGCATATATACCAAGATTTACTTATATTGCAGTTTAAAAACTGATATCGTTGCTATGTGCATTATAAGTTTTTTGGCCTGTGTCATCTCCATTTCTCTCATTTTTCACTTCGGTCTTAAATGATGCGTTGAGCGTTACACAGATAGCTGAATAACGTAGGTGTATAGTTGCGTCGTTCGATCGTTTTCTTACGGATTTATCACGTATCCGGAGTCAAATGCATTTCTTCCTAAGATTATTGCTCGCTTTCACCCGTTTTATTTCCTTCATTCGTTGTTTATGACAGGATTCTTCGAAATTAAATCTAATTAAATTAATTAAACTCACTTGGCGGATAAGTAGATTGAAGAACCTGCAGCCGGATAAATACTGACCCTACTGACAGACGAAACTTTGGTGCGGGCACTCTTGTAAAAGATCTGTGCCAGAATCAGCCAGAACCGCCAGAACTGAACAAATAAGTGACGAGAATGTCACGTTTTTGTATTACGATCCCGAAATACGTGTTATGATTGTGTTAAGAAATACTTTTTGGCCGACGAGCAGCGTCAAGCGGTGGCGTTGTGCCACATTCTAACCGCATCATGCGGACGTGCGTTCGACTTTCGACTCAATTGTCAGTTCGACCGCATCACCGCATGTGCTTGTTGTGCTTTTGGGTTTTGGCCCTTCTGGCACATAATCGATATAACCTCCAAGAAGTGTCAATGTCAAGAGACCGAAGAGACGGCGCAAAACAACGAAAAAAAGTCTACAATACCGAGTCGACTGATATCGAGCATCCTTTGTCTCGTTTTTCTCCGCTCAGCGCTCTGTATTCTGTATCGGACTTTCGTAAACAAACAAACGCAAGTTAGGTAAACGGCGTCCGTCGTCCGTAAACAGTAAACACAGCCGGCACAGCGCACAGCGCACGCGTAGGTCTCGCGTAGCCGGTTGCCGTGGTTGCCGCCAATCCCCCGGCGTTTTGTCCGTCCTTTTCGCTGCCAGCTACCAGCTGCCATTCACTAATCTCACTTTCGACTTTTTCGAGAGAATTGACACAAGTTTTCTTTTCTATCTTCTCGATCGTCGCGCCGTAACGATGTCGAAGTACAAGTGTTTGATGCCCGCTGGTATGTCTGATGACGACGATGACGATGACGATGACGACGATGTCTTCTTCCCTGAAGAGAAGGTACGGTTAATGCAGTCAATGCAGAGATACATATACAATTTTTGTTCAACTATAAACAGCCCCGTACCTTTCTCACCTCGTTCCCCTTACAGAAAGAACCCGCCGAGAAAGCCCACACAGAGAGTTATACTCCAAGAAAGGACTCGACGAAAGAGGAGACGAAGGGCATCGATTTCGAGGTATACAATGAGGAACGTGTCTACGAAGATCGCCTTGTAAAAGCCTGTACAATGGGACATTTAGGAGTGATACAGGAATATTTCCAACGTAAGCGTCATTACGTCGCTGTTCTCATATCAATCAGATTCTTGATTCAACGCATTTTCCTCTCCTTTATGCAATTAGTGTAATCTTATACATTATTTAAACACTCGTGGATTGTGAAGTGATATCGACATCTTTTTCTTTCTCTTTCTCTCTCTCTCTCTCTCTCTCTCTCTCTCTTTGGTGTTAAATACATATTACCAAATAGAGATTATTATATCAAATGTTTTTTATGTAGAACATGATGTAGAGCATGATGTCAATAAGTTCCTGCATACTGGATGGACTCTATTGTTATATGCGACTTCATCGGTGGAACCAGAAATAGTAGAGTATCTATTGTTACACGGTGCAAACCCGAATAAGCATAAAGGTATGGATTGATGTTATTGTATTCATTCTTTTGAGTTTAGCGTAAGATTTATGTAATCACCGACGTGTACAGATGGATTCACACCTCTCATGGCACTGTGTAATTCCATGAAGGGAACGACAAAAAAATCTTTAAAATGCCTTGAACTTCTGATGCAAGCAAAAGCTGATGCAAATGTTACAAATAAGCGGAGGTAAAATGTAAACGTAATACTATATAGATGAGAAATCTCTAGAAACTAATGTCTGATATTAAAATTATTATTACTATTACTGCCTTGGTTTAATAAGCATTAACATTCACACGTTTTGCAGGGAAACAGCTCTAATGTACGCATGTATGTCGCAGGACGCGGACGTCGTCATCGAGCTTGTAAAATACGTACAAAACATTGATGCAAGTGACAGCGATGGAAAAACTGTAAGTTTTTAGCGCCATTAGACACGTCCGAAGTTTTTCCTATATAAATTCTCGATTCGATTATAGGCATTGATCTATGCTGCTGCAGCTAATAAGCCTGATATTATCAGAATTCTTTTGGCGCATAATGCAAATACTTCACTGACAGACATATACAATTTATCTGCCAAGGATATCGCGGATACAAAAGGATTCACCGAGGTAATTTACATCTGTGCTTCATCAATAAACTTTTTATTTTAATTCTAAAATATTTGTCCCGCCGTTTAGGTATCCGCTCTATTGGACAAAGATGAAGAAGAAGTGATAACTTGTTGCAAGATATCCGAAGTGATAACTTGGAGAGATTTATTTCCAAATTTATATCCTAGAGAAAAGGAAGCTTTAGATTATGATATATCAGTGATGCTATGTGGAATGGGCTTGGAAAAATATGGGATTTTATTTCAAGGAATGGATATTAAAACTTTTTTGCAGTTGACAGAAGATGATCTTTGTCGCTTAGGAATTGATATTACTGTTCATAGAGAACAATTCCTAGGAAGTCTTGACAAATTTCACAGCAAAAAGTGGCGTATAGATAGTTTTGGCAATATTAAGAAAACGGATTCATATACGTATGTTTTATATTTCTTTATATTATTTGCATAGGATATTTGAGACAAAATGATTAATATCGATAATTATATACATATACATGGTTGCAGAATTTACAACGGTGTGATATCATTAACAAATGCGAAAAAGCAGATTGGCGTGATAGCTTCTAGTTTCCAATATATCAAAAATAATTTGCTGAAAGCTGCGAGCGAAAATATCGTTTTGTCGCCTGTGAAAAGAACGGAATATGAAGAAGAACTGAGAAAAACGCAAAAAACTTTAAAACTCTTAAAGAATGAGATAATAAAAGTTAAAAAATTAGCTCAAGAGGTATTACAGAGCTAATATAAAATTTAAGTAATACACGTTTATCACTGTTCGATACTCATCATATTTACATTGCAGATCGATAAGGAAAATAATATCGGTGTACCAGCAACTTGGATTAATCCCAAGAGTAAATCCGGTTGGACTATAACAATAAGCATTACATTAATGGTAGGGCTATACTTATGCAAAAGAATGTATATTCAAAGATTATGGAATATGTATAACATTAGGATATCCTCGGTGCTTCGTTTTCCAACGAATTTATCACATTTTTTCGAATAAATTCAGATGTTACATTGTTTCATAGAACAAATGAGCTTATAATATATATATATATATATATATATATATAATTACAACGTAAAATTTAACTCTTCTAGTTCGTATACATTTGGAAAAATATGTTTATATTAGAAATATACAATTTTTTATATTATATTTATATGCAATACACATTTTATTGACTTGAGTGTTCTCTCAAGTTAGCTAATTTCATCATCAGTGGAAAGAGAGGGTGAAACGATGGAAGATTTTGTTGACGGATTGTTAACTGATAACGTTCCAATGGTCCACTGCACAGCGCTAATCTGTCTCTTTCGTTCGGATGGCTGTCCATCCACTGAGATAATCGACCTACAGACCATCCAGCGCTCTGTGTGATGCATATAAAATTTATAAAATTTTTTTAAAATTAAATGTAATCGTCTCTTTTCCAACTCTCTTTTAACTCTACAAAATAAATTTTTATTTAAGAAATCTATTTCACCTGATGCGGTGACGCTAATTCAGGCGGCGCGCCAGAAAACAGATGCAGGAGAATAAGGGACGGCGATACGCTACTCTCTCCCTGCCCTTCTAGAATTTTGTCTACCATTTCCTCAGGATTGAGGGGAAGTAAAGTTTTTAGCGCTCGCAAAGTTCTGTATTGCTGTTGCTCAAGCAGACCCATCTGGCCACCACGGCATAACGGCGTCACAGCTATTTCCATCTAAAACTTTCAATCTGTTTCTCACATGCATCTACTGACTACTCGATACGTCTGTCTTTACGTAAAAGCGACATACCTGAGCAAAATCTACCAAAAGTTTCGCTTTTCCAAAATCAGTCAGAGGTCTCAGCAAGCAAGCATGACGCACAAATAACTCGATGCATCTTGACGCGACAGCTTTACAACTTTAATGATATTAACATTTTAATAATTTGTTACCGATGACCGACGGACAAAGAGAAACAAAAGTAGAGTGTAACTTACCTTTCAGCTACAACCACTTGATTTTTGTACGGTAGTAAAAATGTATTCACGGATCGTAAAATAAAGCCTTGTAATTCACGCATGTAAAGAGAACAACCGATTTCCTTTCCCAGAGGGCTGCTTGTGCTAATATGTAATCAAAATATCAATGTTATGCGTTGAGATCAGATCGGTAGATAAAAATAAGGTAGATAATAAAACGTGAGACTTATATAATAAGGACTTACTCTCTAAATTCGGGATCATCGTGCATTGTTAAAATAATACTTTCGATTGCATCGCTAATAGAAGTTAACAACGGCGCGAGCAAGTTCTTCGTTAATTCGTCTGTTTCCTTGAGCGCCGTGGTAATGACAACGCTCCCTTCGGAGGGTAAACCCCCCGCCAGATTAGCTATTACTCGATTTGTCTGGCTAGAAAGATAATGGAGAAGATTGCCGAGCGTGACATTTGTCTGCTGACCAGTAGTCGGGGAATCGATTACTTGGCTGGCCTCGCCACCGGTCACCACACTTTGCTCGCATTTTAAGCAGAACAGTCTTATTGCTTTTCCCACATTACGTGACACCACGGTCGAGAGTCCATCGTCCACCAGTGATACGCTTAGTTCACTAGACGCGAAATATATTTCTGTTATAAATTGTCTTCAATGAATGAGACATATGTAGGAAACATGTCAGACTTACTTTGTAATCATACGTATGAGACTGTCAATTTCGTCGTGTGTCGGCAAACCTTCTCCAGAAAACATATTGTGAACTGGATCCAGAAGACGAGATACCGAGCGCGATAAATATGCATTTTCGAATGGTAATAAAACATTACGCCTATATATTAAAGATATATATTAATATAAAATTTCATATATGGTTATTTCAATTTATATGACATATACTTACTCGATACCATAAATCCCAATACTGTGAGATCTCTCTTTTAAGCGTTTACTCAAATCTAAAAATATTCTTAAAAATTTTGGATACTCTCCTTCTAGGGCTTGTTTTACAAATGACGATCCTGTAAGATCATTGAATTGATACTTTCTTTGAATTAAATTCGGTATTTAATATATATTTATAGTTTACCTTGAGCACGTTCAATCAAGACTTTTGCAAGAAGAGCGTTTACCTTGTCCCAAAATTTCTCGGACAAATCGTGAAACCCTTGCATATGGTGTTCCAATAATACTCTTTGCAGCAATTCAATCTGAATATAAAATAGCATTGTATGAAAATGGCTGAATTAAAATTTTATATTGAGTAAAATGCATATTGAGCAAAACGTTGTCAATTTACTTGCAGACAGTGCGTATATAAAGTATCTTGGAAAAGACGTTCGAGATTTTCCCAAATTCTCGTGCGTAAATTCCCGGACGATCCGGGCGACGGAATCGTAGCTCTGCCCGGCGCTCCGCGTTTCCCAAAGTCCTGATTCGTCACCAAAGATACATCTAACGATTCTGTGGAAATTCTTTCTATTTCAGCCAGGGTAGAGTCTATAGTTGTGTCTACGGCGCCGCCTATTATTCCCAAGTTTTGAAAGACCTGCACAGCCGTGCTCACCTGTCCATACATATACATTAGTGTAACTATTATAATTATAATGAAATAAAAGTTAATTATATTTCGTTTGTAGATTCAGATTAAAAACATTATTAGTTGTATATGACACCTTCGTTCTGTCCATCGTCTGTAAACCTTGCGTTAACGTATGAGTGGCTATTCTTTGTACTGTAGCTCTCTGAGTCTTTACAGCCTGCTGGTCATCTGCGATTACATCTAGGCCGTTAAGATCCGTGTCTGCCATTAATTGTTCTGTATATATATATATATATATAAATTTCATAATGTAACTTATTGGTACACGTAAGATTAAATGATGAAATGAAGAAAACAATAGAAAATTATATGTATACCAAGCTCGTGAAGACTATTAGCAGCTTTAACGATATCTGGCCCTTGAGTAATGCTACTCATTTGAGAATTTAAACGTTTCGACAAATGTTGCATCCTAGAAACTCTTCTTAAAAGATCGGAGGTTTCGTGAAGCCGTGCTAGTACAATCGTTTGCATTTCAATTCTATTAAATGGATCGATAATCTTGCCACGCAATCGCTCCACTGCCGACAAGAGGCTCTGAAACAAACATTATTATATTTCGTGTTGCTTTTTAAAATCGAATTGATATTGATATTAACGTTTCCTTGCTCACTTGTATATGAGACTGCATTATAAAAAGCACTCCTTCTAATTTCTCCACCCATGTTGCTTGAGATAGTAAATCTTCGTGATTCGCAAGTACTTGCCTTTGCAGCTCGGCATTCAGCACCTCGATAGCTATAGAAGCAGCGTTTACCGTTTCAGTATTTCAAAGCAATTTAAATAAAGCGCTATGTAAACTTTACCTTGTCCTAATTTGTTTAATTGTTGAGCCACCGACAACAATGGCTCAACAACATCTGTCTTTTTGAAATCAACATCCAACAGCTGTTTAAAGAACTCTGAAATTGATGTATATTTTGTTAGCTATACAATAGCGGATATTCATATAGAGATAAATTCTTATTTGACAGATACAAGTTTTCCAACTTACTATCGTTTTCAATATCTTCCCAACTTGATATTTCGCTCATTTTTCGATAAGTCCGTCAGCATCGAAACAGAGTGACACATGCACCTGCATGCACCGCACGCACATGTATGCCGATGCGACACACATACAAAAAGGTTCTCATTGGCCACGTTTAATTTGCAACAGTGGACTAGGACTCAATTGACCACGTCGTCAATTGGCTGATTCAAAATAAAAATATCTGATTGGCTGGTCCAGTGGAAAAACTCTAGGCATCGGAGGCTGTGAGTGGCTGTGGTCAATCGCAACGCGTGACGTCAAACGGGACGCTCCCCAATCCCCAAGAGCTGCACGTGGCCATTTTTTTACATTACTGATTACTGTGATTACTCTAGGTGCGTTGGTGCGTTGGTGCGTTTCGAAACGCGTCGAAAAGGAAACATTTTCATCTTCCAAGCCAAGCCTGTGTATTATCAGCATATTGTTACATATATTTACATTTTACATGAAACATTTCTGATTTTGTGTATTAACGTTGAAATTAATCACATTTCCGTAATTAAAAATTTCCAGCCTCAAACATATTTGTTATTCATAAACATGATAAATAGTCTCTTTATTATAAATTCTTCGGGGTAAGTGTCAAAGCACGTAGGACAAAGTAAACTGCAAGTTTGACAGATTACTTGACAAATTGTGAATTAGCATTTCCCATGTGGAGTAAATGTTTTCTGTCAATGCTGCTAAACTATTTTTATATTTGTTACGCGACATGTGTTATTCTATTTCGTTTTGTATGCACACAGAGATGTTTTCATGGAGAAACATTGGAAGAGTGCAGTCGCACGTTCGCTTTGTGACTATTTTTTTGATCAGCAGCGAAGAGTCTTGTCTCCGGAGGACACACCGCCGGTGATAGCTACTCCACATCATTATCTTATTAGCATATATCGCTGTAATATGTTTTTTGTGGCAGTGTGCATGACAGAGGGTAATCTTAACTTGATAAGCAATGCCATTTATTATAAGATTTGTATATAGAGTATTAATATAAATATTCTTTGCTTTTTTCCAGTTCCACCATTATTCGTCATCGAATTCTTACACAGGGTAGTGGATACCTTTGAAGATTATTTCAGCGAATGCACAGAAACTATTATAAAAGAAAACTATGTGGTGGTATACGAATTGCTGGACGAGATGTTGGACAATGGTTTTCCTCTGGCGACAGAATCCAATATATTGAAGGAGTTGATCAAACCACCCAATATTTTACGCACTATAGCGAATACTGTTACAGGCAAATCCAAGTAAGTACATCTCAATCACAAGACGTACAAGCATTTATGTTAAACGTTTACATCAATACAAGATGTATGCGTAAAGGATTATTTTATATTTTTTGTAAATTTATTTATATAGCGTTAGCGCAATCTTGCCAAGTGGACAACTATCTAATGTTCCTTGGAGACGAACTGGAGTAAAGTATACCAACAATGAAGCTTATTTTGATGTCGTCGAAGAAGTAGATGCGATTATTGATCGAACTGGAGCGACAGTGTTTGCAGAAATTCAGGGCTACGTATGTTCTATAGCGTCCCACATAAATATTAATTATATAACATATTAACATATAATTAATTTTTTAGGTTGACTGTTGTATAAAACTAAGCGGTATGCCAGATCTTACCCTTTCGTTTATGAATCCAAGACTGTTCGACGACGTGAGCTTCCATCCTTGCGTTCGATTCAAAAGATGGGAGGTATATACGCGAATAATGTAACGTTATATATTTGTGAAAATTAATTATTAAGTTTATATATATATATATATATGTATGCCTTGTTTTAGTCGGAGAGGATACTTTCTTTTATTCCGCCCGATGGTAACTTTCGCCTCCTTTCGTATCACATAGGATCGCAAAGCATTGTGGCAATTCCTATATACGTAAGACATAATATTAGTCTAAAAGAACCAGGAGGTGGTAGGTTAGACATAACTGTTGGACCAAAACAAACTATTGGTAGGACAGTAAGTTATCTTTTTTTATAGATATATGTACGGATATGACATACATTAATTGTAAGTTATCATCATTACAATTATTATTACTAATTATTATTAATGTTATAATTATAGGTTGAAAATGTGACTTTAGAAATTCCAATGCCAAAGATAGTTTTGAATTGCACTTTAACTCCAAACCAAGGAAAATATTCGTTTGATCCCGTCAGCAAGATATTGCTATGGGATATTGGAAGAATCGACGTTTCAAAGCTGCCAAATCTAAGAGGATCGGTAGGATAATTATAAAGCTTGTAGAAAATTGTATATCTATAAATAATGATTGTGCATTATACAAGATTTTATATTTCAGATTACAATACAAAATTCAACGGCTGTTACTGAATCAAATCCTGCCATTAATGTACGTATGATAATGCCACATTTTAATACAATAAATCTTAATAAATCTTTAATTCTTTATCAAACGAGATTGACACGTTAATACCTTGTTTTCAGGTGCATTTTACGATCAATCAATTAGCGGTATCCGGACTGAAGGTGAATCGGTTAGATATGTATGGCGAAAAGTATAAGCCATTCAAAGGTGTCAAATATATTACTAAAGCTGGCAAATTTCAAATAAGAATGTAAATATACTAAAATTATAAATTATTCTTTTTACGTTACAATAGATTATGTGATATGTATTCTATTACATTGTTATATCAACAAATTAAACGTGGTGAATTTACATGACATTAAAAGTATAGCTTACAGCTTAGTTTGTTACTTAATTTACTATGTAAAAAAGTAATGTACATTAATACAGAATTATGTTGAATAAATACCTTTAAACGATTTAAAGTAATTGAGAACCAAACATCTGTTCTATACCATATATGCTACGAGATCGTGATGTGAGGAAGGATAATTTAAACAGTTTTAATAATAATTCTGCTATAAGAAAATTAAACGTTGTCAAAGAAGAATAAAGCACACATAATACTAGGACCATATCGAAAATTCTTTATATTGACGGTTGACATAATAACTTTTTTGCCTCCAAATCTTCCCACGTTGGATGAGTGGCATATGTGTATAATCGCTCCATATTTGTAGCGTATATGGTGTGATTGCTAACAAGATTTTTATAAATCTATTTGGGAAAAAAAAACCAGTTAAAATATATGATCTTGACATGTAAAACGTGATGAGCAGAGGAACAGACTTTTTTTTATTATTACCTTTAATGCATACTGCAAATCAGCCGTGCTTACTGGTTTTAACGGTAGACGAGTGGTTTGCGTGGAACAAGCGTATGAAAAAGCAGTAGCTTGTTCGGCTTCTTCAAAGCTTGATTTCGACGCAGGGATTTGGCCATAAGGTTCTATTACTTCTGTCGGTCTGTATTTTAAAATGGATCCAATATTAAACAAGTATATAACATCAAAATTAGCGCTTGCAACTTACCCGGACGTGAATGGATTTATGTACATGGAATTTCTTTTCCACGAGCTAGGTACTGGTTCTCCTATATTATAAATAAAAGAGCCCTCTCGAACAGCGTATCCTTTTCTACGTGTGAAAATTGCAGTAAGTATATTTTTCAAGAAAATTTGCGTTGCCGCTATAACAATATGCGCGGTATTCTCTTCAGCTCCGTCCATATTATTTTCCCATGCCGCGAGCATTAATCGAGCTAATACAAAAGTGCGATCTGGCAATACAAGTTCTTGGGCGCTAGAGCGATTAGCGCCTATAGGTTCGTCTCCGACCGGCGATGAGGCTTGACCCAATACCTCTACATACATGTCCGCTGGCTGTTATAAAGAAACAATATAAATGATAGTATTTTTATATATTATTGATGTTGCGATATTATAATATATAACACACATTTACAAACCTCAAAGTTTGATTTATCAGTCTTGTATTTGCGTTTCAGCCTTAGTCTTCTCTCTTTTGAAACTTTATCCCTATCTACCTTGGTTGGCGTAACGGCGGCTAATCCGCGAACTTTATTAAAGAGACACAGCAGGAACTCGTTATGCAAGTGAACTTGATCATCTGTCATGAGATTACGAGCCTCAGAATCAAATTCTTCTTTTGTAGTCTAAAACAATACATGTATATGTATAATATGCGAAATATATATATATCTGACAATATCTGACAAAGCTAATTGCAAAATTATACCTTCATTTGGAACCACAGCTTCATCTTCTCGAAATATCTATTAATAATCATAAAAATAAAATTATAAACTACAGTTTTATAGGTTAAGTGTGTCCTTCATATATTAACGTTCCATGTATACACGTCTCGTTCTTTAAAATAGAAAAACTTACAATTTTGCGTTTTCGCCGAGTGATGCCACGAGAGTCTTCCTAGCCAAATTTAAATCCTTTGAACTAGTCATTTCTGCGATTTTTCTCTGATTTCTCGTCACTGCGTATGTACAAGCGTTTTGAAGTCGAGAAATTAGGTTAGGATAGACTTAAGTTTGGTTATAAAATATAATTACAGAATCAAATCGGAATTATAGCCTGTTAGCAGTTTAAATAAATAAAAAACGCGTATAAAAAAAACATGGGATTAAAAAATAGAAAATCATAAAAATAGTTGGTTTAGAAAATTTTAATTTTATTTTTAATGTAAAAATTATATACAAATTTTATAAATAATAGTTTTGCTAGAAATCTCTGCGCATTTGTCAATAGACTGTTTTCTTACAATATTATGCAAAAATATAATACAGAGAGCATATTGTTATAACTTAAACGTTACACAGAATCTTTATCAAATGTAAATAGGAAACTTATATTTACCATTATATAAAGTGAAAAAAGTTGTTAATATTTGTATATACACATATCCAATAAATTTAATCCTTTACAATAGTTTTTCCTATACAATTACGATACTTTCAACTGTTTTAAAACTCTACTTAATTAATATGTCTCTCTCTCTCTCTCTCTCTTCTGTATTGGGCAAAATTACTTTAAAGTTCGACGCATGTGAGATATCCTACTTCTAATTACAATCATTTTTCGAGTATATACAATTTATCAAAGAAGCTACCATTTTCTTCCAAGCCAGTCTTCGGAATTCTTTTTTCTATTTTTACGACTTTTCTTCCTATGTCATCTGATTTCCTTGGATGGAGCTTTTGACCGAATGAGATCCCACGTTATCAATGAAGTATTCGATCTCGTACATAAATCCATGATAAGCGGACTGTTTCTTACATCGCGCATCGCTCCTAAACAGGTTCCTGTTGCCATGTTGTAGATAGGTGTGCCATTCTATAACAATAAAGCATTTAATAATCTCAGTGTTGATAAACTTCCATTGCTATTATAATATCTAATATTTAATATCTAATTGCTATTTATTAAACCGATAAGCACTTGCACTTGCACTTGTAAAAAAAAAATTTCTGTATATCTAATAACGATTGTTGTAAAAAAAGAAAACATTTTCTACAAGTTTAAAATTCGTAACGCAAGCGTTCAAGAACTGCTGCATCAAGAAATCTTACAACGCGCTTATGACGCCAATCTTGGCTTCCTCCCATCTCATGACACTTTCCAAGTTTTGGAATCTTCTCGGCTCCTTCCATGCAAAGCATCTGACCAAGTACCAGTTCATTTTTATCGGTCTCATACCACATCTGCAAGAGTAATGATTGTGATGTGATTTATATATACGTAAATTTGAAAAATAACAAAATTCATATCTTCCTTTTCTCATTTGATAATAATAATCTATACCTGTGATTTAATTCTTAAACAAGGCATTAAAATAAGTTTCGAGCCTTTAGTCTTGATATCCTTTTCACTCTGGATACAGAACGCGGTATTTGAAAGTCTGATTTGATACTGATCGGTATAATTCCTCTTCCTCGAATGCCAAGGTTGCATCGGTCTTTGATCAAGCTTGGCCCATTTATCCTTCAGTCGCCTTTCCGTATCATCTGGCAATGTTAATTCAGGATAAACCACCTTCAAGTACCAGTCGAATGTTTTGCACTTTAATCTCTGGCGCAACGCTAATCGTTCTGAGATATCGCCATAATCAATCGTTTTAGCGTTTTTCAGAAAGTAATCTTTGTATTCATCCATCCACACGTGCGCGACTCGCAAAGAATTCTTTAACATGGTGTCATGCGGATCGTCCGAACCGTACGGCCGTCGTCTTCTAAATACATGACCTACTCGCGAACAGGGAATAAGCTCGATACTGCCACCACACATCCATATCTAAAAACAAAAAAAAGAAGAAAAAATTAATAACATTGTTTTGCGATACATATATGGCAAAATAAGTATAAAAGAAGATACAAAATATTTACTCGAAATGATATTTCAAGATTCTCTCCACCCCAAACGTCCATACCGACATCGTATTCTCCCATTTTTGTAAAATATTCTCTATCAATAGCGAACAATCCTCCGGCCATAGTCGGCGATCTGTTTATTAATAAAAAGTATTTATTTATACAAAAAGTCTGTGATTATATATAAAAATTATAAATATATTCTCTTATAAAGAAATTACGTGATACAACTGTATGTATAAAGTACTTGATGTCTTACTTGATGGGCTTTACAAAATCGTCGTCATATTTTAATGTTCCAAGTGGTAACGTGTCCCATTTAAAATGGAGACCCCAATTAAAGCCACCTCTCACTAAGGGACTCCCAGTGTACTGAAACGTATCTGCATTTATAATATCGATCACGGGCATCGGTACGATATTTCTCGAGTAAGCGATCCTTGAGAGAAGTGGCTCTATCCACATTTCGTTTACTTCTATGTGACTGTCCAAAAAGATCAAAACTTTGCCGGTCGCTTTCCTAGCTCCAAACACCCGCGCTCTGATCAAACCTTCCCTTCTCTCGGTCTTGAACACGCGTATTCCGTCATTGAAATTGTTTTTAATATATACTTTTATCTTTTCGTGCAACGTATCGCTGTCGCTATAATCGTTGACTAAGATAATTTCATGCAGAAGCGTCGCTGGCGTTCTCTCGAGCACGGTATGCAAGGATCGCAACAGGGTCGTATAATGTTCGTTGTAAAAACAGATGATTATACTGGCATTTGGCAACGTGGTAGGATATTTTTGCGCTCCGCACAATTTGTGTCTCGTGTCCGGTATATTTCTTCGCACACCGAGATTGTCTGATATCAGAACGTTAAAGGCATAGTTCTTATAACCCTCGTCTCTCTTTCGTTGATCCTCCAAATTTTTTACCATGCCTAATTCATCTAAACCTATTAAAATATTTTGTTCGGTTACTTTCTCAAGTTTGACAATTTAATTATGAAAGAGAGAGAGAGAGAGAGAAAGAGAGAGAGATCTGGAGTATTAAGACTGGTGATACCTTGATCCAAAGTGACTGCAGGTTTTACCGGTGCAGGCTGCAGTTGCTGGAAGAGCAGATCGTTGTTCCTGAGATTTTGATTGCCCTTGAAGTTGTAGGCTTCCTTACCAACCAAGATTTGCTTCTCGTTGCGCGCAACGACAACATTGTCGCGTAGCATCATCTCCTTGTCGATCCTTTCGCCACGCGTGGAAACGCCAATCCCAGGCACCAATATCGTAGGACTGGCAGTGATAGCATTTTCCGACAGCCTTGAGTAAAGATACAAACTGAACGCCCATGTTAGAGAGGCTATCACTATTCCCGACAGGAACGATACGTATCGCGTTGATATCATCTGTCAGAGAAAATCAAGGGTCAAAGGATCAACTAGTGTTTTCTATTCTCAAAGAAATTGGCCGAGATTAATTCTCGTCTGTACGACGACTGACGAGAGTGACGAGTATAACCGTACTCACCTCACGCTTATAACTCAACTGCGCGCTTACGTGCGCTTGAAATATATTTAAATAATTTTCTTAGAACGCGCGCATCTCTCTAAAGGCAGGTAGCGATCTTTAATTGACCCTACTACTATTGACAGATTGACAGCCGGGCGCAAAGCGCAAGTACGTCGCCATCTTTACAATATTGATCACGTGGGGGCGGCCGAGGACATTGACATAACAATACATAGACCATAGACCACGGAAGGTATTCAATAGTCATTATTCAACCTGAAATTTCAGCCTAGTTTAGCTTATAACATAATTCTAATTTTATTATTTATTATTATCCTGACGTTTCGTAACACAAATACATTAAGTTGTCTCGTAGACTAGTAAAGAGGGGAAGGGAGATTGCTTAGAAATAGCAATTCAAATTTAGACGCAACGACGCCATATTAATTTAATTGTCAACCGCGTCTACTAGAGGCACTTGTCTGCTGTTCCCATCACGCATCACGGCCGTCAATAGTGTCAATACATGCGGAATGCGGATTGCAGAGGCGATTGTCCGCTCCGTGCACAACGGATTCGACCAGCGACCTGTTTATTCTGGTTAATTGTGATAGTTTGCGACAAGAAAAACTGCCAGGGATCCCGACGACTTGCGTTAGCAATTTTATTTGAATTGACGTGGTTCAGCGTACTAACATTGCACTTTTGACTGACATCCCTATATCCCTTGGTAAGACACGTTTTTATCCAACTAATATATTCGTCATAATATCGGTATGCGATCTTCCATGTCATTAATCATCGAGCCGCGAGTAGATGCACACACAGCTTGCCCTATTATCGCTAATTATAACTTAATTGTACAACACTGTGCACTGTGCCCTTAATGTACTTGGAAGCATCCAAAAGGAGTGTAAATGCTTTAATACATACTTTAGACTTTAGACAGTATTAATCTAGTATTTACTTTGCGTACAAAAATGAAATAAACACTTATCCTTTGTTCTTAGTAAGACACAATCTTCATATTTGCTCTAAGATATCGTGCTATTATCTTTCTGATGTACGTACGCAGTATGATGCAACACAGCTCAGACAATATGACGTGGAAGTGATTTAAAATGTTCGTATTTATTGAAACAAGCCTTCCTGGGCAATGAAACATGAGACAGAAGCCGAAGGGCTCTGTCTATTGCAAAATTTAGGATTTTCCCTGCATATAGTAATAAAATAATATATGTAAAAGTTTCAAATATTTATGCATTAAAGAAAAGCTTTAGTGTCTTACATATTTAACATTTATAATCTTTCCTATATGCTCTTCTTCCTTGCCATTTCAAATCTGTCCCATTTTCCTCTTTACGTACTCGTACATTAGTACAGGCAACACGTAATACTTCATAGAGCGTCACAAAGCATGCAGAAAAAAAGAAAAAAAGTTAAAGATAAGCGAGTAACTCGTCGGGACTTGATGTATTCTATTTTAGTTTTATCAAATACTATCCTGTTTAATTATATATTATACGAATGTCAATATGTTAAGTAGAGTGAAAAGAATGTATGACTCATACATTAGGAATGATAAACTCTTGCGTGTGACTATCCCTGAAGCTATTTGTGATACAAACAACGTTCTCTTGCACTTTCATGCTTCATATACGGAAATGTAAAATGTTATTTGCATGATTGTGAGTTTTTGCACGAGTACATGTTTCTGAACTATGTAAATACTTACAAACTTTTGTTTGAATTATATACTTAACAAATGATTTTGTTTTTCGTAATTAAATGCTGGACTAACCGACGTTTGTTTTAGATTCGGTAAATTACTGTAAAAATACCTATACTAAATGTTTATTGAACGTATTAATTAAATATTCTTTTCGTCTGCTGAAATCCCTTTAATCCTTGATTAATTCCTAGTCAATGCGAGCCTGGTAAAAATTCTTCCGTTATCCCATCCTATCCGGAGTATCCTTGACGTTTGAGGTAACAGAGTACAATATGTATGGAAATTTAACTTGCAAAGAACGCATATATAAAATATTCCAGTCGCAATGAATGGAAAAACCACTTCGACTCATATTGATTCCGCGCGACTACTTATGTCATACGATCAATAGAGTGTAAAAATAAATATTATAAAGGAAAATTTTGGCGTGATGTTGTTATAACAAGACTTTCTTATAACACAAGAGCAAGTAAAAATAAAATCTTAAAAATCTTGAAATGAGAAAGGAGCCCATAAACGGCAAATAAAAATAAAAGCAAATAAAAATAAAAATCTTCGAAGAAAAAAGAGTTAATATGTCTATATTTTATTACAGGTAATACTCATAAAAAAATCAAAATGTCTCTTTATCCTACGCTAGAAGATATGAAAGTAGATCATATGATGAAGGTAAGCTCCACGAGGGATTCATAACATGTATATTGAGTGCAAAATTTACATTATATTTGCAGAATAATGTCTCTTGTTTTATTATTTACAGATAGATTTATATTCTATATAAATAATGAATTGTGTCAATTGAAATAACGTTGCAGGCTCAAATACAAGCCGAATCACAATATGTTGCTCCGATACCGATACAAGCCGATCTCACGGCTCCTTCGGCGCCGACTTACGTCCCTTCTGCACCCGGTATGCTGTATCCGTCCTTAGGAGATTACATGGGTCTCGAGCTGAACGAAGAGACCATTGCGCAAAATATGCCTGAATATGCGCTCGCTACGCGTCAAAATGCGAATGATGTATGTCAACGTTATATCGAACGAATAATACAGCCTGATTTTTAATTATACCGTAAAAAAGATTATACCGTTAAATTCATCCCTACTGGTTTTATAGAAAAAGAAGCCTATTTGAAAAGATTTTAAATTAGTAAACGTGGGAATATATAGAAATTGACATTATGATTTTAGGTAGCTCTTACTTCGACAAACGTAACATGTAGCCCATTAGCAGGGATGATCGCTCCTTTGTCAGGACAATCCGTGGCTTTGCAGAAAGCTCATGTAACAAATGGTATCAGAGAGGTAATATGTGGTTGCTAAATCGATTTCGATCACGCCATTTTGTATCTAGCAAAATATTCTTAAAGTCCATGATTACATGCATATCTTTCGTGAAGAATTATAACTCTTTAATGCTATACTTAATCGGTCTTTTTTTTTTTTTTTTTTTTTATAGTTGATACTTTGTAAAGACGGTGATGGAAAGGTTGGTGTTAGAGTACACTCGATAAACAATGGAGTCTTTGTTTGCCTTGTGAGTCAAAATTCTCCAGCGGCAATGGCCGGACTACGTTTCGGTGACCAAATTTTAAGCATCAATGACGTGTGCGTTGCTGGATATTCAATGGATCAAGTGCACAAACTCCTCCGTAATGCGGATGTCAATGGGATCAAAGTAATCGTGCGTGATAGGTCAGAGAATTCGCTATTTCTTTTCGTCTATAAAAACATTACGTTTACTACTGCTTAATTAAGGAACGGAATGTCGATTTTATCATTACAGACCACTCGAGCGTACTGTAACAATGCACAAGGATAGTATGGGGTACATCGGATTTCAATTTAAGAACGGAAAAATAATTGCTCTAGTGAAAGATTCGTCGGCCACGCGAAACGGACTTTTAACCGATCATCAAATACTCGAGATTAACGGAAAGGTTTGCATGACACAGCGTCCATATATTCTATTTAGTATTCAATAGAATAGATAATGAAATGAAATAGAATAAATAATAAATAATAAAATTATTAGATAAATCGATAAATTTTACAGAATGTAGTTGGGATGAAGGATAAAGATATTACAACGGAGATTGAAAAAGGTGGAGACATCATCACCGTAACGATAATTCCATCGTACATTTACGATCACATGATAAAAAAGTATGTATTTTGTTATGTAAAACGCAAATGTAATGCCTTGTTAGACATTCATATTATTTAAAAAATTTCCGTAGACTCGGTGACATAAAAAAAAGTTAAACTAATATAGAAGTAATAAATAAATGAAGTAATTTTTTATTAATTGTATAAATTATATTACTAACGTAATGCTTCTTTCCTCACAGAATGTCCAGTAGCTTGTTGAAGAGTTTGATGGATCATTCCGCGCTGGATCTTTAAATGGAAATCAATTGCCAGTTTCATATATTGCCATACAGCCAACTGTGCCAATGGGCATGTGCATTACTCTCCGTAGCTTCATTACAAAAAAGTAACGAGTACGCTACATATCGTACACTGTATAAGCACATTTACAAGATGCCAATCATATTTCCATAGCAAGCGTATATGTGATACCCGTTTAAAAACAGCCTATATTACGTGTCATGTGTATTTCGACACTAATTGGCTAAAAATTACGAAAAGATATTTATCAGAGATTATTTTTTTATACAGATGCACGTCTAAACTTGCGAAAAATATGCAGATTTAAATATTCCACTCCAGACGCAAGGAGAAAGTTTCTGATTACATTTATTCTAATAGCGTGAACAATTATGCTTGCACTATAAAATGATACTATTACGTCCTCTATTGCACAAATTTTTTAAATCCACATCATTATTTAGAGCAGAGTCATTAATAACATGTCGTTATTTTTACATTACTTTTTTCTAATTAATGAAAATCTTATCTTTTTTCATTTTTTCATTTGTTTGACTAAAATGACGAAAATTCATTGACTATAATTTCGAGTTATAATTGTCGTTTAAATTACAAATTTATAATATAAAATAACTTTTTTAAATTCGAATATAACATTTTTTTGCTTTATAAAATCTTGCACGTAACATATTTTCACTCTAACAAGCCACTTCTACGTATGTTAAAAAATATTGTGAAAAGTAGCGGTTATTATAGTCACTAGGCAAACGTTAACTATTTTTTTATTACCTCTCAAGTATCTTCTATGATAAATTACCCATTTTATATTATATAATTTAGTATTATTTATTTGCGATATCCTGTCTATCATATATATTTGTCACGTCGGTAGAAATATGATAAAATATAAAAAACAATATTCAAGAAAAAATAATAAAATATTAGGTAATCTTCCCCACGTACTCTTCGATATTTTCTTTGTTAATGATATTTTAATCAAAGATAATTGATGTAGATCTTCAACATAAATCTTTTCTCGATTGTTTTAGAAAAGTAGATTGACGTTTTACTTTTTCAATCATAATTTGTAAAATATTTTATCAATGCAACTTCACTATCCTGTGAAACTATTGATTAATTCCTTTTCAATAATATAAATATTCAATAATAGAAAGATATTAGATTTAAATAGATGAATGTTCTTACATTAAAAAAAAATAATAAAAGAGAACTAGGATAAGTTATTCAACAATAAATGGATATGCATTTCAAAAACATTTGAGGAGCAATTTACACTAGTGCCAATATTATTTTACATGTAAATATCATAGAAAGTATATTAGCTATGTATCGAATCGATTAAATAAATGATTTAAGAAAAAAAAAAGAAACGGATATTTTATAAACCTGAGAGTAACACGACATTTAACGTCAATAGTTATAACTTCGGCGTAAATCAGGCGTGTAAACGTAGTCTTATCTAAATCATTCCTTTTTAGCTTGTGCGCATCAAAATTATAAATACAATTATGTAGACATACGTATTTTCTTTTTATCTTTCTAGTTTTTTTTTGTGATATATATAAATGTCAAAGTTATGGTGTAAAAAATGACAAATATTTTCTACAATATTGTAAATTATAAGTAGAATACGATAATGTATTTCACGAGTTGTACAATTACCGTATAAAAAAGATTCTTCTTTAATTACAATTTGTTAAGTTCAATATTGTTCATTTTTCGAGCTATCAAATGGATTTTCAGTCTGTTTCGAACATCTAGCTCGTATTATGCAACAGTAATACCAGCAGTTTGGAGATAATTTCTCAAGTGATTCGCGTTTGCTTCGGGTATCTGGCCCAACAATCCTGGCAAATGTCCTGGCGATAATCTTCCAAGGCCTTGCGCCAAATGCAAACGAATATCACCAATATCTGTCCAACATATAACAAAGTTTTATACATTAAATACAAGAATTCTTACTTGGATATGTTAACGCTGTTTTCTAGAAAAGTTTGATATGTCTAAAAGTATACTAATTGTTAAAGAAAGTAGGGTGACGCGTGGCTCCATACGAGAGCAATCAATTTGGGAGATTTATCGATCGTGATCCAATGTATGCCGATTTTAAGAGATTGATTGGAAAATTGAATGTTGTGAATGAATCAGTGTGAGAAGGTCAATGGTAACTCATTTCGGGAATCCGTATTCTGTTTACTTTTAAATATTCAGAAAAGTCACAAGACAAATTAATTATAGACGAATATTTACATACTTTGCAATGGATCTTTCCGAGGATTTCTTGCGCAGATGAGTTGACTGTAACCAACTTGGTAGCCGACTGCGTCATCGAGTTCCGGAAATGCATCGTCCTCCGGTAGCAAGCTTTGATCTTGCGGTAGTTCAAAGAACTCGACCAATGTAGCTAATAAGCGAGGATAATACGAATTGTATGGAGCTTCAAGCATTGCGGGACAATCAATAAGCAAGTTCGAAACTCCGACAGCCACCACTTTTCGCTCGACCTCGCCTGATATTTTTTGCAGGTCGGTTATGAACACGCGTTCCACCACCATTCCAAACATTCTAAATATAAAAAACATTTGTCGTAATTTCTTATACTTGTAAAAGATACGAAATGTCTTTATGTACTTATAATAAAACTTACTGCGGCTGTATTTGGTCGATAATCGCAATCAACCCCGACGATGAGTATCTAATAATGTAATATGCAAAAAATACTATTAGACCTTTCACAAACTTCGTTGTCTTCGATGTCGAAAGCCTTTGAAAGAAAAGCACGAAAATTTGTTTCATATACGGTTCCAAAATGTTCCTGCAATGTTATACTAACGTTATAATTGATATATTAATTGTCAAAAATATGAAATGCAAATAACAGGTATAAAAAAAAACTAATAGAAAATTTTTCACGAGTATTCTTACGGTTCAAAGTGTTCAATAATGCTTTGTATTAGTAAAAATCCTTCATGATCATTCGCTTTCGATGCAATTAGCTTTTGGAATACTCCCAATAGCGCACTCGTCTTATCCTGCGCTACAATCTGATGCGAGCCGTGACTAATGAATGCTTGTAATAAACGAATCAAAGGATGGATATTGGCTTGACGTTCAAATAGTACAGGTGATAATAAGCACGGGAACAGAGCCATGTATGGCTCCGGTACATCTTGAGTGGGCCGTAGCTCCAAAAGCAATGCGAGAATTTGGAAAACATAAGGGATAAACTCTGGAAAAAAAAAGAACATAAATATGATATTGGCATGCAATTACAATGTGTAACATATGCGATTATAAATATAATAATTTACCTGGTATGTCCTGTTGCAAAATTCCTTGAAAGATGGGAAACAATGCTTGTTCAAAAGATGACGTTGCTTCGGGATTTGTTTTGCAAACAATTCTGGAAAAAAAATGCAAGTTTTATTTGGAAGAATGCAGATCATAAAATGTCAGATAAAAGTAAGAAAGAAAAAAATTATCAAAGCATTTTATTGCCTAAACAATACAGATAAAGTCATTGTACGTTAATGACAGGTGCTTACTTGATAGATAAACTTAAAGTTTCGAAGAGATAATGATTAAAGTTTGGTCGACTTGGATTCCGGGATACGATCATGAGTTTTTCGGTAAGTTTCGGAAGTAAATCGGCCAAGAAGGGCACCACAGCTTCTTGCAAAATAGCGAAACTCCTCATGATAGCTCTCATAACATATTCGTTCTCTTCGGAACCCGGAATGCTCATACATGCAAAAAGTCCTTTCAATAAATCCGCTGCTAATGGCGCTATATCGACCCCTTTGACTCTACAAAATTTTAAAATTTTCTGTGTTTAGTTATATAAATTAACAATTAAGATATCACTTTTATCTCTTACATGGACAAATTATCGGCACCCCTCATTGCGAATATCTTTTCGATCGCGCAAGCAGCGTAACTGTGTACGACAATACTGCTCGCACTTAGATGTCTTATTAATTGCGGCAAACTTCTTATTACCATCTCATGAGGTAATATCGATCTAAATGTCATTACAAATTTTATTCCGTCCGCTTTAAGTACTGGAAACTCATTTACTGAAATTTGTTATTATCATATTGTAACTTTTTATTTATTATAGTAAATTGTACTATCAACTATATTCACGTGCCGTTAGATTTTGAATAACAAACAAAATAGAATAAAATCAGCCCTAAGCGCTTGGCAATTAAAGCTCGATTAAATTAAATTATTACTCTTTCAAAACATATGCATTCAATATACCGTCTGGTTTTGCTAACTCAGGTTCGATATGTTGCGCAGCAAATTGCGGTATAGAGACAAGCTCGCTACTTTGAGTAACCCCGTGCCTCTGCGTTTGTGCTTTACTCGCGCTACTAGTAACGAGATAAATAGCAGCATCTTTACTGCGCCAATGTTTCGACGGATCGTCGGCATACTTGTTCAGCATCACCTAATTTTATGACGTTTATAATGTAAATTAGTTGAACAGGAAATCGCTATCAATATCTTCTCTATTATATTTACCTGTATATATGATCCAAAGATGTCCATAATCTTCCCTTCAAAGTATTTAGACAATACTTTGACCAAATCACATGCAGCACGCCTCCTGGTATCTACATCGCTGCCTTCGATATCTCGTCTGATATATTCCTCAGGATTATCGATGAACAACTCATTGTCCGTCGCTGCAAAATTTTAAGAATTTAATAATGCGAATATTCATCATATTTATATCGGTACAATTACCTCTAAATTCCATGTTAGGAATAATGACTTTTTCACAGATATTGCTAAGAGTTGTTGGATCTTCGAACAAATGTCTATATTGCGCCCGATCAGCTACCGTGGCTAAGAATTGCAATGCATTTGATACTAGCTGTAATAACACATCATTATGCAGGTGTGCTTTTGCATTTTTTTCCAAAAAAATTTCTGTCGGAACAATATTAAACTTTTACTCACAGCATCGTATTTGGAATTTTGTCCTGTAGATGTGAGTAAATTCCACACCGCTGTAACAAATAGGGGTAGGTAAGGCTGGAATTCCTCGTCATACTTTAGAGCATATAGGCCAACATTATCACATACTTGTGACTTTAATTGCTCTATTACACCTGCTTCTTCCTCGTCCTTTAAATAGATTTCGAATTAAAAAATTATTTCATTTCTATCCGTTTAAACGTATTAATATATATTTTTTGGAAATATAACGTACCGTAGTTTGCAAGGAAGGAACATCAACGTGTAACAAAGTATGAAAGTTTCTCATCCACGCTTCCATATTATCTTCGAAGAATTCTGGTAGATCCTGTTAATAAAATAATGTAATTTGTAGAAATAAATTCCCCTACTTATACTTTTTATAAATATATAAATATATATATACACGTATACATATAAATACTTACTTGGAAGTTAAGAGAGTAGAAAACTTTACACAAAATAACTAGGGAATTATATATAACCTTCAAGGCTTCCATATTATTAGCATGTACTTGCGTTAAATTCATTGTAGCCTGCAAAATATCTCATTTAGAAATATCTATCTTTGAAAATACATGCATTTTTAATGCATGCAAGGCAACTTAATAAAATATAGATACTTACTAAAAACAGATCTGTTAAAGGCTTGGCAAACTTATCTAATACAAATTTTATTTCTGTCCATAGGCTCTCGCTTTTAAATTCGTATCTATATCTCTTAAATAAGGAATGCGCCGTGTGTAGGACTCCATTGATCACATGGAAATCGCCAGTGTTGAACTTGTCTACCATCTGATCAATCAATTCTGGCCACTTATTCGGAAAGTCATATTTTCCAATGATAGATACTGCATCGGACAACTGCTTTTGTATCGAATCTGGTGAATGTAACATCAGATTAACGATTAGTTTCTTGACGGCGTCTCTGTCTTGGGCATGTATACGATCCACTGAATCCTCCTCCTGAAATAACATTTTGCAATAGTAAACTAACATACGAGATATAAAGGCATTAAAATAAACAAATAAATATAAAACCAACCACTTTCCAATTGCGCTTAACATAATTCTTAAATGCAACTGCGCCGGCAATCCTAATCGTGATGTTAATCTCAGACTTGTCCACCAAATGAAGTAGTAGTAAAGGATAATTCTGATTGACTTCCACCGACTCCAGAAACTTCTCGGCTAAAATATAAATCGGATATTAACGTACGACAGGCGTACAACGTTTAAAATATCACAAAAATGATGAATTTGCAGGTTATACCAACCTGGACGTCTAACATTCACGTCTGGGCTGAGAGTGTGTTTCAGATATTCGCTCAACGTTACCAAATTGTCGTCGGTGAGCTCCATGTCGGCGATCAGGAAAACGATTCCTTTACTCAGTTAACCTTTCTTTCAGGAGATACAACGCGGCGGCATCAGCAAAGGTATCGAAAAGCTACGCCGCATATTATCGCATGTAACAAGTAACAACCGGCTTTCCGTTGGACCGGTTGGACTGTTCAGTCTGTGTTGCGACAGGTCACACGAATTCCAATCAACGTTTCTTATTGGCTGTCGGCTGGCGCTCGTGGCGCTCAGCAGAATTGGCGGGAATGCGATAACGGCTGCTTTTCAATAGATAACATCGTGAGTATCGTGACTCGCGTGCGAGTGCCACGCGGCGTTTAGACTTTACTTACGCGTTGGCTACGTTTTATTAATTCTTATTAGGATTACTGCGGGGTATTTGTGAAAGGAAGGAGCGGTGTTAGTTTGCGCGGCTCGGTCCAATCGGATAATGTTTCTTGAAGCGAACGCTCTTGAATTTAGAAAATTATTACACTTGAATGATTCGAAGAAATATTATGTACTTATATATTTTTGTATTCAATTATACAATTAGCAGATTTCTTACAATTAATATTATGTATCAATATCATACATTGATATCAACTTATTAAATTATACTTAAAAACCACTCAACATTTGAAATAAAAAACGCGGTATTTATGAATTATGTGTATGTGTGTGTTATTTATATTCTTTAAAACTGTTGAAATCTCTTTTTATCGATATAAAGGGAGAAACAAATCATATCATATATATTAGAACACATTAGTTTTTTCCTTCGTCTTAGATTTGTTAAGAATAACGATTTTGCTTTGCTTTATTTTGTTCTGTATCTTGTTTAACGTGTCCTTCTCCAATCTGATCTTTTTCACTAGATTGTTGTTGTTTGATCTGCATAAAAAAACGTCATGTATTTAACACGTTCACGCGGATAAAATTTACACGAGTATCTTTAATTCTTATACTTGACGTCGGATATTATATTTATTGAGAGATCGTTGTCGTCCACGTTAGCTTCAATATAATTTAAGTCGCATTCTTCTATCATAGCCTCCAATTCTCGCTTTAAAATCGCAAGTTCTTCGCCAACCTTTCTGCATTCTTTGTCATGGCTCTCAATCTCCTTCATCAAAACGTGTCCGGACTTGAAAAATACAAAAAATTTTGCATTACTTTTATAACTTTTAACGAATAATCAGAGAGAAAGAGAGAGAGAGAGAGAGAAAAGAAGAGAAAATATTTATATTTATCGCGAACGCGCGAGCTGATTTGAATTTCGTAACAGTATAAATGTCAAAATTCATAAAAATCGCTAAAAATCGTACGTAATTCGTTATCCACTGAGAAAAGTCATTCGCGTAGCTTTCTATTCCTGACAAACAGTCATTCCTGAAATAATTAAGATACGTGTTTAAAATAATTTTCGCCGCGGAAAATTTTCATATATATTTTTCGATACCGTAAATTTTCTGTTTAATGATAAACTTCAAAATTTGACAATTAATATCTGACGATAATTGTCAAGTTGTACCATTGTTTGTGCGACATATTCGTTCTCGCACTTTGCAAATCCCTCAGCTCCTGCTTCTTCGAAACGTGGATCTTGGTGTTCTCCAATATCTTTTCCTCGATATCGGATACTTGTTGCGACAGCGTGTCAAAATTTGTTTTGATGTTGCAGTTACTCTCGAGCAACTTTGACTTTTGATTCCTCCAGTACTGTATCTCTTTGTTACACTTTTCGATCGATTTTCTTAACGTCATAAACTAAAATGTCGATCTTTCTTCAGCATTCATTACGCATAAAAATACATACATATATATTATACGAAAATATATATTATATTATGTAATCTGTATATAATAATAATATATAAAATATAATGAAATGTGTGCGTGCGTGCGTGCGTGTGTGGGTTGTGTGAGGAGTATGACTACTTTGCAGCTTTTCACCGTGCATTTTATCACGGTGATTTGAGTTTGTCGTGAAACAAAGTTGGAAACTATAGTAGGAAAGGACTGAAATTGCCTCGCGCCTCGCATTATCGTAAACCGTTATTGTTACGATCTGCCGCAAATAGCTTTTCAATGATTCGAGTTACCGCTATCGATATCGTCGTTCATTGTTTCATGCGTGTCTGTGTTGTATGTACGTATGCCGTCTGTACGTGCGTTTCACCTGTTTGATGTAAGAATTAATCTCGGATCCCGGGTTTTCCACCTCCTCGGGATTCGTCTGGCTGTACGCGGATTTCTCCATCTCAAATATGTCTATTAAATCAAGAATATATTTCAAATGGCTACGCGGCCCGACCGGAAATGGACGCCGCGGCGGACAGTCGTTTGACAAAATTTCCTTGATATTTATAACGCAATTATATCGCTCGGTCTTGTACGAAACAAAACTCGTACGAGACAAAACGTTATAAGTTATCTCGTTTGTTCGAGTATATAATAGCCGCCTGGCCGCCGTGTGCTCGAGGAAGAACGTTTTATTCGTTCTCACGCAAGGGAAATGACGTCTTAATGATCATTAATCACGTTTTGTGATATTCTAAGCAGCAGCGTTTATCCGAACGTAGACGCACGGAGAGATGTCGAGGTCGATGTCGATGAGAGGATCAGGCATATCGATCTTTTCAAAATTGACCAATAGCGGCGCAGGTGCATGATTCGCGACTTTCGCGAGTCGCGAGGCATGGAGTGAATCAATTTTTAACGCGAGTTGACCCTCGCATTTGCCATAAAATAATGCAATTAGGAGACATATCGATCGATACAAAATTCGTGACAACGTCTTGCAAAATCTAAAAGTAATATATGTCTATTTTCTCTTATATTTTACACAGAAAGAACAGATAACAAAATGTATTACGAGTTGGCCGATACATTCAGATGCATTATTTGGGCTCAAGTTATACACGAGCGCAAGCAGGGATTAAGCCATGCAACGGAGGTGATCATTTCTGATGTGAAATTAAGTAATCGCGCGGGAAACCTGATGTGCACACAATAAGTAAAGTCTAATTTATATTTAAATATAATTTATTGTATTTCTCTTATTAATTTTCATCTTTCCTTTCTTGCCTTAGCAATTTTAGCAACTTTTGCAAGACTTGGTTACAATCTTACAATTAAACGCAGTGAACATAACAATACAGAATACAGGGAACGGACCATTAATTCTCTATCTCCGGTACGGTTATAATTGCTTTAGTATAAATTAAGGTAGGTGAGTGAGAGGTGATCGACTTGATCTTGATAGAGAAATCGTGCATCGACATATTTCAGGTTTCAGGCTGCGTCCCGCTTCCGTCGTCGTCAGTCGTCGGTCGTCGTACATACTCCACACTCCACGTCAGCTGATTTTCCTTGCGGCAACTGGGCGTCCTGGGCCTGGGCGACTGTCAGACTGTCACCGCGGCCACAAGCCGCAACGCCCGCAACCCGCAACACAACACACAACACGCGCGTTCCTGCTCCCGCTCCCGCTGTTTCCGCAGTCCTCGAACGGCCGTTGCGACGCGCGTATGCGCGACACGCGACACGCGTCATCCGTCTTCTTTCCTCTGGATGCTTCGGTGGTTCCAGGCTCGGTATTCCGTCGTTGCGACGTCGCTGACATTTTGTGCAAGAGGTAGCTCAGCAAATCTACGAATGTGCGAAATGTTCTCGATGCCGCCGCTTAACGCGCGTTTTCTTCTCGCGTGACGTATCTCACGGTGAGTAATTCGACGTATCATCAGTTCGAATCATCAGTCTGTCACGGGACGGGAAGCGAAATTTATTTCGAAATGATGTCACGTATGATAAATGCAGAAATAAATCGGGAGTTCTCTCGAGATAGATAAGCATCTAACCGATTCATTAACTTCAAACGCTCGTTTAGGCTAAATTTTATCTTGAAAAAATAGAAAATGAAAATAAATGGCCGGATGTATTTGAAACAATAGAAAGAAATCGTTATATATCGGTGTTTTCTCGCAATCGATATTTTTATTTCGAATTATTATCAATTTTAGTATCTTATTGCTTCTCATTTATCAATAGTGCCCTTTAAGTTAAGTAGATTATACGACGTTTAATGATTTTTGAAAAGTACACGATGTTTAATCATTTTTTTTTATTACATTTCAAAATTTTATTGTTTATCAACGATTTTTCTCCCGTCTCCCGTTGCTCACCGACGCGGTTAAACGAAATCAGTATGGAAAAATTGATGAGATTTAAAGGAGAAAGTTATCTACTCCGAATTTAGTTTAGACGGATCGACGTAATGCTAAATAATATCTATGAAAGTCCATAAAATACGTCAAGTCAGCGAGAAGGTACGATTAGGCCCAGCTCGCTCTCTTGTGTAATCTATTCTTTAATTATCTTATCTCTTTATCGCACCTTTGATGACTTCCAACGTCTTACCATCTTACCGTTCCAAGTGACGGTCACGTGCGAATTATGCCGATTTCGCGTAAATACGAGCAATGAAACGCGAAAAAGAATGCCGTAGAAACTTATTTTGCATTTTATCACGATGTGTACTATCGGACGAGATATAATCTTTTCTCTCTTTTTTAATCCGTTTTTTACTCCATCTCCCGTTTGTTCGCTCGCGTGACGTCACATGAGTTAAACAGATCTGTGACAATCTATAAATTTCTCGAGAGAATTTCTTTTTAATACCAAAAAAACCTAAGTACACGGGAAAAATGGTTTCGCTCAAGTATAGAAAAAATTAAGCCAGATATAAATCTAAAAATAATTACGTTGGCTCATCAAAATAATTATGTAGGGCGCTCGAGCGTGACGATAATACTACTAAAAGTTTTGACATTCTGGCAACCTGGAACGTCTAATATAATTACTTATACTTACAATTAGATGTTATTTATTTAAACACGTATTTAAATTATTTTAATGATCTAACATACGTATTTTCAAATCTGCAGCTGGCTTAATTGTTAGATACTCCAGCAAAACCGTTCTTTCTGAGCAATATTTTAATTCGCTCCACGAATGCCCCTCTCGCATCCTTCGATCGTGGAAAGAATAACTTCAGTAGAGATAAGTTTTCCAGAATTCCGCATGAAATAGGACAACGAACTGATAAACAACCGCGTAGAGCTGACTGTTGTTCCATATCCTGTCGGGTGAAGGATGTGATGTGACAATCGCATTGATTACGGCGCTCTGTCTCCAAGCCGCTTCTCTCCAAGATATTTTTTTCTTTTTCGAGAAAAAGATGAAACATAAAGAATAATAAATTTTCTTATATTTGTCCATGCGAGAGAACGTATACGCGACTTATTCAAAAGTGTTTATCGCAGAATATGGAAACACGAATTTTTTATGAAATTATTCTTCTAATCCTGCTAATCAATCGCTGCTAATTACAAAATTTATTATACATTTATCTATTTTCACGAACGTGGAATCTAAATTTTATATCGTGATACAAACGCGTAAATAATTTATGTAATGTTATGCGTGTCCACAGTTTTTTTTATCGAGTTCCATCTCCGTATCGATATCTTCCCCTTCGCACAACGTTGTGCCGGTCTAAGGCCTCGCAACTCGCAACTCGCGCACACGCATCGACGTTCGTATGTGAGACGCTTCGTTACGTTCATTATACACGCAATCGATCGATCGCGCACGTTATTTAGGTTTGACACATGTGGCGATGTAAGGACAGCAAAAAAAAGATAAACAACAGCAAAGAATGTGAATGCCACGACGCGACTCCTCTCGCATTTTAACTTTCATATTTCTTTTAACGTGCGGTATATCCGATAATTATAATCAATGGTTTATAGTATATAAGTTCAACTTTTTTAAAGATGTTTAAAAAGATTATATATTAAAAAGTAACGATGTCATATATTATTAATTCTACTTTCCTTTTTTAGTAAACACAGATTTGGAGCACGTTTGGCGGGGAAAAAGAAGATAAATGAATTTTCTCCGTCCCTCACGGCCGACACGCGAACTTAAATTGTCGCGAGAGTATATTGACCTCGGTGTCATCAGGGCGGGTCTTAACACAAATTAGGAAACATGACTCCGGCTCGCACGCGTGTTTTAATTAAGCAATTGCCATATCCCATAACGTAATGAGTCAGACAGCGGATACCTTCACTTTCGTCAATATTTATTCAGCAATCATAATCTAGAAAACTACTTACAGTTGAAAAAAGCTGTCCATTTTAGCAGATTAGATTACTCTTTATCGAAATGAATCTAATAAATTATTGACAATTTTGGGATTATACTTACATGAAAACATTACGTGTGGAACGGCAAAAAATTTAGCCTTGTTTCCACTAAATCCAGCCTTGTTTCCTTGCCTGCGATTGATGTAATAATACAAAAAGTAATACAAAAATAATACATAAAGTAATACAAAATACCGATGCATGTATAATATATGTGATGTATATATATAACTGAATAAAAGAATATCAAGATTATCTACGATGATATAATACGAAGTTTACATTTAATATCAACAATAAGAGACTGAGAGTTTATTACATTTAGCGCAAGGTATAGCCGTGTGTATTGAGATCGCAGATAAATGTATTCATGTATATAGATACGTTTTACTGTGTAGCTGTGTAAGCCATAGTTTTCGGATAAATCTATTCATATATGAATGGATCGCGATAATGATTATCGCGACATACTATTCATCCTTGCCGTTGCTAGTCAGGCAGATCGTGTTAGCTGGAGAGTCGACCGGACGGCGCGTTGATAATGACCATACTTGATAAGAAATACCAGCAAGTTCCGCTAACCCGACGTACGCGAAGAACCCTCGATCACGAATGAATACATGCATCTTACTGAAAGGGACGTTTGCTGAGTTCTGGATTATCAATTCACTTAAAAAAGAAGAATAAATCTAAAGGCATGAAATCGAGATGAGAGGCAAAACCTGATTGATTCGTTTTGAAAACAAGGCACTTTGAGATTTTAAATTTCCTTCATTCGCTTGATTGAAAGGATTGTCCTGAATGCTGACAACCAATTGTTAAAATCCTTCTCGTTAAATAAAATGTTTTGTTATTCACAGAAGATGTTATTCCAAAGACCTGCGGAAAGATAATCTTGATCCATCGTCTTTTTGCGTTTGATGAGACCTGCATGTGATTATTTAGTCATGCGTACACACACACACACACACACAAAATACTGGGAATTTAGCTTGTATTTAGTTATTTCTACAGTGTAACAGTTTTTAAGATCGATTTTATAATTCTATAAATAAGAATCGCATCTGATTGATTGTTGACAAAACAGCATTTGATTAAAAAATATGGATCTCTTGTTATCTAGAGTTTTTATGATAAATTAACACTTGATATATAGAATTGAAAAAGGTCACTTGTCCAAATCTTTTTTTAGATTATCACACAAATACACGATATAAAAATATTATAGAGAACTATGAGATGGTTCACAATCATTAAATTTAACAGTGATAAGAATACCGTCTCGTGTTGCATTGATATGCGATACGTATGACTTGGGGATAGCCTTGGTGCCATACAGTGGCCGGATGAGTGACGGAATCACTGCATATCGAGCAGTCCGTTAAACAGAAGACAAAAATGGAGCTCTACTGAAAAAAAAAAAACTTATTTCAATTCTTTTTTCTCTTTTAAGTCGATATGAAAGAAATGCGAATAAAGTGAATACGTCAAGATCATGAATTACTGAATTTCGATAAGAGATCGGCAATCTCTAAACAACGCTAACGTGAGCTTTTGAAGTATATGTAATTAATATGCTTTTATATATATTTTTTATAGAGGAAACGAAGATGACGTCTCGAAACAGGCCGATTAAAATTACAACCGTTGGCGATGGCATGGTTGGGAAAACGTGTATGCTCATCACGTACACGAAGAAGGAATTCCCAACGGAATATGTACCTACTGTGTAAGCATTATTGTTAAGAGCAACACTTCGCTAATAGAATATTGTAGATTTGTTTGCTAATATAATTATGCTTTTTCATCTCATCTCACTATTTGTTATATTAAAAACTGTTAAAGTTTTCAAAATATTTGTTTAATTCTATTTGTTGAATGTAACTGTAATCTGTTATCTCATTTATTCGGCCATAATTTTATTTGCAGTTTCGATAACTACGTTGACAGCATATGCGTGGGTGGACAGCAATTCGAAATGACATTGTGGGATACGGCTGGTCAAGAAGATTACGAGAGGCTTAGGCCGCTATCGTATCCAAATGTATGTGACATTGTGACAACCCGTCTACTTCCAATGACAAAATCGATTTACTCATCTTCAATGTTTTCAACAAAATGTATCTTCAAATATTCGTGTATGTACTTCAGTCTTGTATACATTCTTCTTTGCTTGCAGACTGACTGCTTCCTGGTCTGTTTCTCCATAAGCGCCCGTAGTTCATTCGAAAACGTAGCGAGTAAATGGCATCCAGAGATCAAAGCGCATTGTCCCAATGTGCCGATTGTACTCGTAGGTAAACGCATACATTTTATACATTAAACGAAAATGAAAGATTTCTTATGTGAAATAATTATATAAAAAAATATTTACGTACTTTCTGAATATTTTCTACATATATCTTCCAATTTTTTTTATATTTAAATATTTCGAAGATACTGATCTTATCACATTTTCCTCGTAAACACGAATAATGTTTTTTTATGTTAGGTACCAAGGCAGATCTTAGAAATCAAGAAGCTATGGATATTATCAGTCCGCGAGATTGCAACAAAATGAGAAAAAAGATCAAGGCGATCAAGTACGTCGAATGTTCTGCAATAAAACAGGAAGGTCTCGAAGAGGTTTTTATGGAAGCTATTAGAGCTGTATTGAAAAAACCGCCATCGAGAAAGCTCTGCTGCATCCTTTGAAACTAATGCATTTAGTTTGGAGAACGCAGATCGGCAGATCATAATTATTAAGACCTATGTTAAACCAAAGATTTTCTTCGCATCTTTTGTCCATGTGCTTCTTTCTTGTACATTTTGCCCTTAACAATATTCCTAAGATAAACTTTACTTTCCTTGTGTACAGACCAGAATTATTTTACGTCGTGTATAGTTATTTCTAATATAAATCTTTACATCTATTTATCTAAAAAATGAAACTTACATTTCTTTTAATTCGAACGAATAGAATACATTTTATATGCTTAATCATAAATTTTTACGGATTACAACATTCTTCAATCAATAACTTTATTATAAATGTATTACAATACAGATATATAAAATCAATTAAGATTTTCCCCAAACAGTAACAAATTCCTTATAAAAGAAATGCCTTTTTATTGGAACAAACAATAACAATATATATATATATATATATGTACGAATATGTATATCCCCAGCCTATAATACTTCCAGTTAGGTTTCATGTAATTTCGTAATTTATTGCGCTCTTTTTAATTACGCAAATTATGTTATTCGCTTAGAAGAATCATGATAACAATATAAACAAATCACAACTTTGCTTTAGAAGTTTCCATAAGACTCTTAAGTTTTTGCGTGAGCATAATATTCCCGGTTATTTTTAATTTCCCACGCATAAATGCCAACTGTGGATTCAATTTTCCCAGTGCCTGCAACAATCACGATATTATTTAGAAGAAAAGGAAATAATATGTTTTTGCGTTGCATAGCTAACTTACGATTTCAACCATATCTTTATCTTCCACAGTTAGCGTCGCGTCTGCTTTCCCAGATTTAGGCTTTCCCTTATGCACTTCACCGTTCTTCAAATCGAGAGCTGTAAAAGAAAAAAGCAAAAATTACTTACGTAGGATGCAGGAATCGTGTTATTATCTTAAATGATATTGATCATCACCATTTCTTTTATTCCCATAATTCAAAATACGTGCAGCTTAAATATCGCCGTTCCTTAGATACTTTATTAGAATTTTCTGAAGCTACTTACTCCATTCTGATAATTGTTTCCCGTCGATGGTAATATTGTAAAGAAAGACTGCATTAACTTTCTTAGCTTGATCTTGATTCTGTTTCACTTGTTCGCTGATAGCTGCAAATATAGCATCGCTCTGCAGATCTGTCTTTCCGGAACACGGATTTGCTCGCGGCACTCCCATTTTGACTTCCAATAGATCAATGTAAGCACCTGCAGAGTAAAATTATCTGTTTTTTTTCTCACTACTTACAAAATAAAGATAGAAATACTGAAATAAAGAATAAAATAATATTTTACATATATTATAATGTTACCTGATTATATACACATAAGTGATTATTTGAAAATAAGATAATCTAAAGATATTCACTAACAATAAGTCTTGAAATCTTGAAAAAAATATTCAAATTATGCGCTTCTCAAACGAACGTTTATTATATCTTAACGTGCTGATAATTAATGTAACTGTTTTAGACAGATAATTAGTTTATCCTGTACAATAAAAAAAATCACACTTTTGTACAAATAAATAAATTCTCTGACGACTAACCTGTAACAACCGGTTTTTCAGTCCCGAGGACAGATGTTTGGAAGTGTATTCTGTTACCGTTGCGCCACATATCAGTACGTAGGGTCTGACCTGGTAAAACCGGCTTTGCAAATCTCACCTAAAAGTTTTTTTTTAATTAACATTAAATGAAGATGTCAAGTCTGCGTAGAATATCACTAAAAACCCTCTTTATCACAAATAAAATTGTGTAAATGGAAATCGAAGCTGATAACATGGATGTCACCCACCAAGATAAGCAACGTATATAAAATGGACAGTCATAGTCATTGGTCAAGATAAAAAAAAGTATTGCTTAAGCCTTAGGCCAATTCCTTTTAGTGACACAAGTCGACACAAGTGTCGTTCTGTCTTTGTTATTCATTGAATGCCAAGAAGGATAGAACGATGTTTGTGTCGACTTGTGTCACTAAAAGGAATTGGCCCCTTGTGACTCCACGATGCCAGAAATCTCTCCGAGATCTCGGACGAAGAGAAACAATTAACCAATCGCATTTTGGTCAATTGCCGAATTGTTGAAATGTGATTGGTCAATTTTTTCTCCGCCCGAGATCTCTTGGAGCGATTTCTACTATCGTGAACATAAGGCTTTGTTTAGATTAGTTCACGAATTTATCAAATTTCACTGCATTCGTCGTCGCGTTAGTGGATTAAATGAAACAAAAAATTATTTTGCTATGGATTTTGCTGTAACAAAAAAAAAATTTTAATATCAAAAGTTTTTTCCTAGAAATCATAATTATATATTTCTCTTATTCGTTATTACGTATACTGTCATATTATATGTTATATACATATTTTTACTTTCTGATGAAAAATACTCAATAAATTACCTAAATTTAATCAATTACGCTGACTTACGTTGATGCGACTGTACAAACGCCTCTCGGCTAAGACGTGTTCACTACTGAATGCCGTATCACGCTTTGCATACTGTTTGCGTTTTGTGTGCTACTTATAACTACATCGTTCTTGCGCAGATCATGAATGCGCAACTTGTATACATTACTATGATAATTAAGTTACGGATAACAAAAGTTCAAGAGATTTTTTATATATAATAAGACTTGTTAAATAAAGTTTCTATTAATATTGAATTTCGTCTTTATGCGTGTCAAAATGTCGAAATAATGAAAAACATGGTTTTTGTTTTCTAAACATTTCTAAAACGAGAATATGAGTTTCAAGATAGAAATCCAGTTTGATAATATTTCTGCCAAAAAAAAAATAAATCTTACATAGACGACTTATTTTAAATACTGTTAATTTCAGTATTGTTTAAAAAAGTACTGAACAGTAAAACAATATATTTTTCTCATACTATAGAGAATGACTTCATTAAGTCGAGATTTTCGATGTAATGGTATCTATATTTTTTTTCATGGCTTCAAATTTAAATTTCAAATTAATCGATTTGGACGAAATAACATTTACAGAGGAAAAATGCAAAATATTTCTATACAAGCGTACGGCAATTTTATCTTTTTTAAATTTAGACAAATACCATATTACTTTTACGATAAACGTGCAGATTTGGCTGTGCCACATATTTGGCTGTGCCACGTGTGCGCACATTGTCACTTCGTACCAAACAAGTCCTTTTTCTATTCTATTACTTGCAAATTGGTTTGCATTTCAAACTATTTTTAGTTCACCTTGAAATTTTGTGAATATCATTTTTTTAATGACTATTGTACCTTAATGGATTTAAATAAACGTGGATCTCCAGCAGCATACGTCTGAAGAACGTGACGGGTAGAGAATCCCAAGGAGCACAGTCCATGCAGTATCGGCCTTTCGAATCCCGCCATCGCGGCGACATTAGGATCAATATGCAAAGGATTAAGATCTCCACTCAATCTGTACAAAGCAGCCTGTGAAGACGATAAAAAGATTGTCGTACATGTAATTTAACGATTTAACGTATACAAAGTACAACATATTTAAAACAAAACACTTAAATCTTTTCGCTATATTTATGAAAATGCACAAAAAATATTAAGTTTTCGTAGAGAAAAAAATCCTAATAATAAGTAGGTATTCTTTGGGGGTACATATATTCCTTTTTCGGGATATATGTACCCCCTTCGGTGTATCTTATAGGGCCCGAACGAACGAGCGACTTCGTATAGCGCTTCTCTGTAGCGCCGCAAAGTGGCTCGTCTGTTCGGGCCCTTAGAACGTAAATACCAGTTTTTATGCAATATACCTAACACGTATACTCTTTCTTTTTTACCTGGTCAACACTAGTCTGTTGCGTAACTGTTACATCTGGATTTCGAGTGGGAGGATTAACGATTGGAATGGTAAATGTCGATGTTCGTTTTCCTTTAAAGCCACCTATGCCAACGATAAATATAGATATCTGGCCGGTCGATAGCTTCTCTTCATTTGCCACATCGTAGGTATCATCTAGAGACACATGAAACGTTACATGTAGCATTTATGTAGGCTAAACATACGCATTACTGCAAATATTTTTCGTGATTTATACACATCCAAATTACAAATATTTTACTAATGAGATTAATCATTAATATTGTATTCGTATTCGTACCATAAACGATACTCAGTGATGAATATGTACATAAATCAGAATCATTACAATCCAATCGTATCTCATATATGTAGACTGCAAAATTTACGTACGTTGAACTAAAACAACGGCGCCTGTTTCTTTATCCAAAATATCCTGAACTTTAAAGCGTGTCTCCACCGTAGCTTCCGTAGGTAATTGTTTGAAAACTTCTAGATATTGCTCGCCATGAAGTATCTGCAAATGTTAATGTAACATAAGGGAAACGTTAAGTAAAGTGATACAAAGGTTAAAAAAAAGTCTTCATTCATACTTGTGTTGGATTAACTTGCGTAAATGGAAGAGCGTCTTGCAAGATAGACGAGTTCATGCATCCTACAGGACCAAACAAAACGTAGAAAGTAGGTAAAACGGCAAACTCATCGGCATTCTCATACAAATAACGAATATCAGTCGGTTCCTGAACTGTAGCTCCAACTGAAATACAAAATCTGATAAGTTTACGTAAATTAATACGAATCTATTATGTATTCAGTCTACTTAACGTACCTCCAAGCGCGTACAGTATAATATCGCGATTATTATACGTGCTCCTCATGACATGGTCTACCTGTGGACAATGGAAATTATAAGAATAAGAAGTTGTATAATCATTAATCAAAAAAGATTTGCAGAGCGTAACTTACTTCTTTTGAAGGAGCACCGCTTTTCATGTTCTCAAGAATGCCTAACAGTTCTCCTGTCGCTTCCTAAATAAAAATTGCAAGATAAGAAATCGTCTAAATATACACAGGCATACGTTCTCTTACCTGGATCGACGTGAGTCGCTTTGCCGATGTCATGTCTATTACTTTCGACCAATTTTCTCGTACATTTTCCGGCGTAAGATCGTCCGATAAATTTTGCCGCAAGACGCAACCCGAAGAACGAATTATGTGACCTAAATGTGACAACGTCAAACATGTCATGCTAATTGCAATAAAAAAATCGAAAGTAAAAATAAATGATAAATAGATTATCAATAAGAAGCTTTAAAAACAATTATTCGTTAATAAAGGAGAACTTAATAAAGAAGGTAATACGTGATACTCACATTTGCCAGCCCAACCTAATGCCGCTTCAATTATCGAACCATTTTCTGTACAATCTTCGTGGCACAACCAAAAGACCACAGGTGCTATCAATTCAGGCTTCAACTGCTCAAAGAAATCTGCGAAATGTCACGTAGTTTTCCAGTTTACTCCTTTTAGCAAAACACGTTTGTAGGTGTGCGTAGGTGCGTGTATCAGGTTTCGTGAAAAATTTTTATGCGCGTTCTTTCATTGAATACAATATAGCAAAATATTTTGTAACACGTTTACTTATCAATCTCTTAAATATTAAGACTTGAGTATTACAATCAATAAGATTTAAGGCATAAAATGTCATAGGCCTACAGGGATTACTAGAGAAATACACATTGACGACTCACCCGGTGGAATAATATCTTCTGTTAAACGTGAGCCAGCTGTGGGTACTATAACGTTGGTGTAAATATTCTTCCTTTCGCCTTCAATGGCCAATGTGTTTGCTAATCCTACGAGACCCAGTTTTGCCGAGCTGTAATTAGATTGGCCAAAGTTTCCATACACACCGCTGTTGCTCGATGTAAAAATTACACGGCCGTAATTCTGCTTAATAAAGTACGGCCACGCCGCTTGCGTCGTTTTCATTGCACCTTTCAGATGGACGTCGTGTATGATGTCTGAAAGAAACGCGTGGACATAGAGTACAGATTCATAGAAGACGTTCTGAAAATCGCGGCAGAAACAATTAATTAGCAGGAAATTAATTAATATTACATTTTATCTCCTGTACACATACCCCATTGAGCATCCGTCATCTTCGCAAATGACACGTCCCGCAGGATACCGGCATTATTAACGACCACGTCAATACGGCCAAATGCGTCGATTGCAGTCTTAATAATTTTTGCACCATCCAACACAGAATCGTAATTCGCGACAGCTTTGCCTCCTAAAAAATTATTATCATTTGAACGTTATTTTACTACTCTCAATGTAATGTATAATATAGAGCTACGTAAATATAAAATGCAAATTTTAAATATTATGTGAAGATGAGAAGAAATCGTACAGAGTGCTATTTGAAATACATTACTTTAATAAAGTCCAGATTCAGAAATGCACTAAAATGTTACATGAAAAATTTTTTATATTTTCTAAAAGTTTTGCACCAAACGTATACAAGTTTTGTATTATTAATTAAGGAAATTACATAAATCATCTCAAAATACTAAACCATTTCGTCGAATTTCCTGGACCACAGTATCCGCACTCTTGCTGCTGCTTCCATCGCCATGTCTGTTGCTTCCTAAATCATTTACAACAACGCTAGCACCCCTGGATGCAAACAGCAATGCATAGGCACGTCCCAACCCTAGAAATTATGTGCACATCGCATATTATCTTAATACACATGAATTATATATATTAAGATCATGCACATCGCGTATTATCCTAATAGTACACGTGTAAAAGCTGAATACATAATAGTTAAGTAGATTTTATGCAGACTGTGCATTACTTTCGTATTAAACATTTTTTGAATACGTTTTCCTCTACTGTAAGATCACGTTACAAAGGCTGCGGTCCACTTGACGCTACAAATGTTTTGAAGCGTTCTTCTTCTCCTTCTTTCTTCATTGAAAGAAAGGAGAAGAAGAATGCTTCGAAGCATTTGTAGCATCAAGTGGACCGCAGCCAAAGACGTATTATTATATGTTTCTTGCTTTGTTTTTTTTTTCTTTCCTTCCACAAAAATTAACTTTCCTTTAGTATAAATAGAGATCTTGTTTCTGTTAAAAAAAAATTGTGTTAAATCCATTCTCATCTGATTTATATATTTGACACAAAATACATGTAAATTAAAGAATGCAATAATAAGTACGTGTAAAATACACGCAGAGGCTGATGCCTTGCATATGATGCTAGATGGAAAAAGAAATACTTAAAAAATTTATTTAAAAAAATATATATATCTACCTGCGCCTGCTCCCGTCACCACAACCACTCGGCCGACGAAGCGTATTTCTTGCATCTTTCAAAAGTTTCAAACCTTTGGAGCGCGTTGTAAGCCACGGGTCAACTTTCGCGCTTCCAAACGTCTCTACAAATGAGAAAAATGACCCGTAATGATGAAGCAGAATTAAATCATTGTAAATCATTCAGGTTAAAGTCCACCGTGTAATCTCATTAATGGCACACGGCAGTCACGGCACACGGCACACTCACGCACGCGGCACGGGTACGGACGCACACACACATGAAGCTTCATGTTTACATATTATCGCCACTAGTGGAAAACTTTAATGTAACTATCTCTTTCTATTCAACACCAATAGAAAGAGATAGTTATATAAAACTTTTCACTTTTCATGTTTCCGCCCTAGGGGAAAAAAATATATGATAGACCCCTAGACCATACTGTATAGAGGCAGGAGCCAATAGAAATATAAGGAAAAAGAAGAAGAATACCCCTAGACCATAGGCGCCATCGATCGAGTCGACAGTCGATCAAAACGAGATTAGGTTCATATATATACGGGATCTACGATAGGCGATTTTTGCCGCGTGTTTGGTATGGTTTGGTATCGATACCAAAAATGGTTTTTACGACTTTGTGACTTGTGACTCGCATTGCAAATCCCGGTTTACACACTCGTCTTTGCCGACGGAGTTGAACCTCGGTTCTCGCTCGATGAGTTTCGGAATCGCGATACGCCGCGCCGCGCCGCCGCATTGATTCTCGCAACGCTATTGTCGCTACTCGGCTACTCGTCCTCACACTCCTCACCCGGCTCACCCGACTGTCATCGACGAAATCGGAGCATTCGGAGTGATTCGGAGCTCGGAACTCAGACCGGAACGGATTTTGTTCGATGGATTTGGGAACGCGCCGCAATCGTAGACCGCGTGACCGAACGAACGGTCCAAAGCAAAGCTACGATGCAGCGAGACGTTTGCAAAAGAATACGACGTCATTGACAATGAATCACACGGATGGTCGACGAAACCGCGAACCCGAATGTTTGCACGTGTCCGCTCTTGCACGCTCTCGGTCCTTCCCTGCTTATCTGCTATGCCATATGACCCCTTTCTCCCTCCCTCCTTTCCCCTCCCCATCCCTCTGACGCGCGTCGCGAGTCGCGAGCGTCGAGCACTTTACTTCCACGGCACCTTTTATCTTATTCCTGTTCGGAGGATTTCCGTCTCCTTTCTCCTTCGAGTCCGAACTCCGAGGGACGCCAATGCCAATGTCGCGCCAGCATGCAGCATCGCGATGTATTTATCCGTTTACCTCACCTAGATAGCAGTGAGGCGGTAGGGTAGAGATGATGGAACCGAGTTTCGATCGTGATGACGATAGAGACGGAAACCGGGACGTAAAGCAAAGTCTTTGGACTTCCCTCTACCATTTAACGCTATCCAGCACCCACACATTTCTAGATTTCTACGCCTATGTATGACCCCGATGTAGAGCCTCATCGTAATAGATACGTACGAGATGGGAGAGGAGAGGAGCAGAGGAGTCTCGGATATAGGGTGAGACTCTCGAACGTATCACCTTGATCGCGTCAATATTACCTATCCCATCTTTTTATCTATTGAGAGAAATGGGTCGTGCTGGTTGTGCAGACTGCTGAGTACTGCACAAGTGCAGAGCAGAAGTCGCGTCATTTGTCATTTCGAAAGCGGATACACATCACGGTAACGACTATCGACATCGACATCGACGTAACTCCCAACGACGCGCGACGCTTGTACGGAAGTATTAAAGTGATCGTCGAAAAAGCGAGCACTGCTTCAGAATAAAATATCATATGTCTCGTTACGTTTATCCTCGTTGATCCTAAACTGACATTTCTGCGCAGGATGCCCAAAAAGATCGATTTCTGCAAATAGCTTCACCCGAAAAACTCCATCCGGATTCCGGAATAAAGTTACGTCGACTATAGAACGATATTCACGCATGGAGATGATGGACGTTTTGCACACTCGAGCCGTTTCTCTCTCTCTCTCTCTCTCTCTCTCTCTCTACACTCTACAGATAGGAATAGGAAAATATCGACGCAAGTCAAGCTGGCACGTTCGAACGCCTTACTCCGTGGCCAGTGTAAGTGTATCGGTCGGTTGTCGGTTCATCGGCGTGAACGTTGGTGGGCCGCGCGTTCGAGGAGGCAATGGAGGCATAACGTTTCTCATTGACATCGTGGCATCGGGATACGATGAGTCATCACCACCCTTGGCCGTGCAACGTGCAAAACACGTAGCGCAGGAGGATATGTGCAACCGTATCAACTGTATTTACCGCGCGCGATATATACCCTCGAAATATCAGGTTTAATCGTTTAACGCTCAGATCCGTACGATCTCCGTTACGTGACACGAAGGGTACATGCATGTATATGGTCGGGCCTCGGGCCGCAGTCACGTTTGACTCGGTTTGACATTAGCATTAGACAATAAGTAGACCCGGGTGGCGCGATGCGTGACTAGGTCGAAATTTTCAATGTACGTTATTCGACGCGTCGCCGGCCCGGCCCGGCCCGGCCGGCCGCCACTCTACGTGATTAACGTGATACGCCAGCGGGCAGACGCCACACGCCACACGGGCCACGGTCGCCACGTACGACCAACGATGGCAACGATGCCAACGATTCACGATCCACCCGTTCGTGCTTCGTGCGCCGCTGCCGGCTGCGTGGTAACGTGGTTGCGTTGTGCGTCGAGCAGCGCCAAGCGCACCGAGTGGCACCGAGTGCGAACACTGCGAACTGACGGCGCGCCGAAAGCTTGAACGGCGCGGGGGATCGAGGGAGGAAGGGAGAGAGGGCGCTCGGGGAGACTCGGCCGTCTCCGGCCGGCCACTCGCGTCGCTAGTGGCGCTTCGGCTCGACGTCGACGGCGGTGGGGGTAGAGACGATGCATGGGCCGCGACTAGGAGGCACTCGGGAGGCAGGGAGGGCATGCGAACGACGGTGGAGCGCACAGTTCGGTAGTCGCCATTGCGAGTCTCCCTCGTGTCTCGCGCCGCGCGACCGACGTTTGCGATATACGCGTGGAGCCTGGACTCTATTTTTCGCTTAACCTAATACAATACATCCCCCCCGTTGCGGGCCCCCATGCGCGATACCCCGATGCAGAGATATTGCAGCGAGCTCACCGAAAAATTGTTGAAATCCCTTGACAAGGAATACAATGTAAGTAAAGGCGGAGTATGGAGCGGTGTGTCGCGCGGCGAGATGCACCGCGCCGTCTCCGTGTCCGTACGCGCAAACGGCTATCGGGCCACTCTCGAGCTCGAGCCTCGAGCCCCCGTGCGCCGTGTTGCTGCCTGTACCAGTGACGTGCGCGAGAGTGCCCGCTAGAGTGACAGCGTGTGCGTGTGCGTGTCCGTCTGTGTGTGCGTCCGTGCGCGTTGCTAGCGTGTAGTAGCGCGACGGCCGCGAATGTATGAGTGCCGCCGTCGCCGTCGCCGTCGCGCGCCTCGATCAGCCTCGGTGCCGTCGATGCCGCACCGAGGCCCCACTGCTCACTACTCCTCTCTCCGCGAATACGCGCCTCTGAATCCTCGGAACCCTCCGATCAGTCGGATGTCGGATCACGGCAATTCGCGCGCCCTACGTATGCCTCGCTCGCTGCTCGCTCTCTCACGCACACACTCGCTCGCTCACCCTTCGCCGCGCCGCTCCGCTCCGCCGTCCGCGAGCCACCGAGTGTATGTACGTACTGTACAGTGTACGTGCAAGGGTGGGGGAGAGAAAGAGAGAACGAGCGAGCGAGCGAGCGGGGGAGGGAAAAGGACACCGGCAGAGTCGGGAGTAACGTAACGTAACGACAACGACGTGCGTGTGAGCGCGTTCTCAGCTACCTGGTCACATAACCTCAATCGAGATGACCAACTCCAGCGCGAGCCGATGTGACTATCCGACGTTATGGTACACATCCATCCTCGCTTTCTTTCCTAATTACGTATCATGGTTCGCAACTTGGCGAGTTGCGACGAGGCGAGGGTCTGTCGGATCGCGCGAACGCTACTACTTTTTCCTCAACGAGATACCCTTCTTGATCGCAAATTCGATTGTTAAAAATTATACGACGTTTTCGTCGAGAGAAGCGGGCGGTCGGCACCTCGATGTCGAGGAGTCGAATGAATACGTTCTTTACGAAAATATGTACGCGCGCGCGCGCGCGCGGGGATGTGTATGCATGTGTGTGCGTGTGCCAGTATATATATATGTACATGTTCATATGTAGACGTACGTATATATGGTACGTCGTACGAATATGCACGTGTGTATGTGTGTACGTGTGTAGAACTTGCCATGGACGTTTCCCTTGGAAAGTTTCATCTCTCATGCATCAAAATTCAATTATACGTTCGCGCGCTTGTACGTGAGATAAACATATGTTAAAACGTGCTTATCTTTATTCCAGGTCGTCGATATGCGAGCCGTCGTCGATGTCATTTCGGCACTGGAAAAGACGACAGTTACTAAAGAAGTGTTGGAGGTAACGATCAAATAGATAGTTGACAACTTTATAATATATGCGTGTATTTGGTAGCGATATACGTTGCCTTCCTCTCATTCTACGTCATTCTACAATATGTTATTTTACGCTACGTCATCTTCCCGCTTTGTAACATTAGTTTTATTATTATTTTTAGCTGACGTTCTTGTACCGTTCGCGTTCATTTATCTTTTTCTCTCCTGCACGTGAAAAGAAAAAGTGGAAAGATGAACGGTACGAGTAGTGTTTTGAACTAAAAAGAACACAGACCTATTGTCAATAAATTATAAGAGTATAAAGTGCAAATATAAATATGACAGAAACTGCAATAAAAATTTTAAGAGCTATTTGATACTATTTTGCCTTAGTTTAGTTAGACTAAATATAATTGTAGCTATATAAGTTCTTGTCGATACTTTTTATATTAATAGGTTATAATTTCCTGTAATGAAATAGATGTTTAACCATACAAGTAACGTACATACTTGTGCATATATGCATCACACTTTTCAACTAATAACCATGATACATAACTATTGTCTTTTAACCGTCAACGTTGCATCGATATTTATCTTCAACAGGAACGTTCTAACGCGTGTTGCACGGTGTAATAACGTAATCTCTTTTGGTAGATTACGAGACTTGGAAAACACATCAACGAGCTTCGTCGAAAGACGAGTAATGAAGCCTTGGCCAAGCGTGCGAAAGATTTGGTACGCCGCTGGCGAGACATGGTTTTACCGACGGTACAGTCTACGCCACAGCCTACCCTGGCTGACGCGGCACCACCGGCTCTCAATGGCGCGAAAGAGGTGGTTTTGAGGACGTTCAAGCCACAGAGTCCTGCGTTGCGAGGGCTCAAACCTCACAGTCCTTTATTGAAAGATGCCACTCCTCTCAGAGTAAGTCTCAGTTTTTCACTTTTCACACGTTTTTTTAGTGTCTTTGTGGAATAGCGTGTGAATAGCCAAAGGAGAGAACGTACTCGAGCGTAACGTTCGTTTAAATGTAGCGTAGTGAGTAAACGTCGCAACGTTGTGATTACAGGTTCTCAGTCCGGCACTATCGGTGCACAGTGACCACTCACGATCTCCTAACGCGTCTTCGAATAACAAGCAGTCACGTACCCTTACGAGCACGCACAGGATAAGTTCCTGCTCGAGGAACGCGTCCCCGGTGCTCGGTACCTCGAATCAGAATCATGTAACGGAAGCGGTGCCGCGTACACACAGTTCTAATAAGCGACTACGGAAAGAGGAGAGTAGCAACGACCACGGTCACGACTATCACGCGGCGCCGCATGGAACTGAGTCGACGATAGAACAAGTCAAGAAGAAACGGTTCAACGGCGAGAACATAAGTGGTAATTTAAATTCGCAAGTGCCTAGCCCCACACTGAAGGAACGACGCTCCGCGTGTTTCGCGGAGACAGAGACCTCCCTCGAGACCACGAACGAGGAGTCGGGCCCGAAGAAACGCGGCCGTAAAAAGGGCAGTAAATCCGCGAAGCGACACGCGTTTCTGGAGGACAGCGTGAAGGAGAAACTGGCCAGTATCTCGAGGACGCCGAAGCTCAAGACCACGCAGGAGCTCCTGGCCGATCTGCAGGCGCGCGGAAGTACATGTAGTCCCGTCGGCAGCGCCAATGCCCTACCTAGTCAAAGCGTCGCGGAACCGCCCAGCATGGAAGATGTTCTGCGAGGCAGCAACAGTCAACAGGTGTCCAAGTATCTGCGTTCGAGCCAGAAGAACTCCCAGAGCCTTCACAGGAGTCTGGTGGGTTCCTCGTCGTCGGAGACGTACGCTGGCAAAACGCAAAAGGCGGCTCGCGTGAGATCCGCGGTAACGTGTCGCGAGTCCTCGCCCTCTCCCGAGTCGTGTCAAGACAGGCTGCGCGAGGATATCGATAGGTTATCGGGTAGCACCGAGACGTCGACGTGTCGGTCGCCGTTGCAACGGGATCTCACGGTCGAGGAGATATTGGCCAAGTTACCGCCCTTAGATCCCAGTTCGATAGACTGGGGTGAGAACGATGAACGGAACAACGACGTCGAATGTTTTCCGCCACCGCGGCGGGACGTTACCGCCGAGGATCTCGAGAGGTTACACGTGCGGTATGTCGAAGGACTTAACGGCAACTTCCAACCAAGGCTGTCGACGGCGACCGCGTGTTCCGACGGTGACGAGCGCTCGACGAATGCCAGGGACGGAGGGAACGGAGTGTCGTCAGACGTGTCGAACGTGGATAGTGTAAAAAGTGTGCATAACAACAAAACTGACAATGTGGAATTTCGGGAGTGGCATCAGATGCTAGCGAGGCCCAGTTACCAGGGCGAGATCCTCAACATAATGCCTTATGTTATTATCGATTAGTGATTTTATCATCTTATTCTATTATTATCCTCTGCCTCTGCCTCTCCCCCTCCCCCTCCTCTCCTGCCCTTGAGAAAAGAATTGTGAGGCGAATCTACAAAATATAATTAAAAGCATCCACTTGGTTGAGGACGTACTCGGCCGGTTGGTTTATTAAAACTAACGCGTTCTATTGCGATTTCTGCGTGTGCTCTTCATTTCTATTTACGCTGACGCGCTACTTCATCGCACACATCCTCCTTGTCATCGTCATTCCCATTAACATAGCCGCTGCCTTGCTGATCGTACGTGTACAACCCCGCGCGGCGAATAGCCATCCTTCATACCATCATTGTCGTCATCGACATCTCAACATCGTCATATTATAAAATATTATTATTATTATTATATTATAATATTAATATTATAATTTATATAATATTAATATTATTCCTTTTTATTATTATTATTAATATTATTGTTATTAGTATTATTATGTCGATTTATTAGTACTGTCCCCGCTTCTATCCCTCTCCCTCTCATACGTATTGTTATTGCCATCACCATTGTCATCCATCATCATCATTATTATTAATATCGTTATCAATGTGCTAACGATAAAGAAATTAAGAGACCATTAGAAAAAAGAAATAGAATCAATGCTAAATTATGATTATCGGGGCAAGAGCAACCGCATGATTGATTTTGTAATCGCACTGTACGCGGAACGAGTTGTTAACTGTGAGACATGAATTACATAGATATGAAATAGTGACTATACCGTGGAATACGCCTGCTGCGACACAAGTACCAAGTACATTATTTTTACACAACAATAAAAATAGGCGTCAATGTGGTTTCCGACTTCTGATTTTTGAGTATTCAAATATATATGGTCAATGGGTCGTATCTTTTGCGCGTTACGTGGCGCGAGAAATTTGTTTAGATACATCTCTTTTTTTCCGTCACACGCCGTGTTCAACCCAGACGTATAGTTAACTCTAAATTCCATCGAGGAAAAAAAAGGGAAAAGAAAATAGACGGATGCAAGGATTGCTCTTGCAATGAGAACTCGTGGGAGGACACGCAGATAGCACACAAAGACAGAAATGCAACAAGATTCAAGTACGCGCGCCACGGTCTCCAAGACGTTTGTTGCCCTTTAAATATTTTACAAGACTGTTACACAGGAACTCTGTCGCGCGACTGTAGAAAGCAACGCGCGTTCTTCAAGCTACCAATAAGTTAGGTGCACCGGTGCCTTAAATTAAGAAAAGCAAGAGAAAAAGAAGAACGAAAAAAGAGAATATATTTAAGTGCATCAAGAGGTTTTCTACTCAAAATTTGTTTTCGTTTGTTGCACTTTGCGTTGCGATTTACGGCGGACGTGTCGAAGTCGAAAAGTCACACACGCGTACATTATTAGACGGCGGGAACGTGCGTACGTGATATCAAGTATGGACGCGACACATGGATTTTCTCGTGGGTGCAATATCAGAATAGATTCAAATCTGATAATATTCGGGATGCGCAACAAAAAGTTACAGAGAGCTGAGTGACGTACAATAAAACAAAATTCTGAAACGGATATATATGCGTGCCTGACTTGTCGTCTCCCTCGGAGGTGTGATCCCTGTCGAGCTCAATATTACGATAAGGCATCTAGTCCAAGTAAAGAATCGAGAGACGTGTTTTGTAGAGTTGCGTTCAATACATTTGTTAAAACTATCCGTCTACATTTGGGCGAAAGGACAAGTCCTTTTTAATTCTTTAGCCGTCTTTCTCATTCTCCGTCATCCTTCAAAATCCTTTCGAGATTTTCCCCGCGATCGGACGCGCCTGCCTGGAGAAACATGCGTATCGTCCAAAAGGCTGTATAGCGCGTAGGTCGAAAGCTACGATGAAAGAAACTGGGTTTATACGAGTCGCATCTGTTATCTGAAAACTACGAGACGCTTTGGAAGTGGCGAGTCACGACGTTCTTCCAAACTCTTTGTTTTATCATACGCCATTCAGTTTCGAAGCTTTTACGACACGAGTCTTGTACATTTCTTGTGTGAAATAAATCAAGTTGAATATACTCTCCTCATCCGTTGAAGGCATCGCTTATTATTCGCAGCGTGATCTTTTCGTTGTTCCCGTACAGTTAAGGTGATACGATATGCGCTTGTCTCCGTTGTGACAAGAACGTGCGAAGAGCGACGTCGACGAAACGAGGAACAACTTATACTATATAGATCTGGTTTTTCATCTCGGAGGGAACATTTCCTCACGAAACTTTTTTGGCCTCTTTTTTGTATCGCTGGAAAGATTCGTATAGAACCGGACTTTGCGTCTCGGCTCATAAAAATTTATAATAAAAAATGAATAAAAATATGCTATTATACGTAATTTTTTTTTTTTTTTTTTTTTTTTTAAGTAGAACACAATCTAGACAGTTTTTATGCTTCATTTATGCCCGGAATAAATATGTTTCCGTATAATGACAGTACAAACGTAGCAATAGAATGTTTTATAATGGAACCGTTTTTTAGAAACACAACGTAAGTTTTACACACGGTCCGTGGTTTTACATGTACGTTTATTCTATTTGAGCACGTTGTCCTATTTTCTCTGACGAGATCTCAACACTCGTTTTAATTACCTTTTTAAGAAACGTTTACGTTTTATTTTGAACTAAACGAACAAATCTAAAATTTCATTGTAATCTTGTATATGATTTACAGAAATTAATTTTATTATACAATATAGTCTTTTCAAATTGTCACGTATATGTACATTGTACATGTACATACATATTCTATATCATTTTGTCGCACTTCCCATTTTTGTACCGTTCATCTTGCACTAGCAGAGTCGGTTATTTGTTCCACAGACTCACCCTGTGCTAGTTTCAATGGTTGTTTGGGCTTTTTTCGTGGTATCAATGCCGCAACGACGTATCTGCCCTCCTCGTTGACGAAATTGAATACCGTGCATGCGTTATAGACGGAAAGTATTTCTGTAGCAATATCGAGCTTCTTCACGAGTTTTCGGAGATCTTTTACATAGTCGAAATCATATTGATCGTCCAATCCAATGACCAAGAGATCGGGCTTTGGCTCGAGAACATTGAATAACGAAAGTGATGCGTCATTTATATGTTTGCCGGATTGAACGTTCCAGCAGACGGCGTGTCTGGGAAAGAGCACCGTTGGCCCTATCACTTTCGTGCCAGTGTTTAACGTGAATCCCATCTGAAAAATAGGAAATCATACGTTGGAGTTAACGCACGTTTGCCTGAATGTAAAACATAAACCACGTACCTCGTCGCAGTGAGATATCAAAAGTCGGGTGCCGATCTCCTTGCTGATGAACGTCACGGTGGTTTTACCAGGACCTTCGTACGCATTTTGAATTATACGTGTAACGTGTAACGTCCTGCGAAACGTGTAGGTGTATTTGAGCAACTTTACGAGCAAGAGCCTTACGAGCGAACGTAGAACGGTAGAAGCAAAAGTGAAAACGTGTGGAAAGGAAAAAGCTTGTCATTTCTTTTATAATTCTACATAGAAAAACGGATGCTCTCCCCTCTTCGATGTATAGTTTATTCAGTTTATTGGTACGCGGTATTTAAGTTCTTAGAATTAACGTCACACGACACTCGGAAATGTTATACAATCGTTAGCGCGAAGTAATTCAAGTAATCATTTGTTTCTTTGCAACCGTACAACGATAGGTGTTACAAACACGTGTTTCGCACGTCACGTACCTGTAACCTCGCGGCGTTCGTCTTACGTGACACAACTTGCCGATCACGTTCATTATGTTTTAGCCCGAGGCGAAGTATCTGCAGATCTGCAGCCTGCAGCAGCGAATAGGCTCAGGTTAGTTGTGCTTTTTATGACTTGTGACGACGTGACAAACCACTTAGCAAAATCGTAGGTTGTAGGTTAGGACGTTCCGAGCCGAGCAGTTCCGAGTTTTCCGTCTTCGTTTTTGGAAACAATCTCCTCGTCGAGTCGAGGGTCGAGGGGGTGTTTCCGCCGCCCGACTCTTTTAGCCGCGACTCGCCGAAGCGGAGATCGTCGCCGGCGCTCCTCTTCCCTGCTCTTCTCGCGACAGTCGCGACGTTTCTCCGCACAAAGCTGAACTCGCACGAGCACGAGCGAGAATCGAGAAACGAGAAACGGGATCCGTCATCCGTCCAGGGTGCGGCGATTTAAAACCGCGTCCCGCATCATGGCGATGCGCGGTCGGCGGTCGCGGCGGGCGCCCCTTCCCGTTTTTTCAGTATATTTTTAGCAATATCGCGTATAAATACTCCGTCGCGAAGATACGTTATTTCAATGTAACGCCGATGAGCAGCGACTGGATTGAAAATGAGCAAGGGCTGCTGGAAATTCGACGAAGAGGATAAAGGTGAGCGTACGATGGTCTCTCTCTCTCTCTTTCGCTCTCCCGACTCCCGAGCCCGATCCCGAGAGAAATCAACGAGAACAATCGATATTCCGCCATTTCCACCTCGCCCCTCGCCGCTCGCGCGTTCGCGGCCCGGAAAAGCCGGATGCCCCTCGACGTTACGTTTCAGGTATCTCGCGCACTTGATCTAAAGCTAAAGAGACGCGGTACTCCGCTCGTGCTGTCGCGTATAAATAACACACGACTTTTGTTCCTGCATAGTTGTGCATAACTTTCCAGTTTCCTCTCGAGTCTCGACGTAATACTTAATACTTGAGCACGTATGTGTACATACATACGTGTAACGTTACGTAGGGAATGCCGGCGCGGCGGCGTGCGGAGTACGTCACCTCGATGAACGACGAGAGGGAAAACCGCGATTAAAAATCAGGCGTACATCGTACGCGACGTTAATATCGTCTAAAAATACGTGGCATTCAAGGTAGACATATGTAAAAATAGGAAATCGGTACAAGGCGAGAAAACACATAGCACTGATCTCGGTAGATACACAAGTTCAATTTCTAGGCTTATAAGGTGGTTCTTATAAAAGCGAATCTTATCTGCCACAAGCCGTGTATATAGATCTGGACGAGGAGGACACGGAAGAGGATAAGCTGTGCAAGGAGTACAGCTCCTGGGATCAGATACCTGATATCCTACTGGAGGAGATATTCTCGTATCTGAGCATTCGCGAGCGTTACTATGCGTCCCTGGTGTGCCGCGCGTGGTATCGCGCCTTCAAGCTGCAGAACGTATGGTCAACGTTTACCCTGGAGGACACCACTCTCACGCGGGGCAAGTTCAACTACTACAGCGGCTGGCAGTACGTCCTGGATCACATAAGAACGTCCACCTGCTTGAACAAAGTCGGGAGGAACTTCCGCACGCTCGTATTCGAGCCCATGCTGAATTTCTACAATCTTTACGAATTCATGAACATGATATCCTGGTACGCCGAACGGCAGGGCTCGGACAACACGTCCGTTGCCGGCGTGGGTACCTATATTCGCAGGCTCAAGTTTACCTTTCCCTGCAACATGGCGAACAGGGATGATCCCGATCGAATCAGAGTTTTCGGCACGGGTGGGAAACTGCTCGAAGCTCTCAAGAGGCTCATGAGAAACCTACAGAATCTTAAATGCCTGGAGCTGATAGATCTAATGCTCGAGAGCAACGAGGCGTTACACTTGATGGACGATATCTGTATTAACTGTACTCAGACCTTGTCGAAATTGATATTGATAAACACCACACGTTACTATTGTCCGTTATTACACGTAGGAGTATTCGTTAACTTAAACGTAAGTATACGTCAAGTATGTACTGATATTCAGTTGGTAGATCAATATTCTTGATATTTCATTTCACATTTAAAATACTTGCAGGTTTTAGTTATTAGTCCCCAAAATTTGCACGAGGATGTAATAGAGCTGATAGGTTACACAAAATTAAGGCACCTTCATATCCTGCAAAATCGATATAGTCCGAAAGACACTACCATAAGATTGGTACGTATCGTACTGTGCGCATACATTAATCCTTAATCCTTTGCATCGACAGATATATTCATTCAGCTTTTTATTTCAGCCAAAAAGATCGTCTTGGATCAAGATGAAAGCAAACAATCCCTATTTAAAAGTACACTTTGAGATAGAGAGTTATAAAGCCACGGATATCCTTTTGCCTATCGATTTATTGGAACACAGTGTCATACCATGTCATAGTATAGTATTGGATAATCCAAATACTCAAGTTAGCGAGATAATATGCATTTTTATGTCGGAGAGCAAAACGTCGAAACGTCTTCATCCTACTAATGCTCCGCAGGTTTCGCCGTCCATGGTGTTCCACGGAACGTTCTTCGAGTCGACGATACGGGTGTACGCTTTCAAGGGAGTAACGAGATACTATCTGCACAGGAGCTTCGCTAAGAGATTGGACGAGCCGTTAGTGCAGTTCTGCCGAATGTGCCCGAATCTGCATACACTGGTAGCATTTTGTATTTGAATCCAAAAAGCTTGTGATAGCTTTCCTAAAACACTGATGTTAACAACGCGACTTTACGACATGCTGGCATGCGTTCGTACCTTTACACATTATGAAAGTCTTTCTTGCTATTGTGTGAGTGTAAGTTCCTCCTAACTATCGTAGGCTTACTTATCCCGATGTTGCGCGTGCTAAATAGTCAGAATGTTAAATGTTCTACAAAACTTTTGTCTTTTTCATCGTAATGTATTCCAAAATGTAGAAATGTTCTTCTTTCTACATTTAGGTAAACAGTTACGTGAATAGCTGTGTATGAGATATGAACCATTCAGAACTCGAACTCGATAAAATTCTAAATCTGCGAAATTCATTTAGATACACGTTTATATACACGATGTTACCAAGTCGTTAACTATTTAGCTTCTGGACGCCTGATATAACACGAACTAAAAAAAATTTAGAAAAGACGCTGCTGTTCTATCATACGCCGCAAGTTCCTATCGATTTATATATAATATAGCGTACAAATAACACTTCTTCCACAGATGATCCGAGATAAAATATCGACCGCTACGATTTTAGAGATTGTCTCTACCGCGAAATGCTTACGCTGTTTGTACGTTCGGCGAAACGTAGTCCTGAAGAGATTTGATAGAGCCTGGTCGGAAACTCTGGATAGATCATCCGAGTATTATCGATGGATCAAGGTAAATAGCCGTAGTTACGAGAACACGGAAAGGGAAGTGTCCAGAATATTGGGCTATCGATGGCATATGCTGTCTGAGAAAGAATTTAAGGCGCAAATACTCACGTTGCACATATAAGCCGCTTATGAAGCGATTTTATGTGTTACGGTAAAAACAAAATCAGTACGTGTATACATTTACTAGTCACGTTACATATTAAATCAATAACAATACTGAAACATACATTGATATTTTTACTGACAAATGTATGTACGTGCTATTCTAATCTAATATAGCAAAAATATACACGTCGTAGTACCATTTTACGTTGGCCATGAATAAAAACCATATTTCATTAAATAACTGAAACTTGGAGTAAGTATATTTACTAATGAGTATACACGTAGTAAAAATTGTTTTTACCGTAACATGTGCAAATGAGACGTTGCCTATATTTTTTAGTTCTGAAATCTTTTTATATAATCATATATTAATTTATTATATTTATATATAATGAAATGAGGCTGTAGATTGGTTGCCATGACTGTACGCTTAATATTAGTGCCATTAGTGGTAAATCCTGTAATTACATGCAACTGTTATTTTTATGTACCACTGTGTTATAATCGTGATTGTAAAAATTGTTATCGCGGATATATCGAAAGAGATTGAAATGTACTTAATTAAAAAGGTATCATTATATGATTTTGTGATTGTTGTACATGACTGTGATCGACATTGTTAACCGCCGAAGATAAAGGGATTTGTTAGACATTTGTTGGACTGTTCTCTAAAGAGAAAGATATAATAATAAAACGGGTAATTTTCTGATGACGTTTATCTTTATATAATCTACGTTCTAGTTTAATACGTCATTACACAACTTACATATACGTATGTACAATGCTAATAAATATTTCGTACATCTTATGTGTATGTGTTAACTGTTATATACGAAATACGTCCATCAGTTTGCATATTATAATCCATTTTTAAACCAGACGTTATAATTCAATCTATAAGTGTATTATTAATATAAAAAGATTAAAACGTGCAATTTCATTACAAAATCAACATATGTATAATATACATATCTAAGAAAAAAACAACAATGATAACAGTTCAAAAGATATCACCGATTCGACATGATCGCGTGATCGAGTTGATAAAAACACGTTAATACACGTACTGAAATAATTTATGCGAAATGCAATCATTGTTACCAGCATTACAATTGTATATACACATATTTCGACTTGTATATACACGTAGACTTTATTAAATATCACTAAATAAATATAGCCGTTAAAGCGACGACATAAATCACATGTTTACACCGACGGAATTTATGCAAGAAGAAAGAACGTACATCATATGGAATATCTGTACAATTTCGACTTGAAAATTGATTGAGAAACAGCAATTTTACGCTATTGAATGTAGCTACAATAAATTAAAAAAGAAAAAATTTAAATATACTTGCATTACACTAAAATGAGACAACCAGCATAGGAATAGAAGTGTGATTACGGTGCCATAGCTGCAGATCGTTTGTCGCGATTCTTATTGCGCTGAATGGTGCGTGCCTTGAACGCGGCCGCGTTCATCAATGTCTACAAGTCGAAAAGGGAGGAAATTATATTTAGCGTTATTACTTAAAACGCGAATGATCGCTTTTACTCGGATACTTACTCTTTCTAATTTACTCGTTTTGATCGTGATCGGTGGAGGTAGAACTTTGTTGCCAAGGTGAAAGATCTCGCGCAGGAGTTGATTTTCAGCAAGATGGATATTGATACCGGGGCCTAATAGTCGGCAGCAAGCGTTATACTGAGTCCTCGCGCACCATCCCTCTAAATACAGAGTTTCCTGGCCGAATCTCACGTGCATCTCCGGAACGATGTCTTCCTAGAAGTAAAACGGATCGTGTAGTGTCTCCTTATTTTATCTTGGCATCGGCGATCATCGCGAGTTTCGATTTTAAAACGGACAAACATATTGTTCGAGTAAATAGCGCAATATAACTTACCTCGATATAACGCAGAATATCTCTAAAATTAGCGCGTTGCTGTTTGCGATCTTTCTTAGCGCGGTACTTGTTGGAATCCGTGGCGAGTTCCTTGAGAATTTCGACCAGGTCGAGCGCCCACGTCTGCTCGTAGTCGCAGGAGAACGCGCGACCGAGTTCGAATATCACCGCCAGCGCTTCGCCGGCTGACAAGCGTACGTCGAGATGTGGCGATTCCAGCAATTCGCGCAATCGATTGAGCGAACTGAAAGAGAACGTTTCGTTTGTTTATCGTCGACGTTTGACAACCGCGCGCGCTCCCGATACGTTTCGACGATCGATGACTTACGGCATGTAACTGTTCGTTCTGCCGCTCGCGAGCAAATTGTAGATATCCGCGGAATTCATAACTGTTAGAAGCAGGGTCCACGATGAGATAGCTGCCACGTGGAGCGCCGCCACATCCGTGGATATGTTCGCGATCGCGCCGTTTCCTTTCAAATAGGAGCCCGAAAAGATAGATGACAGTAACTGTGCAATTTCCATGGTGTCGGTCACATCATTGCTTGATAAGAATTGATTCATGGCCAACGCCCAGCAACACTGGAATCATTTTATTAATATAAAAAGTCTGCCATTAACCATACAAAACCATACAGAATGTGAGACGTTAACGATCAAGTATATGCAGTCTAATCTCATATCGAAAAATTGCCAACAAAAATATTGATTGAAATATTGACCTAGGCTACGTAAGCATCTTTTTATTACTCTTTGCGTACCTCGGCGCGTGCATGGACAGAAGCTGCGTTGTCGTTAGCGATGAAGGTAAGAGTCGACTTTAGATCTCTGCAGACCATCTCGGCGCTCTCGAAGGCGCCCAACTGGACGCACAGCAGGGTGCTCAATCTGGCCGCCGTCGACTGCTCGTCACCACGTCCCTTCTTCAAGCCACGCTCCGTGGCATCCGCAATGGTCATTTTTCTGTCCTCGACGAAATCGGGGATGTACTTGATGGCGAAAATTTTCTCGATGCCCGTGAAGCAGATGGTTCGGCCCTTCGCGCTCTTCTGCGTCAGGCCGTCGATCGCCTCCTTCAGCTTCTCCTCGAACGCCTCCTGCTGCGCGAGCTCCTCCACCTCGTTGTCGTTCGCGTCCTCCAGCACGCTACGGTTGTCGGATTGGCCGCTGGTCTCGCTACACGCATCATTGTTGATCGAATCCTCATCGGATGTAAACTCAGCTCTTTTTCCACCTGTCAGCAGAACGCGAAACATACAATATGTTTATACAGACCAGACCTTTATGTGTGGTCTTCTGAGTATACATGTGCACACGCACGCACGCACACACACGCGTACACATTTCTTTATTTTACTCACTACCTGTGAGTCGTAGAGATGCGAAATACGTGGCAACTTGTCAGTAAGATGCCGCATATGGAGTTACGATCTTCGCATGTATTCGTTAATATGTATGTGACAACCATCGGCGTTAATGACGATAAGCGATCTTAATATTCTTGAGTCATTAAGAGGAACGAGGACATTTCTCAGAAATCGGTCGAAAGCGATTTGACAATAGCTTATCTCCGCCAATAATAGATAAACAAAGGTTCGAAGTTTGAAAATCTTACGTCAGTTGGAAACTATGCAGGTCTTAGCAAAGCAATGTAATCCCAAGTTAAGGAAAATAATAACAGCTGCTGAAAGTGAATGTCATAACGTTACATAATGTGAAATCTGTACACAGCTGTACCTGTCTCGTTAGCGATTAGCGGTATGTGCCACGACAGTATACCTTACGGTAATATTCGTTCAAGTATGAACGAAATGTCTAGCTAAAATGAAATATGTTAGTTACATTCTTTATAATTTTCACAATTCTATATTTGCACAAAAAAACAGAGAAAATGCCTAAACACACCGCCAAAATGATTAAAATCATCCTACGGAAATTAAATAAATTCCAGTCGTTAAATTCGGTAATTCCCGAATCGCATACGAGTTTTATCGAGTGGAAGAAGATTATGTAGCTATCGCCGATTCGTCGACGGAGAAGCAAACAAACAAAAAAAAAAGTTGAAAAGCCGCGACTCATCCACGACAAACGCGCAATACGGGAATAATAAAAATCCGTGGTTTCTGGTTTCAGCCGAGTCCTTGAGGAAGTTGGGAAAGGCGGGGCAAAGAAAAGGATTTTTTTTTTTGCGCGCGCTAGTTAAGTCGAATATTCATCAGGTCGATAGGACAAACATCGGATAAACATCTGAGGAAGTGTGCGAAACGTCATTAAGCTTGAACAAAGCGACAATCCATTTGCTACCGATTGCGCAAATCCCTGCTCACGCATGCACGCCTATTGCGATCGAGGAAAGGTATCGAGCGAGCCGCGCGTCGCGCGTGCGACTAAAAATAAAGCGAGACTGCGAGAATAAAGAAAGGGGCGAAAAAATTTTTGTTTCGAGCGCAAAAAAGACAAAGGCAAAAAAGATACGCGTATATCCCACCCCACTCCCACATATATCGCAATCACGCGAGTCACGTTCACGTAGGATATGTTCGTCTCGGTCTCGTATGATCGATCATCCCGGTACTCGCCAGTAATTATCGTCGTCGTTACCGTCGAAAACGTGCGCAACCACGTATTGTGACGCACGTATGATTCGCGTATCTCGTCACGCCTCGTGGCTCTTTGCGATATCTCGTATAACCTCTTGCGGAAATTGCGCATTTTTTTTTTCAACCGCGAGCGCGAATGCCCTTGCATATCTTTACGGGTATGCCTTTCGAAGTTCCCGAAGGTGGACTTGGTTCGTCCGGCGGGACGTCGCGCGGCTCCATGTGTCGGGCCGTCAGAGGCTCAGACTCGGCATGAGAGTCACATGGGAATATCGCGTCCGCCATGGTCTCGATGGAGCATGGAGCATGGAGCATGGAGCCCGCTCGCGTTTTCGCGCGCCAAAAAGGGGCGAATCTCGGGAAGGAACAAAGAAAGATGTTTATTAAGACAAAGCGGGCAAGACGAGGCGTCGCGCCGTGACGTAAGTCGACGAAATAAATAAGACTTCCATTCCGGATACGTGAAAATCATTCGGAACCGGAACGGACAAACGGGCGGACGGACGGACGGACGGAGGCGCGAATCGATAATTTAATAATGTCGAGCGCGTCACGTGCGCGTTTCTCTCGCCAGATCGTAGGCTCCGGACGAGATAACGACGTTATACGTCATACTCGGCGAAGATGAGCCATAGTCAGTAGTGATGGGTGCTTACCGTACTTTCCTCTTCTGCCCCCTTTGCCTGGCATCGTTCCTCAGCCTCCTTATCACACAATTGGTACTAGGTAAAAGACTCGATCAAGAGGGTAAATGTCTCGAACTAATGTCTTTCTTTCGTATACTGAATACGCCACGTGAATTTTTCGTTGGGAGCAGACGAAAACTCATTAACATGTTGCGGAGCGTTCAGAACATACACGTCGAGACAGCCTACGATGGCTTTCTCAAGTGCACTGGCCGTCCGTCTCTCTCCCTGTCTCCCTGGCGCTGGCTGGCGGCTGGCGCTGGCCCCGCCGAACGGCCGAACATGCACGAACATTCTCGATCCGCCCACGAGCGCGATCGAAGACGCCCGAAATGCGATCATTGCGCGACTTGCGCGAGCCACGCGGAGCTCATGCAAGCTCATGATTTCCTACGCCTACGCTTCGTCAAGCCCGCGCAGATGGCGCAGATTCGCGAGCGATTCAAGTTGCGCGCTCGCGTGCGGCCATCGGCGCGGGATTTTCAATCTGTTAACCTTAGCGACTACTTGCACAATATATGTGGACGTGAAATCAATCGACGAGAGTCAACGATATTAAAACGTGTCCTTACCGTTACATCTCGAAGACTTAAATACGTAGATTTTAAATAGAGAGAAAGCATCTTAAAATTTAAAATAAAGATCTTTTGAATATATGGAAAAATCATAAATGCTCCAACATCTGTAAACAGTTTAACCGGTTTAACGTAAAAAGCTCACGACAGCTTGGTTGTAAAAAAGGTATACTGAGTTTATTAAATACACTGCCTTAACAAAGTAAATACAAACACTTTGGTACTTATTAAACTATGCGTTAAGATACATTTGCCGTAACTTATATCGCATTTGTATTTCTATGGTATGTGAACACGTGATCGCGTATCGGTAAAAATGTCATGCGAGTTTGTTACGTCTAAACTGCTCTACAAGCAATACTGCTTTATTCTTCGACCGTACAAAGTAGTAAAAGCTTTTTACGACCTAACATCACACGTTGTTAATTTGTAAAATCTACCACTCTGTTTCTTTCCCGGAGAATTAACGTGTTCTCTAAAAAAATCTATACGTGTAATAAAAATCTGACGTTATTGAAACAAAGATGTCTTATTTGTAAAACGCAAAGTTACCTAAAATCTTATCTAAGGTTTTTGGAACATGTACAAAAAATGTATTCACGTAAACGTGATACTAGTACGACGATTCATCAGATATAATGTAAAATATTTTTTATTTTTTTTTAAATCAAACGTATTACTTCACTTGTTACACGTTTTACTTGCATAATGTAGCAAGTAACAGGTGTAAGTAGTTACATAAATAAATATATAACTACATAAATAAAAATATTCTTATATATAATAAACGTGGACATATAAAATATATAGCAATATATTCATATTTGTTATATAACTTTGATTTGAGTAGCCATTAAAGGAAAGGGCCTATATACGTGTAAATCGTTTTTGATATTTTTGAGTCAAATATCTAAATTTCCAACTTCTTAGATTTCTCATGCATATATATCAATAAAAAAAAACCAGTATTCAATCCCGATGGGAAAAGATTTACAAACGTATTTGACAAAATCTGGATAAAATTTGAAATGCTGCACGTGTCTCAATATTTGCAACAATACTTGTAGAACGTTAGATTATTGTGCAAATATTGATAAATATTTGCACGATTTACTTCTAAATAATATTTCAGTAAAACAGCAGTGTTAGGACGTCATCATTTTAGTGCACGTATTGTGAACGTCCTCTCAGTTGAGCGATGTGCACGTATTGTACATTTGCGCACGTGTCCTATCGGGGAATATAACTTGAATACTTGCATATTAACGTACGTACATTAAGTATTAAACAACGTAACGTATATTACTTTCGAAATAAGAGAAAGTATGTCTATGCGAGAAAAAGACCTCAACGTAAACCTCGTTTTGTAAAAGAATAAGAAAGACTTGTACACGTAGAAAAAAAGCATAAAAATGAAAAGCATAATATATATATCCTTGATCCATGGCTACGTATAAACTTTCATATTATCTCTGTTCACCGTATCTTCAGGTATTTTGAACATTCTTTATAATGTGTTTATATTGTACGAGCTACTGATAGAGCTACCGTAGCTTGTTACAAGAGACAAAACGATAGATAGAATCGCTATGGTTGAAAGAGCGCCCATGTGCGAAGCGCTAGATCCAGACTGTGTGCCGGTAGCAGCAGCGCTTTGTGCTGCGTTGAGTAAATTCTCGCACGGCGTCACTCTCCTGACGAAATTAAATATAGAATCCATTATATTTGCAGGCGTGGGATCCGAGCACTTTTCCAACTCCGCCACAACGCAGCTTTGGAGTACAGTCATGTCCCTGCGCGATGTATCGAGCAAAATATAAGTTTTTCCATCCCGTAGAGAAGAATGTGGTAAAATATCAATATTAACTGTGTTGAACTTCATATCTCATCAAACGTGCAAGATTTTGAATATAAATGTTCAACGTGGTAGGAATATTGGAAAGGAACAAACTCGTAAACTTGGCGCGCGGCTCACCTGCATTCTTTGATACCAAAAGTCAGTGACGGCAGACTCTCTAGTCCCACTAAACCATTTGTAGTTGGATCAGTTCTTGGTACGTAACCACCATATGTACGGTTGGCACAATCCTGAATCGCTTGCTGCTTCGATTGGAAGCATTCTGGTCCTCCAGCTGAGATGAAAACTGCAAAACGTGGGTGATGTAACTCAAACTAATGTAACGTTAGCCATAATACGGCCACGAGAAGCGTCTAAAAGATACCTCCAGAAAAATCTTTAAAAAGTTTATTTGAAAAGTATAACTTTTTTTTAAGACTCTCTGATTTTAGAAATGTTCCTCAAACGTTTCTTATACAATAAATGTTTATGGAATTTGATATTATTGTTACAAACGTAATAAAACGTAAATAAAACCATCGATTCACACATACGAGCGATCCTATCGCCTTCCTTGAAGCAAATGAACTCGAGCAGCGAGTCGGTTATGTTCAGCACTATTTTCTTGTTCTCCCTCTCCTTCTCGTCCAGACACTGTTCCACCGTCTGCGTGAAATTGCTCACGCAAGCTCGCAGAGTGGCGCGCTTGCTGCAGTAGTTCTTGAAGACAATATCCAAATCGCCGGTCGGCTTGTACTTTTCCATCTCCGCCTGGAGTTCCGTAATGTTGATGAGCGACCGAAGACAATCTGCCATATCAATTTGCGCGCGATGAGCATCCTCGAATGCTTTTGGTCCGCCGTTTTTTGTACACTTCTCCTTAAAAAGTTTTTTCGCCTCTTCGATGGAGGGTAGCGCCGATGTGTTCACGTTCTTCAATTCTGGGACGTCGCCCACCACGTTGCTGACTTGTTGCAGAACCTCGTCGGCAGATGGTAACGTCTCTTTCTCTTGCGAATGCGTACATCCAATGATACCTGTGAAACAAGGAAACAATATCACGTTCAGAAATAAAATTCATTAAAGAATATTTTTCTTTCATATTGTAGCATTATATCGTTACGTTTTTCCGTTGGGATTATACACGATATTACGACTCTCTGATATGAAATACTTGATAGTGTTGTTGTTTATAGTTTTGAAGTTGATTTGCATTTAGAATAGTACGTTATCGCACGTTAGCATCTAATACTGCACAAGGATATATCGATTTTATATCGATCGCAAAGAGACGTGATGTTCTATGAGAGAGAGCCGCAAAAATCCTTCGTAGATTAACAGCTGAAAACTACATAGTACAATAATATGCATGTATCACGTTTGCCACGTGATGTTTTTCTGATATTTTGTTCGCGCAATCATCTCGCATTTTTTCGCAGAGCACGTTTTGTTGTTGTAGTTTTATCGTAATTTACCAAGCGTGACTTATTCCGTAGATGTATAAGATGTGATCTGCAAAAGTATACGCTAGTAAAAAAAAAAAGAGGAAAAAACAGGATAATTTTCATTTTTTATTGCAGTCACGCGCTTGTAGTTAATTACATAATAACTATTCATACAAATTATACAAATAACTATTCATTAAATGTAAGAGTGAGATATCAAGCCATTGTTATACATCTACTGTTTTTAAGCTTCAATATTAAATTCGTCGCTATATTTTTAATTTTCTTTAACCCTACATTATACTCGCGGAGGGTAAAGCAGAAGTACTTTAGCCTTAGAAATTTAAATTCAGTGAAATTTTTTTTATTGATCGACGTCTGCATAAATTATTTCACACGTTCACAAAGAAGAACTTTTGCACTCATCTTTTAAAAGATACATATGATATTATCAATTTTGATTTGTAAATTATCACAGAGAACAATGAAAATTAAGATATGACGTTAGGGTGTATAATAAATACATTCCACGCGAGTAACGTTAGGATTGAAAACGAGCGGGCAGACTTCTCCAAATTTTATCTCCGACGTCTTCACGATTAATAGATTTATATTGTATCGTAAGGCTGCTCAAGAGATCTTTGTTTGGAGCACGCTTCCTTGCGAAGCTTCCTCGTGGCCGCGAGGTCAAAATGCATAATCTATGGACTTTGTATCCGTATTACTCAGCCTTCAATGAGTGGTCCCGTTTTATCTTTCTCCCTTGTTGCATTTTTCGCGCAGGAAATGTTCCACGATGGAACACTGCCCGACTATCATACCGAGCTTAAACACGTCTCTTTCAATTTTTGCCGAGTATTTTGATCCGTCGATGTTCGACGTTTCGTATCGACAATACACCGAGGAAGCCGCTGCTGTTTCTCTTTTCATCGCCGTCGTGTAAAGCAGATCTCTCAGATCTCGCCATGATGAGTAATACGGTATTATCAACTATATCTGGGGAAAATAATAAGCCAAGTTTTGAAACCGGACAAAGATGTGTCTAAACGTGAGTCATCGCTAAAGAAAAAAAAAGAGATAATTATTTTTATTCGATCGGTCTACATTTCTACAAGATAGTCATATCTCCATGGATTTTGATGTGGCACGTGATAGATCAGGGAATCTTTAGATCGAAGACAAAGCGAAGTTTTCTCTTATCTTATTTCAAATTTATTTACGTCAGAACTATCGTGCCGCTTCACGCGGTCTTTTCTCGTTTACCTCTAAACAGAAAACGCGAAACAGAAACGCGCATTGCGTAATCTTATTCAGCGATTCTCAAACATACGTGGAGTTTCTGTGAATATATATCCGTCAGAAAAACACAATCGTATTAATTTCAACAAACGTGGACAAGCGTCTTCTACTATTTGCCGGGCGATCTAACACTTAAATTTTCTGGAGGATGTATGGATCCCCGCTGACGACGATAAATCGTTCATATTTCGACTCCTCTTCGCACGTATAACAGTAACAGGTACGTGGCAAACTGTTGCGCAATGAAAGCAATGAATCGCGTCGTGCGTTCACCAAAATTTCGCATTCAACGACTTCGTCTTCCGCGCTAAACCGACAAAGGCTTACATTTTAATAACAAAAAAATGAGTGGATGTAAATCTGCACTGATTTAGTCGAAATAATATCGTAAAGCTCACACGCAGACCAAACTTTTCTTTTGCGCGCGTTGGCGTTTCGCGCGAAAAGTCCTTCTTGTCCGCGACGACAGGAAGTCGCGCGAAGCACAAACGGTTCAGAAGCCTGCACACGACCTGATCCTAATCCCGATGACGGAAATTCACGGAGACTGGAGAGTGGAGAAATAAAGGCAAAACGTTAAGTGTTGACGAACGCGACATTTTCAATTAATTTAGAAGTAACTTTACGAGGAAATTTTGCTTATCACGTTGAAAAAAGAAATATCGTTCCATTTGATAAAATATTTACCCAGATTCCGTTTCTTAAACGCCTACGTTTAAAAATTTACGATATTTAATAGAGAAGTCGACGGAGATTTAATAAAATGTCAGACTCCCTAACTTGACGGATGATAATACGTATTGCAACCTGATTATTAATATAGTTGGATACGTCGAAGATAACGAGAGAGCTACCCGATGTTTGCTGATATAATGACAAGGTTCGAGCATCACATTTAAATGCGTAATCATGGAGCAAAGTGCGTCGAACACTGTATTAAAAACTTGCCGATCAACGATCAAACGTTATCGCGAACCAACGACGGATCTGATGGAAGAAGACGATCAACGAGTAAGCTTCAATAGCGACGTATACTTAATATCTACGTATCAATAATGATAAGTTTTAAAAACAATTTGGCTAAATAATTTAACGAGCCACCACGCGAGGGTCTATTTTGATTTATTTTCATTTACCTGCGCGACAGGCTGTGAAGTCGGCCATACGTTCGCACGCGCGATACATTCAAAATTCAAATATATGAAACGTACTGTCCATCCTTCAACAAACGCCGTTATTTCGATGTAGGAGTAACTAATCGAGTCATTATAGAGTATAAAATGACGACGAGTATCCATTATTCGTTCCATATCTCAAAATTATCTATAATTTCTAAATCACGTACTTCTTATTTCAAAGAGATCACGTTCTAGCCGACGCGACGTATCCGATCGATCCCAAGGGTGACTTATAATAAGGGTGATCATAATTCCACGTGGAAATTTCGATCAAGGCCGACACGTTCGTATTCAGCGAATAGCTGAACCGAGCTGAACGTAATACGATTAATCGTCGTTGAAGAAAAAGATGCCAGTGGTGAGTGGTACTCGCGTGCAGATTACGTCATCGCACGAACCGTGTGCCGTGTGTGACCGCCGCGGCATATACGTAGTACGTAAAAATTATGATAACGACGGTCTGTCTTCGAAACATTTCAGGACAGTGCACGTTAGTTGCTCGTACGCATAATCTGCCCAAGTACGTAAGTCATCCAAGAATAAGATATTTGAATTTACACGTTCCGATTTTAAATGTTTCAGAAAATTTTGTTTTGCTTCGCCTAATCATATTTACAGCACGGCAGAACGGCATACAACGGACGTGACTTCTGACATCCGATCTATAAACCGACGCCGGCGCCGGCGCCGACGGCAAAACGATGCTATCAACATCATCGTCTTTTCGCGAGCAGCATCATCATCCCTTCGCAGTTCGCCTTGATAAAGGAACCTAAATAAGAGCACCTACTCTATATCGCATTCGCACGTTGGAGCGTTAACGGATAAACTACCTACAGCCTACAGTTTGTCTATACAGCGTACTTTGGCTGCATTCGGAGAGCGTGCTATTAGCGCTATTGTATCATTCTATCTTTATCGCTCATTAAATGTAAAACAAGGATAGAATAAGCAAATAGCGCTAATAGCGCGCTCCCCGAATGCAGCCTTTGTGTATTATATTATCAAACACGAGGAACGTTCCTGATGTGATGTAAATATTTACTCCTGGAGATACATCTTAAATAAAAAGCGGACACAACATACGGGATATCACAGGCTTTACGCTCGTTTCCGGTGGCGTTCCCGTTCTTTGATCAACGGTAAGAATGGCATAGATTTAAAATAATTTTCAAGTGTCTCTCGTGCAAGTGTTACGCAACAAAATGGTATATCTTTTATTTTCTACGGTATGTCAAGAAAGCATTTAGACACCTACGTGGACTTCCTCGTGTACTTGACTAACACGTTCCCGGACGTTCTCCGGATGACGTTTATCATTGTTTCCGCGTGATAGTTGTGACTTTCTCGGTTTATCGTTTCTATGCCACCACGTACCCACGTGCTTCACGTGCGACAAGCGACTTTCTTTCGCTAAAACTGTGTGCAAAACCATCAATCTAACTCGGCGATTTATATTATAATATCCTGTTAACGTTCAAAGGCGCGGAAATTTTATTCCGCAAATACTTGATCAAGATTATGCTGTATCTGTATCTAATCGAACACATGCATATATGTATTATATTCATTTTTATCAATGCAAATTAATATTTTAATCTCGATTTAATTTAGTTTTTGTCTTCTCCTAATTTTACGACGTAGAAAAAGATAAAAAGTGAGATAAGTTAAATCGAGATTAAAGTTAATCTACACTAGAATAGAACGTAATGAATATTAGCCAAGAAGAAGATAAGACAACAGTGATGAGGGCTGAAAAAATGTCTTATCTGCTGATTGGCGCCGATTCTAGTTGACTGGGTTGTAAGATCGCGCCGTTGTAGTCAAGTGAGATTCGGACATAAAAATAAATAAATAAATCCGTGAAATGTGTGAGAATATGACTGGACTAAGTAATTCCAAACGTACCGAGAAGTAACGCTACGGCAGTGAACGTGGTGCACTTCATTTTGGCTGCGGACCTTCGACGACGGCGGGAGAGAGAGAGGAGGCGAATCGAAGGTATCGCTTGGTATCGCTGTCCGCGGCACGGGGCACCGGTGGCACGGTCGAGTTCACGCGCGCACGCACGTCGCACACCTCGGATGACGCACTGCGCGTGCACTCCCAGCACTCCTCAGTCCTCGGTCCTCGCGCGACACAAAGTACAGCCGTACAGAAATGCCTGCATTGGCCTGCAATGCTTGTACGCGCGAGCGGCCAGCCCACTTCGTGTCACCGATCCTTTATTACGGACGGGCGAGACCGAGACCGAGACCGAGACCGAGACGTGTCCACTTCCACTACTTCGCTCCACCGTTAGCTGGCATTGCTGGCAACAACAGTGAACAGAGAGAAGGGGTGGAGGTAGAGAGTAGGATCGTAAGGATGCAAGGAAAGGGAGATAGATAAACAGAGAGAGGGAGTAAGTGAGAGGAGGCACCGAGAGATAAACGGGGGGAAGAAAGAGATAAGGACAGAACAACACACGCAAACCTACAACCTACCCTCCACGACGATCACTCTGCTACTGACTAAACAAACACTGAACGAACTGAACACTGAACTGCAGTCTGCACACGCACACTGCACTGTCTGCACTGAACTCTCGGCGCTCGGCGCGTGTGCCAATTTTATACGCACGCGCCATCTTGCATCCGCGCGATGTACGAACTACGATTACGAAATTTCGTTGCTGACCGCGGCGGATATCTCACCATAATCGCTGTAGGAGTTCCCCGTAAATATATATCCGCATGTTAAATTTATCGAATGATATCAATGTAAATTTAGCATTTGATAAAATTAATCAAGTTTTGTTTATTTTGCGAGCGCTCGATTTTCGTCCCATATGTATCACAACGTGTAGGTACGTTAACGTCAAGTCCTCGGTAGTATAGTGGTCAGTATCCCCGCCTGTCACGCGGGAGACCGGGGTTCGATTCCCCGCCGGGGAGGATTTTTTTTTTTCAAATTAACACGTGTAATTTTAATACATATAATGAATAAAGATCGCTATACGTGTATTATAAAATTTTTATTCTAGAAATTTAGAGTCATTTCTAGTTCTGATATTTTTATCTTTTGATTATATATAGACATATTATAGGTACGTTAGCAGGTTCAGACAGAGGATGTTTTAGAGCGAACTGTTAGTCGCGATACAGATTGTAAAAGTTATAAAATGGTAAGTACAATATTATAAGCATATATGTGGTAAATTTGAAAATCTAGTTTATGCTACTACTTCTTATGCATGTTGAGTAAGATTCTACATCGCGCATCGGTGGTTCAGTGGTAGAATGCTCGCCTGCCACGCGGGCGGCCCGGGTTCGATTCCCGGCCGATGCAATTTTTTTTTCATGCTGTTACTTTTTTTTGTATCGCGCACTATTAATTGTTAAATAACGCTCTGCAAATGTTATTTAATTCAATATACTTCATAATAGTTGTGGACTTTTCGCCTCGTGTACGTGCCACATAAGAGATACATTTTCTCTGATTTATTGTATCTGTAAATTTAAGTAATTGCAGGGATTAAAATACTTTAAGTTTCTGTTGAGAAAATATATCGTTATCTTTGCAGGGCGTCCTCCGAAGAGCAGTCCTCAAAGGTATATTTTATTGTAGCAGCTATAGTCGTTGATTACGTAACGATCGTAAACCAGGTCTCGCGCGTGCTTATTGTTATTGATACCGTGGGTATATAGCAAAGATTGTGTGTGCTTTTTGCAGTACACGTTCGCACATTTAAACTTCGGTTTCAAACGAACCCATATCATATACAAATAAAGTGATGAAGAAATTTATTTTATTAAGAAAAAATAATAATAATTTTATTGGCAAGAAAGAATAAATATATACTGCATATACATACATGTATACCGTATTCACATTATGTCTTTTTTTTTACAGACATTACTTTCGCTTCGATGTTAATTTCGAGAATTTTGCTTAGCGGAACGAATTTCACGGAAGCGTCGCTCTCATTCCCAGAAGAGCGTTGAGCTTATCTGCACTATTACGTGCACAGCCCTACCCTGTTTTTACCACTCGATATGCTCTTAGTCACAGATAATTACTTTTCATTAACGTAATTTAATTCTTGATTAGATAGATATCGTACTTTGCTATTTTTCCTTCCAAAAAGGCACCCATATTTGTTACAAAAACTAATGCGTTTATTTCTAGTTCTTGTTTTACATTTTACTTTTATTGCACCTACAAATTAAATTAAAACCAATCGGATGAATATAACGCTTCATCTTGAATCCAGTTACATCGAAACCGCAGGGAGTTTAAGCGCGTAAAAAGTCAATCCGTTTCATAATCGCATATAATTTATTCGCAGAAGAATAAATAAAAAGTAGGATTACAAAGAGGGATGCTTAAAAAGACGCGAGTGTGCGCCGTGTGCGGTCATGCGGTGCGCATCCACCGCGCTTTGCGCTGCAGACGTGGTCCCTATAACCAACTTGTTTTATAAATAGCTAATAAAGCGCGTCAAGGAAGAAGAAGAAAAAGATTGTCAGACACACATATCTCGCTTTTGTTTGCGCAAGTTTGTCATACATATGCAAACTTTTCATAGTTCAAAAGTGAAGGAGTTATCGCGCGGTTGTCCGGCGACCAAGTAGCTCGACAAGAGAACAAAAATTAGCGAGGGTATCAGATTAATTTTTAACAAGTCTCCCAAGGTCGATTTCCACGCACTTTTTTTTTCTTCTTCTTGATCGAGAATATTCCGGTGGGTTAACGATTAATGAAATACATAGAGTCAGTTTTATAAATTTGATCATCGGTATACTCGCGGACGACTCGCGCGCATTAATATTGAACATAGTATAACATGTTTTTGCTGGATTGCGAAAATACGAGTGCGAATCTAACGAGAAACTAAGGTCATTTCTGATAACGTAACAACGATATTCATTTATTATACATTAGTTTAGCGGAATAGCAACTTTATGGTTGTTAATGCGCTCGACGACCGCCAGTGAAATAGACAGATGCAGCGGCGTGTTATCTCGCGAAATGCAAATAGAGAGATCAAGATTCACAGCTTATAAGCGTTGCGCACCATCAAGTCGAAATACGCATCGTTATCTATACTCGCGCTCATAGCGCTGTAATAATTCATAAATTCTTCCTCCGTTACCTGTAAAGAGAAAAAAAGAACAATAACGGTAAGCAAATTGTCTGGGGATAAAATAATTTTTTAATATTTTTACGATAAAAAGTATGAAATATATATCTAATGATGAATATAATGAATTAGAAAATGGAGCACTTAAAGAATTAAGAGAACATTGCATATTAATTCAATTTCTAAACGCTGATCACGTTGGCACACGTTATTAATCCTTCGCATTATTGGCTAAGGCTGTTAACTAAAATATTTATAAGGCATCAAACTTGATTTAAGCGTGTTCGATAGACGCACGTAGGCAAAATTTTAATACACGGTTTGTCGAGCACGTTTATTTGTGCGAACTTAATATATGTGAGAAACATCATAAAACATCATAAAACCACTTACGACACCGTCGACATTGCCCCCGACCTCGAAATTCGAGAGAAACTTATTTAAAATACTCTCTTCGCTTTCCTCACCGCTGATATAACGCGGATGACATTTCACGTTGTAAACCGTTCGTAGATCGTCGATGGTGATCCGCCCGTCGCCGGTTTTGTCCAATTTCTGAAACGCTTGCTCTACCACGTCTCTTCGGCTTTGACACATCAGTGGCTAAAAATTATTTTATTACCTTAATTACGTTCTATGATTATGCTACATCCACACGTATTACATATTTTATTGCTCATCCGCACATGTTAAAATCGACAATTTTTAAAAACGATTCTTTGCTTGAATGACGCATTAAACGTTTCTAAATGTAAGTACACGTAGACGATTCTTGCCCGAAGTATTTATAATCAAGTAAAATTAAAGAGTATATATAAGCGAACTCACTCTTATGCCGACAAGAAACTCATCGACGCTAATATTTCCATCCTCGTCGGTGTCGAATTTCTGAAAAATTTCATTAATTTCATCGTCGGAAATTTCCATTCCAGTTTCCTCTAAACCCGTTTTAAACTCCTCGAGATTTAGCTTGTTGTTGCCATCCTCGTCCATACGACGGAATACCCTGAAAAAATACAAATAATGCGGGGGATTCAGATGTCTCATTGTCAGCAATATCGTTACGCGACGTACGTGACGACACACACAAAGGTCGAGGCAAGGCAAGGTTGAGACTGATTCACGTGTGAATCAGGTGAAAACCGTATCATCATTGCACGCACACATCTGTGACACTGAATCTTATTCGCGAATACGTAACATTAAATTTTGCCCATCCACTTTTGATTTCGTTCTATACATCTCTTTTATCTCTCTTATCTCGCGTAACTAATATAACGCGAGCTTTGCTTTCTTCGCATTTTTTTTTTTGCATTTCACCTTGTTAGCGGCACATCGTTTAAATTTAAATGCATTCTATTGAAATTATTGCAGTTTAGCTTCTACGTAAAATCTATCGTTATTCCTTAAACTTGGGATTAATGTTTTAAAATGTATAAAAAAATCGACATCCTTTCTTAAATAACAATCTCTCTTGAGTGAGCACACGTATGCCACGTACAAATTATATTTTTATTATATTATTACGAATGATCAAAGTTGTAAAAATACTGATTTTTTTTTTTTCAAATCCTACTCGAAATGCAGTAAGTTTATTTAGAAAGAAATACCGATTAAAATGTAGCCAATTATATGAGAAAAATAATGAAAAAAGAATGATTCAGACATGACCTAGTTAAGAGGAACGTACGAATAAATAGTTTTAACGATAAATAGCTCTATGATTTCGTATAGATTTACTTAATAGCAATGTAAAGGGGTGCTTTTTCGAGACTCACCTACCCAAACCAAGAATGCCATTGGCACCCCTAGCCAGGCAAAGTAGACGCAACTTCTCAATGGAATCCGTGGTGGTGTGTATGGCCCGCTGGGCCTTGTTGATCATTTCAATCTCCTGTCGCGTCGTAGCACTCCGTGGCCTCAAGCTGAACATCGCTGGGAAAGGGAAAAACGTCATTCGCTCACGTGATGAGTATGAGTCAGGTGCGATACGTAGAAAAAAAAGAGAAGGAGAGAGAAAGAACGAGAGCGAGCCACGCGTATTTACATTCCAAAACTGGGCATATTGAGGATGTTTTAAAAAGAATCAGAAATGTTAAGACGTGCATAAAACATAAGCTTTTTTTATAAATAATGTCAGCACGTGAATTTTTACAGATTTTTTTCGCTGGTTAGTCTTTACAAACTTTTATATTTATAAGGAAGTTTAAGATTTTTTAATGAGTTCTAATGGAAGACTCGATGTTGTCTATCAGTTATAAAAAAAAAAACCTGTTAAAAATGTTAAGAACTGAATATATTTTGTACGTTTAATATATGAAGAGAATATGTACTAAAAGTACCTTTTCAAAGATTTGAAAAATATGACCACATGCAGGTTTTCTTTCACGTGACAAATCAAGTGACAAACGAAACAAATCTAACACCATGAAAAAAAAAGCGATCCAAAATAAAGGAACGTACATCGTACATCTATGTATTTACTTAAGTATGGAAGATCGATGAGAAACATTGAATACGTGTTGAATACCTAACGAACAAAGCTACAATTTTGCTTATATGTAGTGAGATACAATGATAAGGTTTTTCACTATCATGCGCACAAAGCTAGATGAAAAGTGGGTTATTGATTAACCGCCTCTGTTGCTTGTCACTTGATGATAATGCACATCAGTTTTCTACATTGCGCGACATCGACGTTCACGTATCCCGTCATCGACCGCCACGTGAAAGCTGTGAAAGCGACCGCTCGTTAATAGTTTTTAATTATTTCGTGAAATATCTCTTGGCTCGCAATAATGGGAGATTGCAAATCGCACCGGCACTTCTATTCTGAAAGCTTCGTTCGCATAAAAGCCTCGGTCGTTGTTGCTGAACACTCCCTCGACTTTTATCTGCGAAATTCTAAAATACACGAAATCTATACCCGGAATATACATATATACATAGAAACGAAATTTATCAAATTAAAAACAACTTGCCGATATTTTTTATTGTTTTAACATGGCATTTATATCAAATATATTCAAAAAGTTTGTACGTATTATATTGTGAGAATTACATTATTGCTATCAAAATAATGTATTAAAACTTGTCAAAAGATACTCTCAGATGTTATACAATATAAAAAATCTAAAATAGTTTTATGCTTTGTTAATATTACCATTTCAGACGTATGACCGGTATCAAAATCGCGGTTGTTTAGATAATAAAGTGATAAGTTATATAAGTTAATATCGTAGATAATATATCGGTGACAAGTTTTTCTACATATAGCATACGGACATACAAAGTACAATAAGGGCCTCGTCGTGTAACGATCACGACTTTGCATCTCGCAAAGTCGTGGCCTGCAGAAATACTTGTCATTCCCAAACAGAAAATCGTTTCAAAATAATTATTAAAAATCACTTTAACGCTATTTAACGCTATTTAACGGTATTTTGATGTTATGACTTTCTGTTCTGTTTGAGTTTTGTTGGTAACCAGAGCGCCGTTGTCGCGATATTAAATATTTGCGAGCGAATGACGTATGCTATGAATATTTGCGAATGTATATATAGCATTTCATCCGGAAATAGAGAGTATATAAAAAGAACAGAATAGAACGTATTTATTATTCATTTTGAAAGCGTGCCTTAATCGTGTGACAATGCTTGACATAATGTTTGACAGTGCTTGACAATGAAAGAAAGATGTTTGCATTAATGAATAGAGGATTACATTTAAAAATTAAGTATGATATAACGTGAAGCACAGAGAAACTAGTACGTTCTTTTAGAAATTTTTTTACTTTTGTAATCATCAGTACGATCAATACCCAAAATAGTGTATAGCGATTATTTTTCGTATTGCCTTGAAAGTTAAATTACTAGACCTAAAATTGAACATAAATAAATTTACGTAAACTTTATAACTTTAAACTTTAGTTTTTTAAAAATTGCAAAGGTTTTTACATATCCGTTGGTTCGGACAGGAGGTTTGCGTGAGAGAGAAACAATACTTTTCTCCACGTACACCATATAATATACATATAGTATAGCTAAGAATTATCGTTATTATACATATTACCCAAAATAGCTGCGTAAAACTACAACAAAATACCTGCTATATTATTCTCCGTTTCTGATAATGCAAGGTCTCGTACGTCCGTTGCGATATTCTTGCAAAAGTTACTACGTGCGAAAAATTGTGATTCGCTCGGGTAAATAACTCACGACGAAAATCCGCGACGGAAAGATAAATATCCGCAAGAATGTCCGGTTAACATTCTTCCTTCCGCGTTTCGCGCGGCATCACTCACACGATGGAGAACGCGGTGGAGGATCGGGAGGACACGTGCGCGTGTGTGCAATGGAAGACGGTTCACGAGATCACCGAGATCACGAGACCAGCAGCGGAAGGAGGCAGAAGAACCGGAGGAACTTGGTTTACTCTTCGCAAGAGGAGGCGAAGGAGGCGAAGGAGGCGGCGGCGGTGGCAGCGCGACGTTTTTTCCAAGAGGACCGGAAAGCGAGTGGCGCGTGGCGTTGGCGGTCCCTCGGCATAGCGGATCGGATCGCGTCGTGAATCCTATAGCGCGACGACACACATTATTACGCGTGCACACCCTGGACGGGAAAAGTCTATACCCCGATGGGTCCCCGGCCCGGAGCGTCACGATGTATCCATAACGACCGATTTGTCACAACACGCCCATCGCGATATCGCATCCGCTCCGCGAGCCGCAAGCGTGACCGATTGCAATGGCGATTGGATTGCGTGATCGATCGCCGATCGCCGATTGTTTCCTCCAGGGGCGAGAGCCAGGCGAGGTCGAAGAAGAATATTGGAGTATTGGAGAACGCTCAGGTCATCGTCGTCCGCATATGTATACATATATGGTCGAGAGAATAATAATAATCGGCGGGATCACGTCGTCATTGTCATTTGACGCTCGATTGCTCCGCGATTTATGAAAGTTAAATATAGTCGCGATCAAGATGTATTATGTGTTTCATTTCAGCTACTTTTAGTTTTTATTTGTTTCGCAATGCGGAACATAAGCCCATAGATATTATAATGAAATTTGAAACAAATAAATTCCTAGTTTCACGCGTTGAAAAATTAATACACACATATATGTGTTATTACATTAATAATATATACTTATGTATATTAACGCTTAATATTATAACATTATAATATTACATAAGTTTATATACGTGACGTTAGGTTATCGGCCAACTGTTTATTTCAGCGCGGTAATGTTACCTTGACCTCTATATATTGGTCTCGATAGACCTAGATTGATATCAATGGACTTGGACTCTACATCGATAGACCCAGATCAAACGGCATCGTAGTAGAAAGCCCGGGAAGTAAAGAACGTACTGTACATATTTAATCGGCCCTAGAGCCCCTTGGATAACACGGTTGCTAGCGTGTTAGGTGATGCGGTATACGCGTGTGGTATTATGTAGGGTGTTCCGCGTTCTTGAACTCTTACATTTATTTACTTTTGCGCTTAAACTATAACAATAACTAGCAGTAGGACACAAGATGACAAAATGATACACGTGCATGGCGGCCAAACGGTAAATGTTACTGTATATAAACGACGAATGTATAGTTACAGCTATGTGAAAATAGACAATTATATTTCTTAAGAACAATATTATCAGTTATGATACTTTATCGACTGCAAGCTGGAAGATAATTATTTTCTTATTTGATACCGTGGCTTCAAAGAACATTGCGACACTTCGAAAATGCCCCCAAAAATGTCTTAAAATTTCGATGCCGTCTCGTGCGAACGTGTCGAAAGAACATCATTATAAAGTTTCTACGTGCAGTGAGACATCTTATTTCGGACATCACTTTCAGACATTTGCAGGCAGAGTTATAAGCTGAAATGTGCTAAGAATAAGAGAAACGTGCAAATATGTTTCAAAAAAAGAAGAAACACAAAAGAGGAGTTGAACGTACTTAATAAACCAATAGATCAATATCTATTTCTTATACGCACATACGTACATAAGAAATAAAGGTTTCTATAAAAATCTACATACAGTTTACTGCTATTTTGTTTTCAAAGACGCAGGTCATTTTACAATATAGCGTCTGCGCCATGTTAATATTTTTATCATTAGTATTAAAATTAAATCATTATATTAATCTATTAAGTACATCCAGTTCTTATTTCACGTTCTTCTTTGTTTTCATAAAATTTCATCTTAACCGTGTCGTTGTGACACTGAAATAATAAAAAAAATATTAATAGACAGATTACACTAAACTTGAACGCAGTAAACATTTTTATAGACCGTATTCTAATCGATAAACGTTGCTGTAATCAATAAATATATGCTATAAATAGCTGGATGTGCTTACACAAAATATCTTATAAAAAATAGCATTCAAATGCTTTTCTTTCCCCAGAAAATCATGAAGCGTACTACTCTGTGTGATATGTCTTTCAATAAAGTTTTAAAAACATATATTACCTTTATTAAGACGAGTACGCTTATAACTTTCTTTGTTGTTCCGTTTGGCGGGATTTTGTTGCATGTTTACCGGTATATTCCAAGTAAAAAATTGATTTCAAAGGAAAGAATTTAAGGAAAGAAATGAATTTAAAGATAAAGAAGATAGAGAAGTTGAAATCTGTTTTGCCAATGTTTTAACTATAACCACACGTATCGAAAATCGAAACTGATGGAAAAAATGGTCTTTATATATATTATAGTCATAGTCCTTACTTTGCTGCTTGCAAGTTTTCTAACACATGATAACAAGACATTCCTGTTTTATCAAGCAAAACTTTTTAGCGATAAATGATTCTCTATTATCTATATATTCTTTATCATCACGTTACATTAACAGATAATCGGCATACATTAGCAGAATAGTTATTTGTAATTTGTAAGAGCAGCGGAACAATCAAAATAAATATGTATGTTTGTTTGGAAAAAAATTGTTTCGCGTTATCTCAATGTGACAAACATGACAATAATATTTAGCCGACAACGACGTGTTTTCGATAGTATCATGCGCTGGGGTCATGTACACACATACATACTTCGATTTATAATTTAGCCGACACGACGTATCATTTTCCATACCATCCGCTCGCCGAGCACGTACTGATAATTTGATTTCCGATTATCATACGTCTACATACGTCGCTCTAACCTACGACCTACGTAGCCGTGTCCGGTATTCCGGTACTCCGGACAGTCCGGATCCGGATACTCCGGTAACTCCGGTACTCCGGTCATCCGGTGTCGAGCTGGTCGAGCAGCGCCGAGGCTGGCCGAGGCCGAGGGCCGAGTCGGCCGAGTCGAGTGATTCCGAGTGAATCTTCTAGAACGGGATAAGAGACAAACACATGTGGCGACATGTGCGCACATGTGCGCGAGTGCGCGGCCGAGCCGAGCCAAGAGCCAATCGCGTGGCGCCATTTGTACGGGACTGCCGTCGGACACGCGCGGCGCGGCGCCGCGCGTCATTGGCCGACACGTGCTGCGTGGTCCGACGCGATTGGACAGCCGCCCCGCCGGCGTCGTGTATTCGTGTATATCGCGTCGCCGTCGCGACCGTTCCGCGACAGTCGGTGAAGAAACAGCGGTACGTTAGTGCCAGGTGCCAGGTGCCAGTTGCTAGTGGAAGTGGAGCGAATTTGCTAGGTCGTCGATAATCCCTTTCTCGTTCACAGTCCTTCACGCCGCGGCGACGATGAGGAAACTCTACCTGTTGATCGCAGGATTATTCTTGCTGGCGGGTAAGCGGGGCCTCTCGTTGGAAGTACCAACGAGATCGGTTCTCTTTTGGAACAAAATGTGTCTTCGATATTTAACGCGTTTATTTGCTCCCTAGGATTCGTCCGGGCCGAGGATGAGCTCGAGGAAAACACCGTGGAGGATGATCTCGGCGCCAGCCGTGAGGCATCGCGAACAGGTTGCTACCTTACACAGTTTAATCCGCGAACAAAGAATCGATTCGCTTATTCTCATGATTTTTGACAATAGTGTTGTAACAGGTGGGAGGGGTTCGTTAGAATTCAACATGTAGCCAACGTATTCAAACGTTATTGTATAGAATTTAGAAAAGTACAAGTTTATTTCACCAAAGTAGAATTTCTTTCATGTATAATACGATTTGTCCACGTCTTGAGTTAACCTGAAATTTGTATAATCTGTTGGATAATCATTATAAATTTGTCGAGTACATTAACAAGATTTTGTCTTAAAAAATTAAGTTGAATCAAGTCCTTTTTCTTATCTCATTTGTATATAAGTTTCATTTCATATTATTTATAAGAATATAAACTATTGCATTACACATTCAATATTTAAATTCTGTTGCGCAGATCATGAAGCGATACAAAGAGAAGAAGAAGCGATAAAGATCGATGGTTTAAATCCTGCTCAGATAAAAGAATTAAGGGAAAAGGCCGAGAAATTTGCATTTCAGACCGAGGTCAATCGCATGATGAAACTTATTATCAATTCCCTCTATCGCAACAAAGAGATCTATCTCAGAGAATTGATCTCGAACGCATCTGACGCACTGGACAAAATCAGATTGCTGTCGCTCACAGATAAGAGCGTCCTGGAAACAAATTCTGAATTGGCTATCAGAATAAAAGCTGACAAGGAGAATAAAGTATTGCATATAATGGATTCCGGTATCGGCATGACAAAGCAAGATCTAGTAAATAACCTTGGGACCATCGCAAAGTCTGGCACAGCTGAATTTCTGGGGAAAATGCAGGAAGTCACGAGTACTCAGGACATGAACGATATGATCGGCCAGTTTGGCGTGGGCTTTTATTCCGCGTACTTGGTTGCGAATGTCGTTGTCGTTACTACCAAGCATAATAAGGATAAGCAGTACATTTGGGAATCTGACAGCTCGAACTATAGCATTGTTGAAGATCCACGGGGAGATACGTTAAAGAGAGGAACGACTGTAAGGTATGTCGTACATGTATTCTTAAGCAAATTTATCAAGTTTGAAAGTTTCTCTACAGCCATAATCGTAATATATATTTTTATTTTCTACTAGGTTGTAGAACGAATATTCTAATGTTGCGTTTTTTTTTTTTTTTTTATAACTTTACAGCTTACATTTGAAGGAAGAAGCATTGGACTTCCTAGAACCAGATACGATAAAAAACTTGGTGAAGAAATATTCGCAGTTCATCAATTTCCCCATATATTTATGGAACAGCAAAGTTGTCCAAGTCGATGCGGACGAAGTGGAAGAAGATAAGCCTGTGAAGAAGGACGCGGAGAAAGATGATACCGAGGACAAGGAAGATGAGGAGGATGACACTAAAGTGGAAGAGGACGCGGATGAAAAGAAACCTAAGAAAGTCGACAAAACGGTGTGGGATTGGGAATTGTTGAACGATTCGAAACCAATTTGGACCCTAAAGCCAAACGAAGTTGACCAACAGGAATATATTGAATTCTACAAAACACTCACCAAAGATACGCAGGAACCTCTGGCAAAGACACATTTCGTTGCGGAGGGTGAAGTCACATTCAAGTCCGTTCTATTTATTCCGAAGGTTCAACCGACCGACAGTTTTAATCGTTACGGTACCAAGTCCGACAATATCAAGTTGTACGTCAGGCGAGTCTTCATCACTGACAAGTTCACCGACATGATGCCAAATTACCTGTCCTTCATTCGTGGTATCGTGGACAGCGATGATCTACCGCTCAATGTTTCGCGCGAGAATCTTCAGCAACACAAGTTGATCAAGATCATCAAGAAGAAGCTCATCAGGAAGGTATTGGACATGATCAAGAAGATGCCCAAAGAGGATTATCAGCAATTCTGGAAGGAATTTAGCACAAATATCAAACTAGGCATAATCGAGGACGCTCAGAATCGTGCTAGACTGTCCAAGATGTTACAATTCCACTCGTCGGCGCAGACGGAAATGACCTCTCTACCCGAATATGTCGCCCGCATGAAGCCCACGCAGCAGCATATCTACTACATTGCCGGTTCGTCCGAGGAAGAAGTGAAGAAATCGCCATTTGTCGAACGGCTGGAAAAGAAAGGCTACGAGGTGCTGTATCTGACAGAGGCGGTGGACGAGTACGCGATCTCGTCATTGCCCGAGTTCGATGGTAAGAAGTTCCAGAATGTAGCAAAGGAGGGTTTCACGCTAGACGAGGGTGAACGGGCGAAGGAACGAATGGAGCAAGTGAAGACGACGTTTGAGCCTCTAGTTAAATGGCTGAATGACATCTTGAAGGATCATATCAGCAAGGCGCAAGTGTCCGAACGTCTGACCGATTCGCCCTGTGCCTTGGTTGCCAGCATGTACGGCTGGACCGGCAATATGGAACGTTTGGCGATCTCGAACGCACATCAAAAGACCGATGATCCACAGAAAAGCTACTATTTAAATCAGAAGAAGATTTTGGAAATTAATCCGAGGCATCCACTCGTCAGAGAACTGCTACGCAGAGTCGAGGTTGACTCGGCCGATCAGACAGCCAAAGACATCACCCTGATGATGTTCCGTACGGCAACTTTGCGATCGGGATACATGCTACGGGAGACCGCGAGTTTCGCGGATAGCGTGGAACAGCTAATGAGGCGGAGCCTGGGCATCTCCTTGGACGAGGTACCCGAGGAGGAGGACGCGCAGGACGATGAATCGGCAAGCAGCGAGAAGGTGTCGGATGTCACGGCCGAGGACGAGAAACAGGAAGAAGAGGAGGAAGACGAGGAGCACAAGAACCACGAGGAGTTGTAATAGAAGAGAGTTATAATACAGCGATACATTCGAAAAACTTGTGTTTTAGAAGCGTAGCTATACAATGTATAGTTACCTTAAGCTCTCCTAAGCGGCGACCTTCCGTGTCGCCGAGTTTGTAAACACGTTAGATATGTACAACTTGATGATATATGTACGTTACGTCAATCTGATATCGTGCAAATTTTCGAAATCGTCAATGTTAAAAGGAAAGGTAAAACGTATTTAAATTCTTTTTCTACATGAAACGCCCGTAGTCGCAACATTGTCATCCCAGACATCGACGTGTGTCTATCATCGATATCAGTTAACGTGTAGATTTCGAGAGATTTAAATATATATTATATATATATATATATTATCATTTCAATCTTCCATATCTTTTTAGTAACGTGAAGAGAGTATTGACTGAACACGTTACTGACGTATGGTATGTTTGTGATATGTGTGAATGTATTTGTACATGAAACATAAAAATTATATTAAAGAATTAAGTATATATATCTACTGTATTTTGATGTGTATTTCATTAATATTTAAAACCTAAAAGTACGTATATATTTAGCTTTACGAGATCATGTCTAGAATGAAAAGGAAAATTTATTAATACATTTGTTATATAAAAATCTTAAAATTCAAGACTAAATTAAGATTAAATAAAAGATGGTTGAGATATTTATATAGGCTTATGACAACGTACGTACTGTTTATGCATTATAATTAAAGATGATGCAGACGTTTATCGAATTTCTATAGAGATTGATGAGAGTCCTATTCCATGTATTAAATATTACAAACTTTATTGCAACATTTATAATACAAACATGTATGCAAGATGGCTAAAGTGTTACAGATATCTCGGGAACCATAAAAATGTATGATATTGTTAAAAAGGTATTCATGTTTGCATGTACGTTTATAAAAGTAGAAAATTTTGTTATACGTTTGATGGTGGAATGAATCACGTAGAGTCGTAGAGTAAAGGAAACGATAGACGCTTTAAACAAGAACAAGTACTAGGAACGCCATAACGCAGCGCTTAAAAATTTACGAGATAACACGAAACATAAATATACAATACACGTACAATATACGTACCCACGTTCTCGTGCTAAAAAAATGTCAGCTTTTGTCAAACAGAGTACGTAATTTAACGCAGTCGCGAGCACAAGTGTGTTCGTTAGCGAGGAATAATTTTGGACGCTGACGCGCGTTTTCGCGTTTTGAAACAATGGCGCGTCGCGCAGTTCCGGCCTGCCGGCCGCCATGGGAGCCAGCTGCCCCAGGATCGGCTCTCGGCTCGTGACGTAAGGGGCCGCGACGGGGACCGGCCAATCGGCGGGACGGACCGCGCGCGACGGCCGCGACGCGTGCCGGGCGGCGGGCGGTCGCCGCGCGCGCCACCGGTACCGGGGTGGTCATTTCCGTTTTCGATTCCGACGTCATCCAACTCCGAAAGCCCGTGTGTTTTGTGTTTCTTTGGGGCCACGATGATTATCGCTAATTTAACGTAAGTACGCGGCACGTCGCGCTGGCTCGCCCGGACCGTCCGGACGTGTTCGCGCGGCCCCCGGGAACCCGCACGGCCGCACGTCCCGCGTGCTCCGTGACGCTTTACGATCAGCCGCGCGCGACCGATACTCCGTGTCCGTGTCGACCACGGCCAGGACGACCGCTCCGATTCGTCTGTTTGGTGTTTGGTCTCTGTTTACCGGTCGTCTGTCGCGCCCCTCGCGTTTCCGTCACGTTTCCGTCGCTCCCGATTCGGCATTTTCGTTCGACATATTAACACGAACGGTCCCCGTCCCCGGGGCTGGGTCCATCCCACCATCATGGGGGACCGGTCCTCTCGCGTGCTCGCGAGAGAGGCCAGCCGGCGCGGAGCGGCGTGAACGCGTGAACGCGTCAACATCAATCTCCCGACTCCCGACAGTCCCGACAGTCCCGACGTGCGCGTCAACAAAGTAAATGGCGCGGGCGCCCCGGGCCCCGGCTCCGACCGCTCCCTCGAACGTCCGACGCGACGCTTTCTTCGCTGTTCTTCGCCCTTCCGCACGGCCGGTCCACGGGACACGGCCACACGGGGAACGGGGACACAGATGATAGAGATAGAAATTTCTCGCTTGCTATTGTCATTTCGTTGAGAAGGAGTGGGAAAGAACGAGGCAGGACGTGGAGAGGGGAAGAGGGACGTACGTTACGAGGCAGCGAGTCTTGCGAGCCAAATAAATTATGTCGCTTGATTTCTCCCTCTTTTTATTTATTTATTAGTACTTGTAAAATGTAAAATCAGGAATGTTAAGCAAATGGAGTTGTCGTTGTCTAACAGCTGACCGTGATAGAGCTCGTTTGGTCACGGTCGAGACTGTATGGACTCTGGACAATCAAATCTATTAGAAACAGATTTTTCCAAGCATCTGCTACAAATCTTGTCGACAGAATATTAACAAGAAATATAACAAAATCTCAAATCTGTTAACGGAAGATGATACGTGCTCCGTGCTCCGTGCTCCGTGCTCGAGTGCGACAACTGAGCAGAGTTTGCTGTTTCGTAATATTATATTTAAATAGATTAATACCATCTTGATGGTTACAAAACGATGTATAGAGCGTAGACTTTGCTCGGTTGCCGCTGACAAACTGCTACGAGACTGCTGACTGCCAATACTTTGCTCACTGAGAACGCGTGTAACATCGACAACCTCTTTACCAACTTTCTATTGATATCGCTTCTGAGAATATCGTACCACGTCTTTTCTTTTGCAGATTGAAACTTTTGAACGTGGAATTAGGTTTCTTCATGTCTTAAAACATTTCAAAAACATACCGACCATAAAAGAGCAAACATTGTGCTGGTCTTAAGACAGAAAAATAAGCAACCTATAAAGATAGTTAAAAAGCTATTGTGTACATAAAGAAAAACTGAAGCAAACTTAACGTGACTCGTGACTGGAGTATACACGTCGGAAATATTAAAAACATGGGCATTCAAGACTTGCAAACTTTCCTGGCCAGCACGTGCGTACGTGGGGGATCTATACCTGTAGACTTGTTGAAAATAGCGCGTATGGTCGCTCAAAAATCACAGCGCACGCGTGTGATTAAAGGACAGCAGCTGCATAATTTCGGTAAATTGAGACTGGTTCTCGACGGAGAATGTTGCTTGGATCGATTGTACGGTGGATTTTTCTCAGGTAAATAATAAAATAACATGCTTTGCAAAATTCTTATTCTTGAATTCTTACGAAGAACATTCAGTTTAAATATTAATAATATTATTACTAAAAATACAGATTGGGCTTGTGGTGGACAATGGAACCGTATGCTTCAATTTCTTGCTGTTCTTATACAAGCAATGGAAATGTCGGGTTTGGAGGTAGCTGTATTCTTCAATGGATGTTTCGAACCTCTTCGGAGAGCAGATTGGGTGCAACATCAGTTGCAAGTACGCGCTAAAGTTAACAATGTAAGTTCGTTGCACAGTTAACGTGACGTACATTTTCAAATCACGTGTATGTGGACAGCACGTCAAATTTATCAAGTCTTTTTAAAATATTAAGGTCTTGAAACATATAACAACGAAAGGTACGCCGCCACCGAAAATCTGGTGGACTCCTCCTGTATGTTTAAGGACCAGTTTACGTATGGCTCTCAGGCATCTGAATGTCACAGTTGTAAGTTGACAAATATCTGTCTTTGTTTTTTTTTTTTTTATCATATCTTTGCATTTGCAGTTGAAATATTAATTAAAACGTGGTAGAGTAGTGTACGTTGCGTACAATAATTTTAAAAATCTATAAAACGTTACCTAATCCAACATTATTACTATTTTAACAGTTGAGTAGCATGGACGACCATCACCAAGAAGTCATTGCTTATTGTCGTGAGAATACGTACAATGGACTGATAGCTGATGATGCGGAATACGCTGCATTCGATCCTCCACGTTATTTCTCATCCGAACAATTAAAACTTACGTACAAGGTACGGTATTTTTCAGTACGAAAAATAATGTATTTTGTGTGATAATTTACAGCGTCCAACGACGTCTATATATATATATATATATATACATATGTATATATATTTTTTTTATTATAGGGTTCTCTCGATACAAAAGAATATATGCTTTCTGAACTCACTAAAGCTCTCAACATACCATCTGACAGACTGTGCATATTGGCAGCTTTACTTGGAAATTACATATTGACCGAAAACGACTTGGCCGATTTTTACAAAAATAACAATATTAGCACCAACGTGCTGAATAAGACAAGCGTTGAACAAATGATTAAAATAATTGCGACGTTTGTCAAGGAACTTCCATCTGCAGAATTGGACGTGGTCTCGCAAAAGGTGTTTGGTTCCGTCTCCGATCCAAGATGTTCAAAATTGAGACAATCTGTTCAATACTATTTAAACGGAACAAAAGAGGGATTTTTGCATTATAAGCCTGTGAAACCGACAAAAAGTGAGTGCTTTTTAATATTAACGTCCAATATATTTCAAACGTGGGATATACTATTGGAGAATATTTTCTATTCATAAACATTGTTTTACACAAAGAAAGTAAACGTTTTAGCTTTTAAAATAGAATTCTAAAAACTGAACATAGAAGTAGATGGTACGTGCATATATATCTATATATTGTTAGCTTTAGTTTTAATGAAGTTTATATTGAAAATAAGTATTAAAAAACTGATTTTTTTCAGTCCACAAACTGGATTCCAAACCGAGCACACAGACTCACGCAAACTTATCCGACATACCATCAGGTTCGGAAGGTGATTCTACGTTGGAGACGTCGAGATTTGCCTCTGAAACTTTGGAAAGCGAACGTGAAAGTTTGAACGCGTACAAACAGGCAACGGCTAATGCAAAGACGGCGCCGCAAATTGTGATCGATCCACCTGGTATTCAAGGTCACGGAGATGTCGATGCCATACGTACAGAGGAAGAGCAAAGTATGTCGGTTTAAAAAAAGAAAAAAAAATTCGACGGCTTTTGTCTATGATTTATTAATATTCCATTTTAAATGTCTGGAATTTTTTAAGCAGGCGACGGACATGTCATCAATGGTACTCACAATCTCTTGATAAGCTCGTCAAGTTCGAGTAGTAGCTCCTCGGCGACATCGCCATCTCATGCGACAGCCGCATCTGCGAGACAACCGGAGAACGCGACTAGTATTCCTACTACATCACCAGAAGTTATGCGTACCGCCTCGGAACGTCATCAGAAGGGGCTTATGTCACCGTACATCTATCAAATTCTCATCGCTGGTGAAATCAAATTACCGGTTCTTCTAGAAGACGAGAATCACCGTGAATTTCCTTCTATTCATGTGATTTATAGACCAATTCGACAAATGGTGTACGCAATTCTTTTTAATCTCCATCACCGGATGTATCTAGCTACGAAAAGTAAAGAAAAAGGTGGTAAGTACGATGTTGGTTTTACAACGTATGGAGATTCGCGCGTCTTTTTGTATTAAATTTTTATTTTGCAAATTCATTCAAACAGATAGTGAACAGGTTGAGATACCGGATGTAATAATAAAAGAGTGGGTATGGTCCAAGTCCAATCCATATCAGACTCCTGAATTAGTGAAAGCAGAGCAGATTGGCTGGGGCGTGCCTACGATTCAACGTTTGTGGTTTGGGTAAGTGGTTTTATATCGATTAAATTAGATATACATAATACGATTGTGGATTAATTATAGAATTAATTAACTTTCTGTAGACTCGCATAAGTTTTATAAACTGACAAAGTTTCCTGTTCTTCAGCACAGTCATAGATGATAAGCGGCGGAGACTTAGGGGTTTCCTGACTTGTATGAGATCAGACACGCCTCTCATGCTAAATACTTCATACGTACCGCAACATCTACTGGTCATGGCCTGTGTTTTAAGGTAAACATCAAATGTGCTTATTTCGGTCGCTTTTACCAAAATTTTCTTTTTGAAACTAATGTTGGAATTACGTTGATTAACAAATGTTTTTTTCACGTGTTCTTTTCGTAGATACATTATGTCTTTTTCTGACAAAATAAAAATCTTGCGCCGTCAGGAGTTAGACGCTTTCATTGCGCAAGCCTTTTCACCCGAGCTTATGAATGCTCAGTATTTGCAGGATTTGCAGGTAAAATAAACATATCGTACAATTTTTTTACACTACAGCAGTATTGGTTCAGGCAGTGTTTGAATAGGCTGACATTTAATATGTCATCTGTATACAGCTTCCATTAGTGACATCACGCGGTGTACAACTGGCTACTTTATTCATGGCTGGTGTCGAGACCGCATTGTTAGCGAACGATGCTTGTGGCGCGCCGATTCCATGGTTAATGTGCTGTCCTTGGCTTTACTTTGACGGAAAATTGTTCCATCATACGTTGGCTCGTGCTACTATCGCCAAAAACTTATTGGAATTATGCAGCGGTCATATCGACCGCGTTGTAAAGGTCGAGAGGATGAGAAAAGCTATACTTGAGGGAATTAACGTTGTGTTTGCACGACCACCTTTACCTGTCACACCAGGTATATCATATTTTTCTCAGCCATGCATGTTTTCTCCTTCTTTATTTATCCGTCTCTACGTAGGACGTAGTTTTTCGAAACTCTTGACTCTTTACGTTCTCTTATTAATCTCTTCTCTCATAATAATAATACGTATTATTATTGGGGCGCTATAGTCTTTGAGTCTTGGCCTTCTGAATTAAAATCCGAAGGTTTCTTTTCCTCAACAGTTAGGTTACTAACAAATTAAAAGATTGTTAGATTCACACCCAACTTCTATCTTGGAGGATCATTACAAATTTAAAATCCGTATGATAATAGTATGTGAAATGAGAAATCAAATTCGAAACTTTCACGTACACGTACCACGTTCACCACTCTCACACAGAGTAACGCGCGGTATCTCTTATCTCTTATAAACCGAGTTAAATATATAAAGTGAGAGTCGGGATTGAATCTCAAGACCTGACGCGTACAAATCGATGTGGAGTACGGCCCCCAGCCATTACGTGAAAAGAAAAAAGTGAAAAAGAGAAAAAGAATTAATATAACAACTTGTATAGATATAGGGCCGATATCACAGTCTCCGCGTAACGTGATCCTCCGATTAAACTCACTCTGCATCTCTTTCTAACTGTTTCCCTAGAAAGAGACGAAGAGTGAGTTTACGCGGAGAATCACGTTACGCGGGGACTGTGATATCGGCCCTACGTGGTACAGTTTATTTGATAGGTAAAACACGTTCGAGTTATACGTACCCTTCGCCGATGTTTTTTTTCTCTTCATTAAGAACTCTTCCAGTTTCCTTAGCATCCTATGATCTTTTATAATAGGATGTTTTCGGATGGAAGTAGAACAAAGGCAGCTAATGTTGCTTCGTGAGGTTCATCAATATAACCCTACGAATCTCAAAACTGCGATAAAATATCCCGATAACGTGATGCACGTGATACATTTTTTTATATGAAACAAACGTGCTGTACATAAGAAAATATATTTGTTATATGCACGCAGATTAATATGTAACAAAAAGTAATGCTACGCGTATTAAGAACTACGAATCTCTTTGTAACAAAACGTACTCTTACGTAACATTTTCTTCTTTGTCCATAATATATAATTTTTATCCTCTCGTTTACGTGACATTTATAATAATCTTACTTATTATTATCACAGGTATTCGTGTATCAGTTCCCTCCAATATTTTGCCTGCTAGCTGTACCATTAATGACGGGTTAATGCGCGGTCGTGGCAGTGGCACGTTACCGCAACGCGGTTTAATGCGTCGTCCAATCCCTTCGCGTGGTGGTCAACTGGAAATCGCTGGTGTCGTAGTTGGTCAATGGGGCCCGAATTATGGACAGCCTGGTCGACTTCCGCAACCCTTGCAGGGGCACCCACGTGGGCGAATTCCACCGCAGGTAAGATATAACAACATATTTCAATAGGGTATGTGTCGTGCACGTTCATAACGATGGCTCGATATCGTTGCGTGTATATGGAGTAAGAAGCACACGATGACGATATTCTGGACAGATTTTAGGGGAACGTTCGAGATATTGAGTAGTCCGCTTTCACTATTTAACGTCGCTGGCGTGATCGGATAATACGTGCATTTAGGAGGGACATCACGTAAATCAATTTAATGCAGAGTTACTTGCTTATATAGTTTTTATATAGTTTTTATATGTAGACATTCGACACATCATGGAAATAAATCGACGTATGTATTTGAGAATGTATATTTTAAGCGGAGGATAGATACGTTATCCTCGTTATGCGGCTTTATACGTGTTGCTTTATTAGAATGAAAAAAAGAACGTATTTTGACATTTATATTTACATAATGTTTTTTTTGTAGATTGCGATTTTGTATTATCGCATGTTTTTTTATATGTAATATGGACACTGTTAAAATAAAGGTTTCTATATATATTTTAATTCAGAGTATTATAACTGGTGTTCCTTTATATATATATTCTTTTTAGGTAATACATATATTATCTCTTTTCGAGGTAGTCTTTCAATAAAACAAAGCATGTATTTCTGAAGCATGTAGGTATTTAAATAACTAAACGATGTAATAAAATCATATAAACGTGCATATACAGTTATATATAAAATATTGTAGATAAAAACATTACTTATCTATTTTTAAAAATTACGTGTCTTTTCGAGAACGATACGTATAACACTATATATTCTTTTTTTGCCTCGTATTCTTATACCTAATAGATAATTCAAGTTATATACACGTGTGTATTTGTAATTTACGTATTCAACGTATATCGTTATATCGTAACTTTTATCGATATAGAAATATGATTTTACACATATATACCATTATTAAAAACTAAAATTAATATTTGTGAGGACGTTAACAAGGTAAAAGTACGCGCGCGTGTGTATGAGTCGTTTTTCGTTTTTTGGAAAATCTTAAGACAAATATTACTTGAATAAAAAAATGCTGAATCTAATATAAAATAATGAATTTTGGTCATACGTATTGATAAAAAGTAAGTTGTTTCGACTCTTCTGCAGCGTGTTCTCATAAGACGTTAACTTTTGAAATATGACATTCCACGTTACTTCAGATTAATTTACCTTTTCTGCATTTGACGTGGATTTAGTTTGCGTTATTTCTTGTCAAAATATAAATAACTTTGACGATTTCTTGAGGATACTATATAAGACACATGTTATACGTCTGTCTAATTTTATTTACGTGAGAAAAAGATAAATTTACATAAATATATATTTTAAAATGTAATTTAAAATGAGAAATAATATAAATTAGACGAGACATGTAACCATTTTAAAAACCTGTAGTATGTATTATGATTTAAATATATCGGACTATATTAAACGTCGCCGTCAGACGTTGGAACATACCATAGCGTGCTTAAGTGGGAAATGAACATTTTGGGCTTTTTTTTATACAACTCGAAAAATGAAGTTTAAACGATCTGTGTTCATATAACACTTTCTTGTTTTGAATTTCTAGGTTTTCCTTCTGAAACATTGACCTAGAAATCATTCTTAGAGTATATTATAGTATTTTATTTAGACAATGACGTTTATATGTATTATAATTAAGATAACGTGTGTGTTGTAGGTAACTTCTATTGGTGGACTTAAATACGGTCTTCCTCGTGGATTTAATCCGATAAGCCGACCGACGTTTCAAACACGCGGGGCTACCCGTGCTCCGATCGCTGGACGTGGCAAAAAGACTCAAATGAAGGTAAAAATATCTTGTAGGTAAACGAGAAAAATATCGGCGGTGATGAAAACACGAAATCGAATTTGGAATCCTTACCGGAGAACTTAAACCGATAACGTTTTTGCGTGTTGAATAAAGTTGAACACAATGAAATAACACGCATAGCTAATCTGACATACATTCACAAATAAACGTAATTTAAACTATAAATATTTCTGAAATTTTTGTAGGCGTATAAGACGAGAAAAATATCTAGCGCGAGTACGTAGCTTGGAAATTTTATTTTTTGCTTACCGAGAGATTGTTCTTATCATTGAGATGCTCCGGGTCTTATGCACTACGACTCTTCTGCTCGTCTGCGTATTTCTTAATGTACGCTTTTACGAAAATGTGAAATATTACATTTTACAAGAGAACATATATATCTAAAAAATATGTGCTTCTTATTATCTTATTATCTTATATTTTATCTATATTGCAGTATATTTAAATCTCATCGAAATCGAGAGAAAGGATACGTTGATATGTTTTCTAGTAATATATAGAAATTTTAAATATATTTTTATTAATTATTTAGGTGTCTAGCAAAAAGAAAACTACTATTAAGAAGACCAAGGAAACTGAGAAGAAAGACAGCAAGGGGCGTGGTATCACTGTTGATGGAATTACTGCGTATAAGTGAGTGTTTGAAGCTTTCCTTTATCCTAAAGTACATCGCCACATGTACTTCATAATCAAATATTTCGTGATCTTTGCGGCACAAGAAAATCTTTGGCTTTATCATGCTCATTTTATAAAGAACTTGTCTCTTTCTCTTTGATAATATATTTTTAATCAATTTAATTTTTATTTAACAAAATACGTGTATAGATTATATAGATTTAATATAACGACTTGTATACGTGTATACTTTGTTTTCAGTGAAACTCAAACCGACAACGCTCGTGCACTACTGACAAAAGACGCACTGCCAGTACCAGGTCAGTTTGATGATGCAGTAGAGAATGGTAAAGGCATGGAAAAGGGACAAGGCGACGCACCGCTCGTTACTGCGGTTGCCACGGAAAATTAGATATAAAAGAAAAACTTCTCGAAAAATGACTGTACGCCCAAATAATGACTCAAGACTGTTAACAATCTACTTATATATTCTGAGCACGTGTGCACCAGTAACATTTAAATATCGATTTTCGAACGTGTTACACAAAAGTTTTTGTTACGTCTTACGTACAAAATTTAATATTATTAAATTAAATTAATTATTAATTTAGATCAAAATTTTTTGGCTGATACTTTTCGGGGAAATCTGTATATTATCCGCAGATTATACGGCTTATCAAAAACGTTATTCCAACTAGACTTGATCAAATACTCTGTTACCATTTGATATCAGACAATGTAGAGCAGATTTATAATCGGTAACAGTTATCATGACTTGGAATTATATGAAATTTATTTGCACGTATCTGGCTTTTTTTTTTAATTAAAACTAATATAGAAGTTTAATACATTAATAAGAAATTAATGTAAAATATATTGAAGAAAACAGTTTTTTATCTTTAAAACATTGATAGCTATTTAAAAACTCTGTCTCTGTCTCTAAATGTTACATGCACACGAGCTCTAAAGCTCTGATGGGTCCAAAATATTGATCTAATAATAGGCGACAAGAAATCTTTACTTACGGTGTCTCGATAGCACGCGGCACGATGTAAAGATTTTACCCGTTATTGACGTATGCGATATATGATGTCCTCACTGCCAAACGTACCACTCTGTATAAGATAGAAAGACAAAAAATCGTGCTTGTGCTAAAAAAAATGCGAGCGAGCTAACCTTGCTCGGCGTACCATGGAATGGAACTCGACTGATTAGTGTATGCGTGCGCTAATTTTACTACTCAGAACAAATCGTCTCAGCTGCTATAAGTATTTAATTCTTAAGAAGTGTGATTATTTTTTTTACATGAAAATATATATTTTCCGGTATTATATGAAATGCTCGCTACGATGTATCTCAGTGCGTCGATCTGATCGACAAGGGAAGTAGTCTGATATACACATGGACACACATATATATACGCCATATTACACATGATAGCGCATACGTGATTTTTGTAGATAAAAACGATGTCAGACGGGACACTGAGATAGTCCGTAGCACATGGAGACTGATGCTTTTCATATAGGTAAAATATATATTTATATATATACATATATTATTTAGATTAGAGTTCTCATGCATATATATTATACGTAAGTTGTGCCTGTGTAAAGCGTGTAAATGTATTGTACCTGAGTACGAGTGCATGAGAGAAAATTGTGCATGATTAGAGCGTGTGCACGTACAAGAATGAATGAGAGAGAAAGAGGAAAAAGGAGAACGAGAGTAAGAGTAAGAATGAGAGCGAGTGAAAGCGAGAGCGAGAGAGAGAGAGAGAGAGAGAGAGAGAGAGAGAGAGAGAGAGAGAGGAGGCGAGAGTGAGAAAGAAAGAGAGAGAGAGAGAGAGAGAGAGCGCCACGATAATGATGTACATAAACGTGGCAATACATCGTTATTATATCGTTATAAACACGTATAAATACGGATATATTTACCGTATGTATATGTGTGTACGTGATCTAGATCATATATTTATTTGCGTTGGAGACGTGTGCGAACGGGTTTCTCGAATGGAATTTAAGGTTTAGATACGATACTGTTTCTATCTAACAACAGACTTGAGGCTTATCATAAGGGTGTCTAATATAAGAGATTGTTGAGAAGTAATCCTTATAATATGCCTCATGTTGTTTAGAAAATATGCTACACTACGGTGCATATATGGTATACGTTGTTAGTTCTAAAACCATTAGAAACATTTAGTTTATTAAGTTTATATTAACACTATATTATAATATATAACAACATATTATATATATAAAAATTAATTTTATATGATAAACAAGTTTATATTTGTGACGGAAATTGAATGATACACGTTTCATATTATAAATATATAATATTATCATATTATATATAATATTTATATTATAATACGTGTATAATATGAGATGTATATATCAAATCAATTTCGACATTTTAGTTTGATGAAAATTGACATAACACATAAAATGTCACAAATTGGTTGTTAAATAAAATATTTAAAGAAAGAATTAATTTTATTACGTTTAAAAAAGAAAACGAGCTTCTGGGCGCACGTCTAGTGTAGCATATTTCGAAAAACATTTTTCGTTTAATTGTACATATAAACAGTTGCTTTATAAGTGACGTAGTGTGCGTGATATATACTGTATATATACAGAATCCAGATGCGTTGATGTTTCGTACGCATCGGAATAGGAGATGATTATGTTAAAAATATGCTATTTATGTGTAGAATAGTCTAAAAGACTTTCTACCAAAGATCATCGGAGTTTAAAAGAGATAAAACGAGGGTTCTTTTATCAATAGAAATGATATATAACAGCGAAATAACAAGACAGCACGACAGAACACGATTATTAAAATAAGTAACAAAGACGAGGCAGACACATGTCTAAGACGTGTGTACGAAGGTGATTAAAGCGAGTAAAAAGAGAAAACCATTTATTGAGATAATATAATGAGATATGATGATAAGATAAAATGTTATATTTTTGTAGATTTGTTATTGCGTAAAATGCATTAGGACAATGAGAACCTTAATATAATTTGAGTAAAGTGACAGTTGACGAGTCTGAGAATAGTTAAAGGAGCAACATCATTCTGTGAGAAAGAGACGGAGAGAGAGAGAGAGAGAGAGAGAGAGAGAGGGGAGGGGTGAAGAAAGACAGACGAAAGTGCTTTAAATGGCATGTTAAGAAAATGACATCCGCGGATAAATTTGCCGAAAAGAAGAAAAAACGAATCCCATGTTCTCCTACATTTCCAAAGCTCTCAGTTTCCTGAGTTGCATGTAGGAACAGGAAAGAAAAAAAAAGATATGTAACGTATATATGAATAACAGAGAAATGAATTATAACATAATATAATGTCAGGTTCGATGTGCGCGCAGAGTATAAGTGGAAATACGTCGACTGTTTTATACGCGATGCATATGCGAAGTAATCAACGTTTGCTTAACACGTATTTGTCTCGACGAGCGTCTGTAAATCATACGTTTCACGGATAAATGTAATATGATTTTTGTAATCATTCGAGTCTCATAACACGTGCGATTAGCGTACGAACGCTTACGATTACTTTGCAAGGTACGTTGCAATGCACTAAATATCGATCGCCGATACGATGTTCCTTTCTAAAGGTAAATTTCGAGACGTGACAAAGCCGCGTTCGTTTCGAACGCGTACACACATGTTGCACACATAAATACATATAACACGTACTAGAAGCCGACCTTCTTGAATCTGACGAAATACGACGTTGAGAGTAAAACGCCACTTTACGCTTTTACGTAAAGATAGATGATTTTCTTTCTGAGAAATCGAACTCTTATTGATATAATACCGGATATAAAACAAATAAAGACATAAATAACGAACGTATGCAACGTGAACAGTTGCCGCTGCTACTGATACGAGTATGCAACAATAATAATAACGTGAAATAATTTAATGTAAACGCGAAGCGTAATGCAAAAGCCGAAAAAACGAAAAAAAAGAAAAAGAGAATTCACATTTGAACATACAACAGAAAGCAGAAATGTTGAAAACAAGGAAACTCGCATAAAGCATTAACGACGTGTAAAAAACAGGCGCGCAAGCCGCCTGCTTTTTGTTGAACGAAGTAGAAAAGTGGGGCCCACGAAAGTCGTCTATGATAATACCGTAACATACCGTTAAAAGTTATAAATAATCTATCGTATTTATGAAGTAACAATCTATAATGATCTTTGAAACATTGTGTGTTGTGAACAGATACGTAATAACAGGAAAACAAATTTATTGTATACACCAAGTAAATACTAAATTCTCGATAATCTTGCTGGAATGACAAAACGACTGTCGTGTAACGAAGAAACGGTTGATTGAATCGCGCGGACGTCATTTTAGATCGACGTGTCGCGCGCGTTAATATACGAGACGTCGTTGCGAAATATAACGCGCTCGATTTTTCCAAAGGAAACGGCTACGTCTCATTTCGTTTCGACGCTACTTTTCTAGCACGGAGTATTAAACGATGTACCGCCGAGTATAGGATTCACGTTACGTAACACTTGCAAACATGTATTCACAAACAGTTGAATCCTTTATTCAGAAGAAAAAGTCCCGCTTTCTTACACATCTCTATATAAGTTACCGTCCTCTTTCTTTTATACCTTATAGTGCCTTAGGTTGCCCCGCGAGAATCTTGAAAGAAAAAAGATTGATGTTTAATTTCAATAACTTGTTTTAAATGGTAGTTGAGGTTGAGGGGAGGAAAAAGGAAGAAGAAAAAAAAACGTGTATTATATATTACGTTTCGCGTATTCTTTAGATGTGTACGCGACGAGAGAGAGACGGGCATCGTGTCACATATATGTATACCCGCGTGTTTTTCCTTATCTTTTAACTTCTAACCGCCGTAGCCTATACCGAGTAGAATCGATTTTTTCATAGCGATCCGACGTTATAAGCATACGAACGAAAGAGAGGGGCCAGCTTCCGGGTTGCGCCTTCGACACTCTAAAATTTTAAGTTTCCTCCTTAACGTAGCTTTGCTTATATACGTAATATGAGATATAAACTAAAGTAACGAGATAGAGCGAACGCGCAAGTAATAATGTAATAAAGTAAAAAGATTAAAAAAAGAAAAAAAGATATCGATGTAGATGAAGAAAAAAAACGCACGTGGGCCCCGAGACACACACCTTATAATATTCTTATTAAATATTACATAACGTATAATACTACGCTATTATTTTTCATAGGGGAGGAAAAGATTACCCGCATACGCGCGATAACATGTGTATATTTGATAATCATTAGTACGTTTGTTTTCTCCGTTTTCTTTTCTTTTCTTTTCTTTTTTTTTTTTACTTTCTCTTATATCCGAAGAAAGGAAAAATGTAACGACGCGAAAGCGCATGGGATATATTAATTATATATATATAAAGATGAACGAAATATACGCCTATTACACATTTATGTGGATGTATCTGTGTGAGAGAAGAGAAACGCCCTTTCAAGCTTTTCAACTTGAGGCACGTGCACCGTGTTTCGGAATAGTCGCCTGTCGCTCGAGTTTCCGGTTTTACGAAGGGGAAAGAAGGTTGGGAGAGGAAGAGGGCGGATGATCGTTCGTTGATCCGAAAGAACTGTACATGCGCTCAGCTGTTATTGATAATTATATAATTTGACTTGGATGGGTCGGTCAGCGGTGGCGATCACGATCTGTGAATTCGTTTCGAATCACACCTTTTTCTGAAGCACCATTCCAGTGCCCCCCGACCGATGTGCTATTATCGGATAGAATCTATCAAGTAGAATGAGAAGCCTTTTTTTTCGCACGAAGAAGAAAATTATATTTGTAGCACGTCGCGTGCCGTGATATAATCGATTAACCCGCGAGGGAGATCGCCACGTCGTACGTAGCCGATCCATTCGCGGTCCTCGCATTTAATATAAACGCAGCTGTATTGATGTATTCTTGTTGGATTATTAATACCATTGTAAACGATTTACTGTTGTAACATATATCCACGTCATGTCTGGTGTCGAGCAGAGCTGATTCTGATGCTTTCGCTAGTTCGAGACGAGTCGAGGGATCGCGCGCGTAAATTTCCGAGTAACTCTATATTATTCGTACGACTTCCGTGATCCTGGGAGGGTTGTTGCACGATTTGGGAAAAAAAAGGAAGCCAAGAGGGGAAAAGAGAACAAAGAGAATCAGTGCTGACGAGAACACGAGGCAGAACCGAAAAAAGAAAAGATTATCGTAACTCTAAAGACACATTTAATCTACTTTTAAAAACTGATACATATTTGGAGAGTAGCAGGTAAAATAATTAATATAAATGTAGTGGCAACTCTATATAATATTACTGCAAAGAGAGAGAGAGAGAAAAAAAAGATATGTACGAATGATTATTCAAAGTATAAAATGCGAAACGCACTCTTAATGGATGTTATAACGATTTAGAAACTACTTAAATTGCATTATTGATACTCGCTGTAAATCTGACTTTTGGAGCGCAAGTGCTCTGCGCTCTTCTCGTGCCTCGCGAGCCATCGCATCGACTAACGTGCGGAAATTTTCCCGGGAGAGAAAGCGAGAGCAGAGCACGTGATCCAATTGGCAGATAAATTCAAGTTTCCTCCTTTTTTTCAAGAGCATAATATTTAACCCTTTATTTATCTTCTACGAACGCAACCTCTCACAACACACATACACACGCGAAATTAGAATATTTAAAGTTTTGTAGAGTCCTCCGCGTTCAGTTTATAAAGTAGCCCTGCGCGGCATGTTGTGCAGCTTTTGTAAAAGATAACAAACTTTCAATCGAGTCCTGTAAGAAAGCTCTTAGCACGAGTAGGGAGGAGAGAGAGAGAGAGAGAGAGAGAGAGAGAGAGAGAGAGAGAGAGAGGGAGGGGAGGGAGAGGAAGGAGGCGAGAGATTCGGATATGGTTGGCTGGTATTTTCGAAAGTTTAATGATTTATTGAAAACGTGTTGTCATGTCTTAAATACAATTAAAAGAATATGAAAAAATTATATCCTGAGCGAGTACTTTGCTTCCTGAGAGCGTACGTCCTCCTATATTATTGCAACTACAGATTATCCGCTTACAATGCTCCATCGCGCGATGTTGATACGAATAATATAATTTCTTTTGAAATCTTCGTTTGATTCTTTTCGATGTGAGGAAGAATCCTTTTTGACCCAGTTCTGTCGCTCCTCCAGAATTCAACTGTCCTTTTTTTTCATTTGTAAATAGTTTATGTTCTATAGTTATATATCACGCGTACGTTCTTTCGGAACATATGTCATATATTTCTTTTTTTAATTATCTAATTATATTTATCCCGTCTTGTATGATATATCATTCGAGTGTTTGAAATTCACAAATTCTTTCTCCTTCAATTCATATAATTTTTCATTACGCATTTGTTTTGCAGCACATATTCTATGTCTGTGTTTCACTTTACGTGTTCAATGAGATGAATATTGAGGACAACGTCACAACGTGTTCCTTACGTCGCGGAAAAACAATCATCTTTTGATATATCTTTGCATTCGAATTTTTTTATACTTAATATCGCATAGTTTTAATTTATTTATTTATACATTTAATGTCGACGTTGATGTGTTTTTCCGTACGTTGTGTCTCGCTTGTGCAACGTATATTTTTACTTTATTGATTTCGAATCATCCATGTTGCAAAGTGCAAAATATTCTTAATAATGTCAACTATTATAATATGGCTTATCGGAAGGAATGTAGAGGCAATAAGTCCAGAGTGTTACATGAAAAGCTACGTGTAACGTCTCATTTTATTGTGTTATTATAATAGTATAGAGAGTTAGTATAATAAATAAAAAAAGAACTTTATTATCAGGCAGCACGATTTGCACGATCATTTTTATTATCAATATACTATTTTTTAAGTATCATTTATTTAGCATTTTGAGAGGATTAATCCCCTCACTCACTGGATAGGCGCAGAGTTTTTTCTTGTACGCTTCTACGTCAGTAATATAATGATCTTGCGTTTCCTTACGCTGGTCGTCAGTTATGTATTCCAAGGAGAAGTACTGTGCTTTCTTGTTCGCCTCTGCAGTATCTATAACATACGTAATTTTTTTAAATTTTGTTTTTAGGAACTTAAGCCGACGTCAACAGTGCCAGGATAAAATGATGGCAAATCAACACTCTTCGCTCTGATCGAACGTACAAGAGAAGGGACCGTCTCCGGACTATTCTTACATTTCCGTCTCAACGTAAATTAAATTTATTCAAACAGCACGTCGTACCAATACAGATATTATCATGCAGATGACGATACGTGAGACAACGACTATCGAAACGTGTCATCTACTCACCACTCGCTTTCTCAACTGCCCTTTCCTTCGGATCAGTTCCTACCACGTGCACGCTCAATTTTCTAAAGTTACTTCCATTCAGTGTGTGCCGTGCAGACCATTCTCTCAGCCAGTTGATCGTTATGTTTTTTATCGCAAGCACTTCCCTCTCGAGTCTGTCAAACATGTATCGCCACTTTGTGATCTCAGTCCAATTTCTGCTAACTTCTTCTTCCAAATCGATATCGGCACACTGTTTCAATTTTCTTAGTGCCTCTTTGACATCGTCCAATTCCTCTTCCGAGAAATCTTCCAAAATCTTATTAAACGATTTCAGAAATTCTTCGATCCGCTGGTCCACGTGCTCGGTTGTGTATTTGTCTGCCTGAGTGTGAACGGTAATGGAATATCCTAAAATTCCGTTGGTATCTTGAAGATTACAGAAGACCAAGTAACCAAGCTGTTCTTGAGTTCTTAACCGATGGAATAACGGTTCTTCCATTATCATCTGTGAAAAGAAGTGCGGATGAAATCGATCGCGACACGTAGATATACTATATTATTCATGTTTACGTTACTATATTTAACGTTAAATATGACACACATTTAAAAAATTTTCATGTTTTAAATATCTACGAATAAATACGAATATAAATGAATATAAACCAAGGATTCTATGCATTCAAAATATACGAAACAATGTTACTTACGATCATCAGATCGATTAACACTGATAACTCAATCGATATGACATCGGCTTGATAATAATTTGTCACTACGGAATTTGCATCGATTTTGTTGATATTTTTCAACTTGCAATAGCATGTGCCCAAGGGTATCTGCGTGACTTTCACTTGCGGTATCGTATCAAAGAGAAAAGGACCGCAATTAATTATTTTGATACATTGTTGTACACTCTCGATCGCAGCATCCTGCGTCACGTTGCCTTGCACAAGACACTGAATGTATAGTTGATCGGTGAAGATTTTCACAAAGTCCTGGAAGTCTTCAAACGTGATATTACGTAGAGCAGCATGGGTATCAACGTGTGTATAATGGACGAGCTTCAATATGCATAATCTCACGTCCCTGCAAAAAAGTACAAAGATACAAATGTTATTGCGTACGTGGTAGAAATGTACGTTGACATACGTGACGTTACAATATTACGTGTTATACGTAATATTGAACGTATCACTGTTTCTTTTATGTATGTAAAAATTTTAGACGTATCGCACGTAATGCTGGATAATAAATAGTCAGTACTTGACAAGTTTTCCAGGTTTTACAAATGTGTTGTAATATGTCTTAAGCTGTTGCACTTTCACAATTTCAAACAATTCCTTCAACTCCTGTACTCCTGTAACAAGGGTTGGATAATCCACTATGTATTTTGCAATAGTCATCAATAAGAGCTGCAAAATATAAGTAAAATAATATGTATCTCGAACGTGTATTTATAACTCCAACGCGCACTTTGAACGTATACTTACCGGTAGTTTTTCGTTAAATCCATTTATTTTTATTGTAATACCTTTCTCACTACTACTGATATTATAGTCAAACCCGACCGCTATAGCTGGATATAATTCTTCAATCAATAACAATTTCAATACATTGCAGTACATTTCCATGAGAGCTGTACTGAAATATCATTAAAATGTAAACATTTTTTTTTTTTTTTAATAAGATACAAATACGTATATAAAAATCATAATATTGATACGCAAGTAAAAATTAATAACGTCCATGATCCTGCGTATCACATTTTTCATGCTCGTACTTACTTCTTTGGCGACTGAACCCCGAGGGAGGAAACAAAATGGAAATTCATATAACATTCCGGCAAACGAAACTTGGGATCCGCGCGATACCAAATCTCCGATATATGATCATTGTGTAATTTTACAGGATATTTGGGAACCTCCGCTGGTATCGGTATTAAGGAGAAGTCGCTGGGAAGGAATGTATTCGCTAATGGTAAATGAAAATCTGGCAATGGTTCGATTGATTTCCAGCGTTCGATCCATTCTTTTGGTATTTCGCTGTCTGTATACTTGGTTTGGAACCACGGCTCGACTTTCGTCAGTTCAACCCCGTCAAATTCCTCGTTGAAGATCATGATATTCGCATTCTCTGGTACCAGATAATCCAAACACTTTTGTATAGCTTCTGGATTATATTCAAAATAAAGCTCGTTTCCAGTTATATAATCGCGGGGCGGATAGAAATGCATACTCTCACACAAATCTTCCACAAAATCTGCTGGATCCTCCTCATCGGCAAATCTGGAAAAAAAAGTCTTAAGTATGAGCACGATCTCACACATGTTTTGACGGTTTGTCTCTTTCTCACGCAATCATTTATACACGTATTTATTTCTAAACGTAGTTTACCTAAAATTATTTTCTTCAATCTTTGAAATTTCATCGTAAATTCTTTTCTGTGGACCCTCTTTTTTCATTAAATTGATATAGGAGAATATCGCATCTAGAACTTGCTCCAAATGTTGTTGTCCCTCGTAGGAAAGTACTATGGTAAGCTTTAATAAAGCATACATGGAGCTGTGTTCAAAACCACTTTCATTGTTACCACTGAACATATCGAGACTCCACTTCTTCTTGCGTAGATAACTAATTAAAGAACCTTTTCCTTCATGTCCAATAATCCATGAGACATACTGATGTGGTTTACTTTTGTACAGATCAAGTAACGAAGGCATTGTCCATGTTACTTCTAGCTGCAAAAGACACGTTTTATTTTATATATTTCGTCAGTATATAAAGACAGTTTCTTTTTTGACTGAAAGTTTTTGTTTAGCTTTATATGTAATATTACATTTTAAATATATAAATACACGCATAATATTACAAAGACAAGAGGAACAAAATAAAATTTAGTAAATTTGTGACATACAAAGCCACCACAGAAACATACGAACGAAGAAAAAGATTATAAAGATGTCGAACGTTAATATTCTTATATATTTATGGTCCGTGAAAATTTTTTAATCCACCGTTCTCGTAAAAAGAATACAAGTTCTCAGTTGAAAGTATTATCCAGTGCAAAAGTAAAATGTTTCCATGCGACTTGATTTCGTATCGTAAACTCGTGCGTTGTTGGAAGTTTTAGTCACATACCTGGCTGACATCTTTGAAAGGCTTAACTTTATACATTTTTCGGAAAGCAGGAGTATCGAAAGAAACACCGCCTTTAAACTCGGTAAAATCATCGGGAGGCAACGCGTTATTCGGTACATCGGCAAAGCAAGTTGTAACATGATTTTCCAATGTATCCAGCGGTAGTCTCGCCTATAAAGAAACGTATCTCGTTGAAACGTTATATTAATATTTATGAAGTACGGCGTCTCGCGTCGCACGTTCAAACCAACGTACCTGTATAGCTAACTTCATTCTGTGAGCGCTGTAATGGCGTTTTCTGAATTTGTGAAGTTCTTCGTACAATTTTTCGTCATCCACATTATCGCGCAACGTCACTAAATTACCCCAAATAAACTTGTTGGCTGGATGACCAGTTTGGGCAAAGGAGGAGAACAATTGTTCCTTTCTATTATCGTCACAAGGTAAGGCCAACTGAAACTCTATATAAGCGTGATGTATCAAGAGTGCAAGTTGCGGCAACAGTCGTACGCGTATGATTTATATAATATACCGCTTTCTACAGCCTCTCGCTCCCGTGTAATAGCATCTTTCTTCATCAGGGGCTTAATGAAAAATTGAGCAAAACGATCGAGTGCTGCGAACAAGTGTTTCTCTTGGATATCAAAGTAAAATGTTGTATGTTCGCAATCCGTTGAGGCATTGGTAAAGCCACCACGCTTACTGATAAATGCATCAAAATCGTTTTCCTGCAGGTGAGATAATGCTTAAATATTTAAATGTACACGCAAGTACGAGTTTACGTCACGCATCATGTTTCAATACTTGTGGATATTTTTCGGATCCCATGAAAACCATGTGTTCGAGAAAATGTGCCATGCCTGGAACTTGCGGTGGATCGCTAAAACTGCCTACTCCCACACATAAGCCACATGCTGCCTATTTAAAAAAGTGTATATTATATATATATATATAAAACTGAATAACGTATTTGAGAGAAACATATGTGTCGTGATACACATATGCACGCACGGTATTTGCGTTGATCTGTTCGAGTCAATATATGAAATATGGTATGTTAAATAGAGAAATAAACGTAGGACACGCACGGGAATGATCCCACGGCAAATAGAAATACGTATGGAAACCCTCCTGAAGATGGGGAGAGAATATAAATTTTTCAAACCAAAACTTGTGATAAAACTGACAGGTTTTCTTAGGTCTCTTATCTTCGTGTTAGTACGATAGATACTCTTAGGTCTTGAGAAGACATTTTATGATTTTGTTGGTCCATCTTCAATATTACAACCTCACGGAATTTTTGATGATAGATTATGTAAAAAAAAAGTGACGCAAAGTATCGTCCGCAAAGTGCAAACCACATCGTTTTGTTTGTACCTTCTTTTCATCTCTCTTAACTCGTTTAAGTGTTGAAAAATCTTCATCGTCATCACTGGTATCGTCATCATCATCTATGTCATTCTCTTCTTCCTCTTCATCTTCTTCGTTACTTTCCTCATCCTCAGTTTCATCTTCGCTGGATTCTATACCCATTAAAAAATGACACAAACATCTTTATAAATACGTATTCATATGAATGTACACATACATTTATATGTTATTTGTTACATATCCTATTTTTCAACGTAATATATTTGGATCCATGGCTTATACCTTTATCCCGATCATCTTCATCTTGAGCCGCACACGTTTTTGAATGTACATCGGATATTAGCAAAGCTGTTAAACCATTTGGTAATCTGATGACTCTAACGTTGGAAGAGAAAACAAATGATAATAGAATAAATGGAAGTCAGTGAAACGTGGTAAAATATATTATATTTAATATATATTATTCAACACGTTCGTAAACAAATAAAGAAATACTCTTACTCAAATGGACTCTCAAAAATATATCAAAATAATAAAAAATAATATACATCTTAAATAACGTACAAACGTGCGTGCCACAAAAGTTGATATATCTTATTCGTACATAAAATTAAAGAGACAAGCATGCCTGATTCTATCTAAGCTATATACGCGTGATGATAAAACACAACAAAGAGCATAACGTCGTTTCCAAACAAATGGAGCAACGTGGAGAACTGAAACTATCAGTAATATGTTACACGTGTTTACACTAGTAGGCGCGTGTCTACAGTATATTTCAAATTAGATAACACAGTCACAAAATAATATTTCCAGGAAAATCTGATCGGAGTCAAATGTCTCCCTGCGACGTGGAGCAACCATCAGTTTGTGACAAACAAATCCTATCCCGGAAAAAAAGGGTCATGGAGTTTCTCTCAAAAAATAAAAGATACGTTCGATCGAATGTATGTTTATTGTTTGTTACTGGGCAGTCCGGGTCTAGGCCCGAGGCCCGAGGCCTGACGCCACGCCGGCTCTCAGGCTCTCACCTATATTCCTTCTCGTCGTTCTCCGACTTGACCGGCGTCTCCAGATATTCAACCTGGCAACGCTCATCGTCCCCGCCGTCCTCGGTCGTACGCTCCACCTCTGGCATTATATCGACGCGTAGGATTTCAGGCGTGAACGTAGATCGATCGTCGTAATACGAACCGATCGGAAAATATGCACGAGGCGTACGAATCGTTTTCTGTTTCCTTTTCAATGAACTGGACACAGTATTCTTCAGCACTCTACTCGATACAAATCTAGACACGTATCTGGCAATGTTGAACCGTCGTTGAAAGAAATAAAGACATATCACACACGCTTCCGCACACGCCGTACGTGTCAATACGTGTGAATACGTGTCAGTCGTGTCGCACACGACTCACAACTCACACTTCACATTCACACCGCTCACACCGCTCACACGCCGACGCCGAACAAAGCTCGAAAAACCATAGATATATTAATGACTATAGATTGCACATTCTCTGGCCAGTTTTAGAATGACCGCATTTGGACGCGTTCAGCAGATTTACCACGCACGCGTGACGCGTGGTCATTTTCCAATGGACTACGCGGCCAAGTCTGTCTTGTCTGTGTTTGCGCGCAGTCGCCAGTCGCGCAGTGTGCACTGTGCACTGTGCGAGTGTGCGCGTAGTGCCGAGACTGCCGAGTGCGTGTGCGACCACGTGCGACATGCGTGATGCGGGACGACTGTAGCTAACCTCTATTCCTTCGATTTTTTTCCGATCCGTTCGATGATCGAAACTCGCCGAGGACCGAGGACGGCGAGCATCATTCAGCATCCGTGTTTGCGAGACGTCGAACGTCGATCAGTCTCCGTCCTGGGTCCTGGCTAGTCGAACGCGACCCGCAAGTTAGAAGAGTTGGAGACGAGGTGAAAGCGAGAGAAACGTAAGATTAAGATAGAGATGGGCAAGCTGGCGCCTCGTTTGGCAAGTAGAAAGAAGGCGAAGCGATGGGCAAGAGGCCAGAGTTCCAGTTCCAACCCGGCGACGACCAAGTATCGCGAGCAAGCGACTGGCATGTTTTTCAAGGACCTCCCCGGCTCCGGCACGCCAGGTATCACGAAGGAGGACCTACGGAAGCACGACGCCATCCAAGGTATTCAGCCTGAGTTCGCGAAGCTCAACCTGGACGCGGACCGAGAGGACCGAGAGGATGGGAGGACGGCGATCACGTGCGACACGTTCGCCACCACGTACAGCGCGTGCTCCAACCTTTCCTTCGGCAGGTTCCTCGCCCGCTTTCAATCGAGCTCGATCGTCCACAAGGAGATGCTGGCGGTGCTCGCGGCCGTGACAGAGGTCATCAAGCAGAACGGTGGTAACGAGACTTCGACCGAGTACTTTGCCGCGTTGATGAGCACTTTGGAGGCGATAGAGGACGACACCTCCGTAGCCGCGACCCTCTCGCTGCTCGGGATGTGTCTGAGAACGGTGCCGAGGAACGTCCTCAACTTGCAATTCGGCCCGACGAGTCAGGCTCTCCTGCGGATTCTCGAGCGGTCAGCGATCGTAAGCGAGAACCATCTCGTTCTGCGACATTGCATAGGCTGCCTCTCGGTGTTGCTGAGAGCGCAGGAGGCTGCCGTTTGGATCGCGCCCTCGACGACGCAGCTGCTCAACACTATCCTGTCCTTGGTCACACACGCCAAGCCGAAGGTCCGCAAGTCCGCCCAGCACGGGATATGCGCCATTCTACGGGGCAGCGACGTGATGAGGAGCGAGGCGCCCGGACCCGCGCCCGCACCCGCACTCGCGCCGCCGACTCACCATCCGGCCGCGGGACATATCGCGACGCACTGCGTCGCGCAGCTCGACGCCGCTTGCGAGCCAGGCTCCTCGCTCGGAGCCACCACTATTCTGCATATCCTCACCCTGTTGAAAGATATTATGTCGCAGTTGCCCAAGTCACACGTAAGGACCATCTGCGAACGTCTGTTGAGCATCATGACGTTGAACAACGTTCTGATAACGTCGTGCTGCCTGCAAACGCTGCACGGGCTGTTGGTCGCGAGGCCGTCGGAGGCGACCTTACCTTTCCCGCAAAACGCAAGTATCATTAAGGCCCTTTACGCGTATCAGCCGTCCGCGGACGACACGCAGCCGACTTTGGCGTGGTTGGCCGTCATGCGGGAGGCTCACTGCAACCTGGTGCGCCTGGCCGTCGGGACCTCCTCGGTCGACGTCCTCGCGACGCTCCATCACCTTACGCCGGAAATGTTCGACAGGTGCGTCGGGCTCTTGCTGTCCAACAGGACGGAGATCGTCGCCGGCGCGTCGCACACCGTCGAGGCCATTCTACGGGACGGCGTGGCACGCCTGTGCGAGGACGAGGAGCGAGTCGGCAGATACGAGCCCATCCTGAGGCGCGTCGTCGAGACGTTGCGCGAGGCGCTGAGCTATCGCTATCTCGGAGCTTGGCGCCACGTCCTTCACCTTACAGCCGTGCTCTTCCAAGTCGCCGGTAAGCTCGCCGCCCGCGCCGGAAGACTCGAGCAACTCGGCAACCTCGTCGAGACCCTGGGCACGCTGCGAGATTTCCACGCGTTCGCGTACAACCGTGAGGCGGAGTACGCCATCGGGGCGGCGATCCGGGCGATGGGGCCTCGGCTCGTGTTGAACATCCTCCCTCTTCGAACCGACGAAAACCAACCACCAGCTCCTTGTCAGCAGATAAATCTCAGACGCGCGAGCTGGATGATCCCGCTGCTCAAGGATTGCGTAACGACGGCCGGTGGCACCATCGCCCTCTTCAAGGACGTCTTGCTGCCGATCGCTCGGCACTGCGAGGAAAAAGCGAACGAGACGAGTAGCGCGTCTACCGCGTCTACCGCGGACGGAAAGACGTACGAGTGCTTGGTAACGCAGATCTGGTCCATCTTGCCGAGCATATGCAACGACGCCAGCGACGTCAAGGACAACTTTAAACACGTCGCCAAGCTGTTGGGTATAGCCATCAACGACCGGAGGGACCTCAGGCTACCCGCGATGGCCGCCCTGAGAAAACTGATTGTCAAGGCGGCGGCCGACGCCGACGATCGCGCCGAGCTCGCTCGCTTCGCCAAAAACTACCTGCCGATCCTCTTCAATCTGTACACCACGAGACCAAGCGGCACGGACGAGGAGGGAGTGCGCCTCGCCGCGTACGACACGATCAAGACCTACGTGACGATCGCGAGCAGCGACTTGGCGAACGAGCTGTTCGATCGAGCGCTGAGCAAGCTCGACGAGCCCGACGCGGATGACTTCTTCAAGGAGAGCGTTTACGATCTGACGAGAGCGCTGATCGGCTATACGGACGTCGACAGGCTGAGCAAGTACTACGACGCGTGCGTGCCGGTCTTGAAGAACGCGACCAAGCGGAAGGAGCAGAAGAAGGCTTACCGTTTCCTCGAGGAGATATGCGGCAGCGAGAGGGAGATCTGCGAGCGGTTCCTGCACGAGCACCGGCGCCGGATTCAAAAGACGCTGATCGCCTCGGCGAGTAGCGTCGTCCGGACGAGTAGAGGAGCGCGTCTGCGGTGCCTCGCGCATCTCGTCAGACGACACCCGCAGCTCGAGGGGACCAAGTTCCTCGAGGCCGTCGTGCCGGAAGCTGTGCTCTGCGTCAAGGATATAAACGAGAGGTGTCGCGACGCGGCGTATCAGCTGCTCAACGCGATCGCCGAGAGATTCCTCAACGAGCCCGCGCACCTCAAAGACTACGCGGATATGCTGATGGTGGGCCTGAGCGGCGAACGAGCCTACGTTAGCGCCAGTCTCCTCGCTCTGGCGTCTGTCACCTATCGTCACAACGACTCTCTCGGCACGGAGATCGTCGCTGAGATCCTCGGACACGCTTGCACCATTCTGACCAGTCCTACGAGGGAGATTGCCGAGTCCGCCTTGTCCTACGTCAAGGTCTACCTCAACGTCACGCCGTCCGACGTGATAGCGCCGACGTTGCCGCGGATAGTCGACGCTCTGTCGCGAATGACCGAGGACTGTAAGCGCCACTTTCGACAAAAGGTGCGAGACATCTTTACCAAACTGATAAGGAAGTACGGCTTCGGACCGATCGCGAGCATGGTGCCAGCCTCGGACGTGACCCTGCATAAGAGACTAAAGAATATCAACAAGATCGAAGACGCCAAGAGGAGGAAGCGGGAGCTCGAAAGAGCGAGGAAGCTGGAGCAGGAGACGGCTGACGAGGACGTTGATCTCGTCAGGAGGGGACCTAAAAGTATAGAGGAGATATTGGCCGACAGCGACGAGGAGTTTGAGGCTACGGAGAACGAAGAAGAAGCGAGGAGAAGCAAGAAAAGAACCCCAGGAAAGGACGCTTGGATTCAGGAAACCGAAGATGATATAGTCGATCTCGCGGATCCCGCAGCTGCTAGAAATATCACAAGTTGGTTTACGGCGAATATTTGCACGCTCCCTCCCTCCCTCCCATCGGCGTCAGCTGGTTTCGTCACGTTTCCAAGTTTTCCTTTTTAGTTCTCCCTTTGACCGATCGATGAAACAGTCAAACTTTGGATTTATAAAATCGACCGTCTCCGTCGATCGAGAGAGTTTATTTTTAATTTATATATCAATGTACACGATGTTCCCTCTGTCTCCGTCTAGAAACCTAAAACCTAAAAAAGACGCGAGAATAAAGTTCAAACTTAAAGAACGTTGTAGCTGACGTTCATGGGTCTTGCGATAATCGATTTCGTTTCTTTTGTACGCTTTAGCTACGCAACCGGGTGTGTCGAATCTAAAGATTCCAGAGAAGAAGGTAAAGGATCGTGGCTTTGCGACTGCACCCGATGGTCGTCTCATCATTAGGGACGCGAACGAGAGAGACAGCGACGCGGAGGAAAGGACGAAGAAGAAGAAGAGAAAGACTTCTTTCTCCCAGAGTGATTCGGAAGACGATTACAGTAAGTTCTTGAAACACGTACTTTGTTCAGACATGAAAAAAGTGCACGTATCATCCGGCGATATACGAGTGTATATGTATATGTTTCTACTTTGTAGAAGACGAAGATGATGTATCGGTAGTGACCACAAAGACCGCTGGCAAAAAACGTAAATACAGCTCAAGTACATTGGATGCGATGAGCCTAAAGAGTCGGTCAACGTCGAGATATCGAGGTAAATTTAAAAGGTTTCGCCGTACAGAGTATCCCAAGACACTTGACTTTACGTGACTTGAAGAAAAGTGTCGCTTGTATAAATCCTTAAAGACAATCTTTTGGAAATTTAAGAAATAAAAGACAATGTTTGACACGTTAATGGGATAAACGAGAACGTGGATTTGCGACTTGTATAATAGTATCGCCAATAAGATCTGGCAGAAAACATGTCGTTGTAAAGAGAAACTAGCACGAAATCATTCGTCATTTGTGTTGCAATAAATGACGAATGATTTCGTGCTCGTACGCTAGCTAAATATTAGTTGTATTGATTTTTCTGTTGAATTTCAGCCGGTGGATCGGGTATTCATCGACCGCTAAAAGCGACGAAAGTAGACTGTGAACCCGGTTCGGAATATCGTGCGACCAAGGCCAGGGGAGATATTAAGAGGAAGGGTAAACCAGATCCCTACGCATATGTACCCTTGACGAGATCTATATTGAACAAAAGGTAACAATAACAGATTTTAGGTCTTTAGTATTAAGTACATTGTACTTTGTACATATATATATATATATATATATATATATATATATATATATATATTATTCTCAATTTGTTCTTAATATATTAATAAATTGATACATTTGCACTTTACAGAAAGAAGAAGAAAAATGCGGGCAAATTTCAGAGTATAGTTTCTGGGACGAAAAAGGGCGCCCGCGCAGGTTTACGCAATAAACGAAGAAAGCGTTAGAAACGGATAACAATCCTATGTGTTAATCATAATATTGTCCAACGATAGACGTATCGATTATTATTATTATTATTATTACGTACGTATTTTCAAATACATGGTTGAACGTAACCACTATTTCCCAATCTAATTCAGTCCACGTGGGATATATGCGAGTGTGATATACCAAAAGGGTTAAAGGATACCTTTAATCCTTTACCGTCGTTACTCTCAATGCTCCGATTATACATAAAGGACACAGAATCTCTGGTTTAGAAGTGTGGGGTAACATGTTTCCTAAATACTGCGATGTACATGGAAGAGTTAACGACGGAGATGTTAATAATTCAGTTTCCATCGTCGGGATAACATCTGCTTCGTATAGAGAGATTGGAAAGCGGTGTCCGCAAGTAAATATCATATTGTCTTCTTCCGTTGTGAGCAAGTGATTTATAGTATCCGAGTCCTGTTTTAATGTTAAAAAGATTCAACTACAATTAGTCAATTACAATTGAATTTGATGAAACTAATGGAAACCACGTATATGTATGTAGCCTAATGAAAATCTCGTCTGACACGGAGATCTCGGTAAAATATTTTATTTACCTTAATGTGTGTAAATAATCTGGAATCTTCCATTTCGGAAAATACCGTGCTGACGATACCTTGCATCATTTGTTCTGGATTATTATTTCTACTTGTGCCTGGATATCCGTTTAAAGGTGCTCCGTACGTGTCCGCCATTAAAGAGGAGAAAATTTTAATGTATTCCGGCATAATATCATCTGAAATGTAAGAGTTATCGTTTCGTTATGCTAATCAATTTTAGAAGCTCTTCACTTTGAAAGATGAAAGATATCAAGCTAAGCAACCTTCATCTATACGCTGCATCAACATCGCGAGCACTCGAAGACAAAATTTGATTGAGAATAAGCTGTTCGCGCAGCACGCCTTTCCTTCTTCGTCGTACGTTTTGCTTACATTCAAGTATCTTCCTGTCGCCGTCTGACTGTAAAGTGAGATAATGATGGAAAAGTGAAAAAAATGTTGTACATCACGCCGTCTCGTCTCATTCCAATATTCATGCCCAGTCAGGGATTCCTAAACGTTTTCTTTTTACCAATACTTGATCTGTAGTCAGCATGCAGTTTTAGTGCACAGCATCATGGATCTTGTGTATATTTTTTACCTTCTTTTGTTCTCTAATTCGGAAAGATGCTTAAATGTCAGAGTTGAGCAAATTTGAGCTTTTAAACTGACACGAGTCTTGGAATCCCTGTGTGTGCATCATAAAAAATAAACGAAATCACACTCAAGAGAGTATACAGTACGCGATAAGAGAAAAACACGAGGAAAAAACACGTCCTGCTCGCGTAATGCAGCAAAGTGCAATATTGACTTACCAAAAAAGTAATAATCCAAGAGGGTAATAAACGATATGTATATGTTCGAGAAAAACGTTCTCCAAGCTTTGCATCGGTAAATTGTGCACGATCCAAAAACCAATTGCACTTTGCAACATTTCACATTTTACGGTATTTGCTTCGTTATTAATACTTTTTAAATAGAACTTTAATGCTCTTATGGTTTCATTGATTACGTAATTCCTCTGAGAACGCGAGGACACCTTGTCCAAGAACACAGTCTTCTCTTCATTCACGTCGCAACGATCGTCATTCACAATCGACAGATTTGCTTTCGTGCAGACCGATCGAGATGACGTTTGCGCAGAGTTACGTAGAGTGACGTCTTTATGCTGCAACAGCGAATTTGCGTTTTCATTAAAAATAAGATCTTCGATCCATTCGTGTGGATGTTGTTTGTCTTCGTTCGTAGCGTAATGTTCGGTGTCGGAGTGGTCAGTGTTAATGTTAACGTTCAGCGAGAGACCGTCGTCGTCTTTTCGAGTTCCGCATAATTCTTCCAAACCACCTTGACAATCGAAAGAGTATAATTCTTGCGCGAGTGTTTGCAAATTATTCAACGATCTACTCGTCGAAATTTTCGTCCAGCTTCGAGCAACGCTGTTTTCCAAGGATTCCATGAGATTCTTCTCCGCTTGTCTATTAAATAATTCAGTGTTCCTCTTGATATCTCGGGACAGCATGGAATCCCTCGTCATATCAACGTTTGGTGAGCTAGTCTCGAGGGTTGAGTTTATTTTCTCATGTGGAACTTGTCTCTCTGATATTTGATAATTTCTGGATGACTGAAGGCTCAATTTATGCAACATTTTCAATTGATAAGTGAAAGCAGCTGGAACGTTATTTTCTAATGCTGCTATTTTAGAACAAGCTTGATAATTCTCCAATTCGATACACTGGAACGGAAAAAATTTTACCTTACAAAACTGCCGTTTTTAGCAACAGTATCGTTGCGTGCCACACATTTTGCTTCGAATTAAAAATTTAAACATACACGTTAACACCGTTGATCGTAAAGTTAGCAGTGTCACATATATCACTTCGCAAAAAAGAAATGAGGAGAACTCGACGATATCTCGCGTCTTGTGTTTCTTCCGATGGAAGAATCGGACAAATCGGTACAAATATAAGATTAATCTGAACGATTAAAACGATAAATAAACGTTTTCTTTTTCTTCTCCTTCCTCTCCCTTTAAATTTCATTGTGCCGCATCTCGTATCGATCGCCCGATAAAGCGGATCAACTCACCTTTTCTATAATATTGGCAGAATTGTATAAACCGTGGAAATGTTCCAGAATATAATGAAGTGTCACGTCCCCAGGTGATCTTTCGATAACGCTCAAAGGACGGACGGATCCGGCGAGAGAAAATGCGTCGTTGGCACGATAAGATATCACTGGGGTAGAAATGCCAGGTACTTGACTAGGGATGTCCAGAGCTATGTGCAGCGCATTAGGGAGCCGTACTATTCGCTTCGATGATTTCAGCAATACAAGTTTATCGTCGGCATCACGTGCCTCTTTCGCAGGAATGCGACCCAATTGCGCTCTGCTGTTATTACCCCAAGCTAACACCGTACCCCCTAAAAGATAAACCATATTGAAATATATATTTATAATGCTGGAAATTTTTATTTTCAAAAACCACATTAAAAGCCACCGTGCATTGTGTATGTGCGTAAGAGAGAAGAGCGGTTAATATAAAAATTCAATTAAATCTTCGCTCAATTTGGAATACCATATTAAATACGTAGTCACTTGATTAAATTAGTTTGAATTCGAAAGATTCGAGACTATTTGTGTGCCACATATTTTAGCTTAAGATAGATAATACTATTTAAACAGCTCTATCAAGAATATTGCGTGTGAGTATGCAAGAGCGCGCACGTATATATACATATATATTTGTTCCTTTGTAACCTGGTTGTATCGCCACCGTATAATCATATCCACAAGCAATACCAACAGCATTAATTATAGGATTGATTCTCTCTTTATTCAGGTCAGCATTTCCTGTACGCACAGTAGAGTCACTGATATTCCCATTGTTTTCAGACGCCGTTCCATTATTTATCAGTGAGTTCGTCGACTTGGCGCCAGTGTCCAAGTCCCATTGATTTTGCATTCTTTTAAAATCATTGTGTCTAGGGGGTATTTGTGCAAAAATACAGGCGGAATTGTAATATAAAGGCGTTGGACGTGACACTTCTCGCCGCGTGCCGTTACCTATCTGACCATCTAGATTACGGCCCCATGTATATAAAGAGCCATCCTTTGTTATCAATGCATTATGATGACACCCAGCTGATATCTGCACAAGTGACCACACAGGTTACATCATATCTACATAAAGTATGCAGGATTCTTTTATACTATACTAACACGACGATACTAACGTCACGAACTAATATTCTCCGCGTCTACGTTGAAGATAAAAATATTTGTAAATGTAAATATTACTACATTACTACTACATCGTTATATTATTATTATTATTATTATTATTACAAGCGCAACGTCTAAATTTCAGGCGTTATTACGAACCTCATTATATTACGAACCTGCGTAATTTGTCCTTTTACCAAACTTGTATCGACAACACATGGCTTCAAATGTGCTTGACTCTCTTCGGTCAAACCGAAGTTGAAGCCTTTCAAATCTGCGTTTTCAGTCTCGGGTCTCTTTTGTGTTTCTATATCGGAAGTACGCGCTTTTGTTTGAGCAGACTCGGTTTGTACACCATCCACCAAAACGTCTTCCTTTATTTCTTCGTTTAGATTTGTACGTTTCTCCGACTCCTCCAAAGTTTTACTCTTTTTCTCCGTAGCATCTCGTTGCTCTAGTATACGCGTTTTTTTTTGCGCTTGTGCTTGCAATCTGAGAACCTGAGGACTCGCGCCCCATATGTATACGTTGTTCGCATTAGTGACAGCTAGCTGCAAACATGAGAATAAAATACGCGTATGAAATCGCTTTTGCTATTCATCAATGGTTACAGACACGGAGATTTATTTTATGTATTTATTTTTTCTTTTTACAAAAAGTAACGAGCGCATACACGGGCCGTCATTTTGCAGTGAAAGAGAAAAGAAATAAAACGATTAAATGTATTTAACTATACATCATGCAAGTCACGCATGTTGTTGTCTAGCGACTTACATTATGAAAGTATCCGGTACTTATAAGCGTTATCCCGTCGGGTAACGCGACTTTTGTCGGGATAGAACTTTTGGCCGTGTCACCTGTTCCCAATTGACCGAGAACATTACATCCGAAGGCGTACACAACACCGTCTACCGATAGTGCCAAAGTGTGCGCGTATCCAGCGCTAATATAACACACGACTACGCCAAGCAGAGTTTTCACCATAGATGGTGTAGCTTTTTCGTCGGTGTTACCGTGGCCCAGTTGTCCGTGAACACCCCAACCCCACGTAAATATTCTGCCATCCGCGGTTAGTGCTACAGAATGATATTGTCCAGCTACTGCGTCGATAATAATCTCTTGCGCTAACGAAGTAATTAATTCCGGACTCGAACATTGTAGCACCTTGCCGAGTCCTAACTGGCCAAATTGACTAGCTCCCCAAGCGTATATTCCATTGTTAGTAACTGCCAGGGTGTGGCAATGTCCACACGATACACTGAAAACTTCAATCTTCATACTTTTGAAGAAGCATATGGCATGCGGTGCCCCATATCGCAAAACACTGGAGCCCGTACCTAGACACGTTATTAACGACGTGTTAATCAATGAAAGAATTGGATAACTATATTGTGAAGAAACTTGATGAGACTGAGTGAGATCAGGCAAGGGAAATCCAAATGGCCACGCCGCGAGCATATGTAATACAAGAAGGTGCGTCAATCGTTATCTTCAATCATCTTCAATCTGTACATGCACGTTGTACGCAAATGGAATTTTTTAGATGTAAAATACAGCAGAGCTGCTAGAAAATCTTGAAAAATTATATATCACGTGACGGACGTTGCTCATCTCGATGCGAAGCTATAAGAAGCTAAACATTCAATATTTGAGATTAGACATTTTTCTCAAGTAGAAAAACAATTTTTTGAGTTGTTTTCTGTGCGCTCTTCTCGCTGTTTTTTCCATTTATCTATAAGAAAAATTGAAGATAATGGAAGATGGCCGATTGAGGTGTGTGTGTGTGTGTGTGTTATTACATTTATTTAATTTTTGACAACGTTGTGATGTAGCCGTACGCTTTAAATACCCTGCAAATATACGTACCTAGACAACCTTGCACCGAACTTCCCCAAGTGTAGATATTACCATTTCTAACAAGCGCAACGTGAGAAAATCCAGTACTTAACGATCTCCTCTTAAAATCAACGTGCGGAGTCACTTCCGAATAATCCTGTACAGATCAAAGTGTAAAGTTATAATTCAGTTTCCGTAGGCCGACCTGATAATTTCGCAGAGATACGTGATTTTCGGCAAATAACAAGCGAGATCGTATGATCCTTCCTCATTCCTTCACAAATATTTGAATATCCGAATCGGATAAATAGCAATATGGTATTACGCGCTTTATCGTCACGCACGTTGACGCAGACTGGATTTCATCGTTACTTTTATTAGAGATTAGTTTGCGTACAAACATATATAGAGTCAAGTTTGATTAATATCTGAAAATAAGAATTTCCCTGAGGAAGACTTTGATAAGATGTTTTGAAATATGTGGAACAGGAAGTTAACGCGACGTCCTCAGTAATCTTTCGCTACTTGAAAAAACTTTTCTGGAGCTGGAGCGACAATCTCGTTTCCCCTTTACCAAATGCAGACGTATACCTAGATTAGGATTAGGATTTACCCGTGCTTACCTTCGGCACGTGCACGTCGTACAAAAAAGCATATTTGCCATTTGGGTTTAACAATCGTTTTTTATGAATAAGAGTCAACAAAACTAGAATAAACGTTTCTATTATCTCTTCCACGAGGGTATCAGGCTGATCCTATAAAATGTTTTCGTTATATGATGAAAAATGTTCTAATACCACTTTTAAAAAATGTCCTTTTACCAAAGATAACTGATTTAGAATCAAATCTTTTCTTCGCGGAAAAGTTGCGGAAAACCACTTGACTCTCTTTCGAGTACGTAACTATGAGGACGAAGGGGACGTACGTCCGACCACGTAAGTTTATATAAGTTTCAGTAGAGAAAATAGATAACAAAATATAAGCTTCATTACGAGCTTCAAAAAGGAATGGTAATAAAAGGCAGACAACCTTTTTGAAGTATAGAAAGTTGAGTGCAATGTTAAAACCTTTTACCATATCTCTCGACATTCTCGCAAAGAAAATCACGTGGCTAAATATCTGTCACGTTAAAAGGACATTGTTTAAAACAACCTATGTGGGGTATCGCGTATGGGTAACATTCCAAAATTCGCTCGATTTTCCCCCAATGAAATTTTTATCCGGAGCTATTTGTCTTAACAATTTCTTAAACAATTTCCAAACGCAGTTTCTCATTCTTGGTCAACGTGGTACAACTAAAAATTTGTTCAAGTGAAGCACATCTGAAAAAAAAGAAAAAAAAAGAAAAAAAAAGAAAAAAAAAACCTTTTGTATACCTGTAATTTTAAAATTTGCAAAAATTTCTTTCTATTCCAATCAACATTGAGCACGTCGACAACTAGTACTTTACGGCATGAATGATTAGCGTGCGAATCTTGAGAACATCTCATACACCAGAAACTAAATACTACTCACCATATTATCCATAGAATCTATAGAATGACACTGATTAGATCGTAGATTGCACGCTATCACTTTATGACGTGCTTTACATTGTACTAATTTAGGTCGTAATACTGGATTTGTTGGATCATACAATGTTACTAGTCTCTGTGGAATATTTCAAGCTGTTGAGCATACGCGTAGTTGAAACATGTTCTAAAACTCTATTTCGATTCCACGAAACGTACCAAACGTTAAAACTCAAGTACTCGCGTTTGATTAACTTGATCGAGACACGTTTTCTTGTGTTTTCATGCAAATTCTATGAACGTAGAGAAGCAAAATATACCCAATATACAAATTTTTATATCGCTTTCTCTCTCTTATTTTCGGTTTTTTAATTTTTATATTTGTTATTACGTTAATTTGTTGAGCAAACATTTGTGTAACTTGACAAGTGAATACTCGTGTTAAGGTTCACACTCACCTGAAGCACAAAGATCTGAGAATCTCGCAGATTACTGCGTACAAATGACACGTGAGATCTAGCTAAATCGTAATTCAATAACATCGATTGCATTAAATCAGATTCACTTAAACATATGAGTAAACCATCTAAAATAAAAACACACATTCACATATTTGTAACTACTATTTGGAAAATTATACGTATATGTATGTATGCTCATAACGTTACACATGTATAACGTACATGATTTCGGATAACGGTCGTTTGTGCCAAATATTTGTATTGCCTTTACAAGAATATCCAACATTTGACTGTACAGACTTCTTTGTGTAGCCAAGTGATGCACGACCTCCCAGAGGTAAGTTTGACCAGCTATATTAATAGCTAATACGTCGTCGTAGAATGTATTTGTGGACAAAAAGTATCTAAAAATGGAAAATTTTAGATTAAAATATAATTTTACATACATGATCTATATACACGCGCGCTACTTCTATGATATCTTTTTGAAACTTCAAGATAGAAAAAGTAAAAGCGAGAAAAAAGTTGAAAGACGCTTTGACGTGACAAAAAAATCGCGTCAAGTATACCGAACGTATGTAAGGAAGCGGATATCGCGTAAGAGGGAAACATTTCGTTCCGCGAAGCCATTATTCCGAGATTTTAAAATCATCGAACGTGTTGTTAATAAATATATTTAGATATCCGATTAAAAATGTCTCGTTACACCGGGAAACGTAATATGTTTTGTAAATGTACGTGTAAGATGTGACTTACAAGAACTCCTTATAGATCGCTTTAGATTGTTCCGACCGAACCCTCAGTGTCATTTCAATAAAGGAAAGTACACATAAATTAGACAAATGTATCCTTGTTGCAATAGGCATCTCAGTAATGACAGGTGTCAGTAAACAATGAGTTAGACAACTTAATAATTCTGAAGTATGGCCGATCGATGCAAACTTTAACACGCTCTTCAATAATTTACACTGAAATAGAAATTTTGAACAATGATCAACGTATTTATGATCGATAAGTAAAAAAACATTTTGATCTAAGAACATTTAAAATTTCCCAACAAATCTCTGACGTTCGTGATAGCTTGTCGTCAAGTACACGAGTATTCTGTTTGGAATATCTTGGAAGAAAAAAATATTTTGTCATCTCTCTCTCTCTCGGATATATCCAATATGGCCAATATCTACCTTAGATATCTTATATGAAGCTACTGCACGTGAAAATTCTTTATTCGATAGAAATATATCGCCTACATATTCCAACAAGTGTTGTCCATTTAGTCCAAAAACCATTGCTAATTTTCCCGCTTTTTGCAGCTCGTTTTTCTTCAGTACCAATTCCATGAAAACTGATAGAAGAGATTTTCTAAAGTAAAAAACAATACGTTAGTAACACACTCAGTGTATGGTAGCAAAAAAATTATATACAAATATTTAGAAATTAATTAGTATTAGACGTGTGCACGGCCATCACGGGCTGAGACAAAAATATGACATACATCGTACGATGAACTTTAAACTGACCTTAAAACAACTTGGTATACACAGCGATTTGTAACAATTATACATGTATCCAAACTAAGCGGTTCGATTTTAATATCTCTTACATTCTTAGGTAAGGTACATTTACTCTCGATCTCCTCAGAGACTTTTCTCGGTACTATATTATCGAATTTTGTTACTTTGTATACCGCGTGTATCAGTTCCTTATTGTTTTTAAAAGAAAATGTCCCGATAACAGACTCGGGATTAAATTGATAGTCTCTGTTTATACGAGTCTCAGACAATTGATCGGATATTATATATATCGCACGTTGATTAACGTCGGTAATAAAAAATAATCTGTGCGCTACGAGAACAGTTTCGCACTCGAATATTTTGTGCATTGACAAGGGTACCACAGTTAGATCTGGACCGTGTATCTGAAACAGAGATCATTATATTGGAAGACTAACGTATTAAATGCTATGTGCGCTCAACGCTAGGGAGGCAAACCCGAAAGAGAGACAAGTTGAAATTTCACAAAAGATCTTACCGTGATGTAATTAGTGACAGGATGATAGCATGTATATAATTGTCGATCTTCCCTGTCATATTGCAAAGATAGGAAGGTATCTCTCGATATTGGTTCTGGACTGATAAAACCTACGTTAGATTCCGATATTTCCAGGTTTACGGGACGTCCCGTACCGCTTTCTCCAATACTTGCAGCAGCATCTGTGATATTAATATATGTCACGTTTAAAGTTTTATGGATGTTTTGGGGGATGGTACGGATGCGCGATCAGATAACCATGCACCCAGAATGTATTTATCATTGAATCGGGCCTAGTGGACCTTTCCTCGGTCACGTTTCTTCATCAAGTCCGCGGCAAAAGTATCGCGCAAAAGTGACGATATACGTAACTATGTACGTCTTTTTTCACGCAGATATATAACGTAAGAGGAGGGAGGGAAAAAACATTGTACGCGCATGTTATATCGCATCGTACAACGATGTATTTATTTACGAAGGGTAAATTAAAAGAAAAAACTACGTTGTCTGCTTCTTTAATTAAAAATTCGAAATGTTCTTTTACCATAAATAAAAAAAAAGTAATACAAATGTTCCCGTGCTTTTCCCTTGAAAGATACTTAATATTACATTTTAAATATTTTTCTAAATATATTTAACGTGTATACCTACCATGGCACTGCAAACTCTCCCCCAATGGTTGATTTTTGGTATCGCGTATCTTTTGCTTAAGAATAGCCAGTTTTTCAACAGAGAGTTGTTTAAGTTCTTGTAATTTAGACTTCGTAGGAACAGAATCTCCCACGTTCGTATCATGAACATGAATAGTGCCATTTGAATTTAGTTGGTTCGTATTAGGTTCTTTGTTTTCAAACGTGGGCAAAAGATTGAAAGACATGTGTTCCAAAGGCAAACGCCATTGCTGCTGAAATTTACTGGTTATCAAAAGAGACGCAACGTCGTTGTATTCATTTCGACAAATATATAGTCCACTTATACTTTCATTAATATATGTTATGCCTAGCTGTTGTCCATTTAGAAGATTTATAAATATAGTTGCTCCACATTCCGTTCCTACAATGCCTATATCCATAGACATTTTCATATCCTTCCACCATGTAACAGCTCGTGGTCTGAAAACAATGGTATATATGAATTTAAAGAAATCTTATGTAACTGTAAAATTATATATTTACGAGATGAACACGAGATATGGGAATAGAACGTTGTATAAAAAACAGCAAATGCAGAAGAGACGAGAACGTATGTTATACCGTTATATAACACAGAAAGTACTGGGAACTTGAAACGTACTGCCGACTCAAGAATTATTTTGTTCATGTAACGTACCTGAAATGAGAAAGCTGAGAAGTCACAAAAGGAATATATGTCGCATCGTCAGTCTTCCATCTCTCGTCAACGATGCACGTTTCATCGACTAAAGTTAAAGCAGGTACGATGTACAACGAACCGTCTAAAGTTACACATAACAACCAACGACCGCTTGAATCAAAGCAAAAAGCAGCTATTTGTTTATGTGGTCCTTGAAACCAAGGTATTTTTTTAACGACGGGTAGGCAAGAGGACGCTCTTTTGAAATAAAGAATAATTTCGGCGTTCGTGGTTGCCAGTGCGAGAAATAATGTTCCTTCAAGTTTGCACTGCACACTATGCTGTATCTCAGTGGTTTTAATTAAACATTGCAGCTTAAATAAATTTTCGTTGGTCACTATTGCCCGGAGATCCATGCTGAATATTTATCTGTTTCTTCTGAAATAATAAATGAATATGTTAAATATGTATGTCACTTTACACACACACACAACACACACAAACGTCACTTGTAAAAATATAATTTTTGGCAACAGATTAAGATTAATTTATACATTGATAAGTAAATAATAATATAATATTACTTCTTTTTCTTTTTGTTAAATATTTCGAATATTTATGTCATCAAGCTCGGTCCGTCAGAAACCTCTTATGAGGTTATGTATGTATGTATGTACACATACATAACCTATTATAACGTATTATAATGTTAGAATCTGGAGAGGGTACGTATGTGTATAGGCACATGCGTAAATTTATGCCCCATATATTACGCGCAACACGTTTTCATATCTACTACTGTTATTTTTTGCAGAATGTCAAAATGGTCAGAAATTCAAGCACGTTCAAGGTTACATTTCAAGAAAACCGGAATGACAGCGTTCAAAAACTCCATCGATAAGGTTAAGTTTCCACTGAACCAAATGGAACTCAGCCTACGTGGGCGCGTTCAGCAGACCAAGCCGCTGAGTAGCAGTCGAACGTGATTGGCTCCTACTTTTAGAACCAACCAATCAACGCAGAGTGTTGCGAAGACGAACTCAACAGTTGTGTTTGCTGAACGCGGCCATTGCTACAGACAGGCTACAGTGAGCACTGTGAGCAGTGAGCGCCGTCAGCGCCGTGTGTGGCGCCGTGAAACGGTCGTGCTCAGTCGGGCAGGTTAGAGGTTAGGTGCCTCGTGATTTTATTTCCTCAATTAACTTTATTTAGACATTTTGCAGTGCGTAAACTTGATTAAACTGTAGTGCATAGCTGCATATATCACAGTGACCAGTATCCACACAATGTGTGGAATATTTTGTTCCATACATCAACCCGAACAAGACTCTGAATCCACTAAACAGGTATTACTTGCGTTAAAAATATAAGATGCAAGATTATTTGTTTAGAAACTCTATTAGCCAGAAAAGTGTATGTATGTACAAATCGTAGGATGTAGAAAGCCAAAAGGAACAGATTTTTGCAGAAATTTTATAAAGAAAAATTTATATAATACGTGTTATTGTAATATCTCATCTCTTATGGAAGGAAGGGAATAGCAGAAATTTTTGTTGGTAAATTTAGCATCTATGCATCTATAAATTACATAAAATGTGCAACTTAAAAAAAAATTGATGAGTTTGATACTGCATTTTTCGAAAAGTTGATTACGTTAACAAGAGCTGAGCAAAGAGAGACTCATCTTGTGTCTACTACATTTATTGTTAGTAAACCGTAACGTACATACATAAACTTTTTTCAAATTGTTTTGAAGTGGAATATTTGCAAGGATGCGATAGCTGCACGAGGCCCTGATTATTTAATGGAGAAACGTTTGACGTTAAGTCGTGACTGGCTTGGACATTTTGCTGCTGCAGTGTTATGGATGCAAGGACCTAGAGTAACGACGCAGCCAAGTTTAGATGATAATGAAAACTTGTTACTTTGGAACGGAGATCTTTTCTCCGGTCATTTGGTATGTAACGCATGTGTGCGGAATATTCCGATAAAATACTTTGAATGAATGTCATTATTAAAAATAGTTAATACGTTAATATAGTGTGCGAAATATCCAATAAATGATAGCGCATAAAAATAGAAATAGGTAAAGCTGAGTTTGTACTTGATTAAAATTCTAAAAAGTCAATCCTTTGGACCCTTTGGGCGAGAGAATTAATGTAGAGAAATATACACGTAAGAAATATCTATATATATTTTAACACACGTGCACAACAAACTACAAGACCTACATTTGTTTTAGGCAAGAGACGATGTTTGCGATACAAATATTATATTGACTGAATTACAATCGACCAAGGATGTCGTGTCTGTGCTTCGGAAGATCGAAGGCCCTTATTGTTTAGTGTACTATCAAAAGTCGAGCAATACGTTATACTTTGGACGAGATATTATCGGACGGCACAGTTTACTATTGAAAGTGGATAACAAGGCTAATTCATTGACTTTAGCTTCGGTTGCGAATAAAAAAATAAAAGGGATTGTAGAAGTGCCGGCTATAGGTATCTTTGCGATGAATTTAAATATGTCGCGGATAAATTTAGCATGTTATCCGTGGAAAGAACCTGACTTGAGGTTCACGGATATTATCGAAGTACTGGAGACAACGTTAAGTGTGGATATTGACATTAAAGACACTATCGTGGGCGCTTGTTCGTCGGCGTGGACAACGTTGCATCTGCATCCTACTCGAAAAGATGTGGAATATCTAGAGAATGTACCGTGTAGTAAAGATTTTAACGAGGTATTGCATCATCTGTTGAAATATGAAGAGGTAGATGAAAGAGTCGAACGTTTGACAGAACTGTTGCATGAATCAGTGAAAATCAGAGTAAAGAAGAAACCAAATTATTGCAAGACGTGCATAAGGATCATACTAAGCGGTGGAAGTGTTACTTGCACTCATTCCAAAATCGGCATATTATTTTCTGGTGGCCTAGACTCGGCAATTTTAACAGCAATCGCCGACAAATACGTTCCGGAAGACGAAAGCATCGATCTCATTAATGTCGCGTTTGAAAGACCTGCGAGCAAAAACCAGAACGCGAGTCACGCAAACAATGAAAAAGGGAATGCAACGCAAAAATATGACGTACCGGATCGAAAAACGGGACGGCAAACGTATTCTGAATTGTTGCGAATTTGTCCCAATAGGAAATGGAATTTTATACAAGTACAGTTTTCCTATATTCGATTGATTTTTATCTCTTATTTATATCTTTCGATATTTTTCCGAGAAAAGATGGAAGGAACGAAAGATGTCGTGTCATTATTTTTCTGATTACAATGTAACGTGCTTATTTCAGTGTAACGTTGCACAAGCGGAACTACAACTGTATCGTGCGTCGCGAATTTGTGATCTCGTGCATCCACTACGTACAATTCTGGATGATAGTCTAGGATGCGCAATGTGGTTCGCGAGTCGAGCGAAAGGCATTCTGTACCCAGTTAACGAAGCGTACGAATCGCCGTGCAGGATATTGCTTTTAGGGATAGGCGCGGATGAATTATTTGGCGGATACATGAGACATAGAACCATATTGAGGCACAGAGGATGGGACGCACTGGTGCAAGAATTAAGTATTGAATTGGCCAGGATTTCCGAGAGAAATTTAGGTCGAGACGACCGGATTGTTTCTGATCACGGGAAACAATCCCGTTTACCGTATCTGGATGAAAATCTGGTGAAATATGTGCAGCTTATAAAACCATGGGAGAGGTAAATTTACATAACATTTACATAAACACGTAATGGATTAAAACGAATGAGCGATTGACGATAAAATCATTGGCAGATGCTATCCGACTGAGAAAATGCCAAGTGGATTGGGAGATAAGTTACTGTTACGTTTACTAGCCTGCAAGATTGGTTTTCACGGTACGGCTACGTTTCCTAAAAGAGCTTTCCAGTTTGGCTCACGAATTGCAAATGGTAAAGAAAATGCTACGGATGTATCAACGAGGTTGTAAGACGTAAGTATCATGTCCGTATATCGTTATAACATATGGGTCGTCGCCAATATTTAATCTCTAAGCCGTAAGAACGTGACCGCGTACAGTCGAGTATTCTCTTTACATTTCCTTTTTGTAATTAGTCACGGTCTTACGGCTTAAGCGGAAAACACAGACTTTTGCATAACGCACAAGTGCTGGTCTACAACCTTGCTTTAAAAAAATATTTATTAGAGCTTAAATATTCTTTAAAGCAAGGTTGTAGACCAGTACTTGAGCATAAGCATAAGAAAATTGATTGGTCTATTTCCTTATGCACATGTATATGGACCAATCAATGGCTTTATCCAGATAAACTTGCATAGGTGCATAAACATATGCATATATACATTTTGCACGTGTAAATAATTTAATTGGTATATTATTTGCCGTATAACAGAGAGAGAGAGAGAGAGAGAGAGAGAGAGAGAGAGAGAGAGAGAGAGAGAGAGAGAAACCCGAGAGCAGCCATGCCGGCGTTTTGTGTGAGACCGTTTTACTCGACTGCTCGGGAGTGCTTGGTACGTTACTCAAGACCGCGACAACCCTGATGGGTAAATTTTTGTGACCACCAAAGGGGCTTCAGGGGCACGGCCTGACTGAAGAGTGCTGACATTATCAACCGTTTTGGCTGTTCCAAAGATAAATTAAGAATAATTATCAGAAACTAGAAACGTACAAATCTTAAGCTGGATTCAGACAGGACGTGTCAAGCGTCGAACAGCGAGCAGCAACCACGCAGCGAGACGATATTTTCTACGCCACTGCTGATTTCACCTCGCTGAGTGGGTTGCTGCTTGCTGCTTGACGCTTGACGCTTGACGCTTGACGCTTGACACGTTTTGTCTGAATCCAACTTTTAAAGATTTGTACACTATGGACTTTTTTTATCATCAGAAATGTATAAACCTTAAGATTTGTACATTAAATATCACGAGGTCCATATATTTGGCCCCTCATCTACAACAAAATACAAAAACAATATATTCGGATGTAATACATCGTTCGTCCATGAATGTCGTGTGATTTTTAGTGTTTGTACATTCTTGGTTAATTAAAAAAAAATAAAAGTTTTACTAACCAGACCTCTAAAAGTTAGCCCCTCAGTATTTCAAAAATAATAATAACGTACAGTTTATCGTGCTTAATCGTTTGTACATCATTTGTAGTATATTATTCTTAATAATTTATTTTTTTTTTAAATATATCTTTTTTAATATATAAATAAATACGTGTTATTCGAATTCGGCGGGTAAATCTTTAAAGTGCGTTTACATTGGGGTCAATTCTACTAATGTCGAGACAGTATAATGCTGCGTTCCCACAATACGCGTCGCGTCACGACGCCGCGTCATGAGTTATCCAATCAAAACGTTTCATTTTATGACGTCCGTTCCGACGCGAGATCTTGTCGGAACGGACGTCATAATGTTTTGATTGGATAACTCATGACGCGGCGTCGTGACGCGTGCGCGGCGTGCGTATAGTGGGAAGTGGAACGCAGCATAAGTATGTATCTTTTCTCAGATTTACTAGATTTCGACCAATAGGCTTGTTCGCGTTGCTTGAAATCACCAAACATTTTTGCACTTGAAATGAGATAAATATATATTCGGCCGTTGGAGAGAGAGAAAGCGAAGATGCTGAGTGCAAAAAGTGCAAGCAACGCGAACAGACCCAATGAAATTGTAGATACTCTAGTGAATTCTCTCACTTTCGAGAACTCAGCTGTGTATGTTGAACGCGGCCATTGTAGAACCGGCCTTATCGGAAGAGCCAGTCAAACGTCAAACCGAGTGTCGCAAAGTGTCGTAAAGTGTAGTCGGGCGTGTTCTTTTCATTCGTATCAGAGTCTGTTTACTTACTATTAAATATAATACGTCATTCAAATAAACGTACTCCAAATAAAAAAAGAAGATCTGATTACGTTGTAACATTTGGGTGTTGTAAAGAATAATCTTTTAAATGTAATACCGCACAGATATGTGCTATAACTTGGATAGACGTGGTAGGTTATAACAATCTGTGTCAATGATTAACCTTAATGTCGTATAAATCTTTCGTGCATAGGCATTCCATTTGTGTTTTGCTCAATGTTTCGCTCAATAAAGTAACGCAATAAAATTTTTATTTATTTTTCATTATTTTTTCCGTCGTTATTTACAAGATTTCAGAGATCGAGGACACTGAGGTACATGTTTTCAACGTCGATCAAAATTGATTATAATAATAATTTAGCAACGATGATAAAAGGCTCTTTACCATCGAACGTATGTTATAAAAGGATATAAGAGAGGATCACACAAGAGAACGAATGCAAGTCACGTTTCGAGTGACATTGACATAAAAAAAAATTAAGAAACAATGTTTATATTCCTATGTGTAACATACATACGCGGCAGTTTTTGTCAGTTTTTGTTTTGTCTTTCGTATAATAACTATTTAACTAGTTTCGTTAGGTACCTTTGATAGAAATAGTTATTTGACGTACACAAGATGATGTCGCTGCTTAGTTTTATTACACACTTGCAAGAAAGTAATTAAAACTATGTATTTTTGTGCGCATATTACGATGGTACGGAATACACACACACACACACACACACACACACGTGTATGCATATCATATACATATTTACTGTAACGTAATACAAGATAGTCGCTACACGTATTGTTTGCAGATATATTATATGGAGCCGTGGCATTGATTAATTTGGAAACCATGAGCGGAAGGCATGGCTGAACGCAGCAGCGATCTTTACGAACAACAGCTTCTTGCTGTATTTAAAAGCTGTTTGACAAAAGGAGAGGATGAACTCGATGAGAATGATCTACTTTCCATTTGCACGAAATTGCACCTCGACGAATTGATCGAGGAATTGAAATTGTGCATCTGCAAACATCGTCCGAATAAACAAACGATATCCTTTCAGGAATTCCGAGATGGCTTGTTACTCTTGTTGAGAAAATTTCAAGGATTAATAACCGATAAACAACATATCGTACAACCATATCATAATTTAAACATATGCTCTCTCGATATCGAAAAAGATCAAGCTTTACCACTGGTCACGAGTACTTCGAGTACGGTTCGTCTTCGAGATATGAAAGCTAACGTTATCATGGATGAGAATAGATTGATACGCCTATGGGAGAGAGTTAAGGTTTATTTAAGGGGAAACACAGATTCTACGACGATGCACTTTATATCGAGTTGCTTAGAAATTCCTGAACTCCCGAAACAGATAACGGAATCTATCTTTGAAAGTCTCGATCAAAATTGCGATGGGTTGATAAGCTTCGACGAGTTTGTAGTTATATTTCAAAAGAGAACAAGTATGAAGGCTTTGCAACGCGAGGATACCGCGTTGTCTCGTAACAGTATCGTAGATGTAAACTATGATGTAGATACGTTAGATTTTAATACACGCACGTCTTGTGAAATTAATCCGATGCGGACTACGAGAGATTCGGACAAGTCGGAAAAGGAAAAGGTCGTCGCTGGTGTTTCTGACGCAATTGCGGTATCGTCCAGCAGAGATCTCGATGCTTTGGATACGAGCCTCGCGGAAATAGCAAATATCATATGCGACGAACTCAAGAGTTTGAATGAATCGTTAGGTAATAGCACGATTCAAACTCATATACGTTTATTACGAGAAATGATGATTGTCCATCAGGATGAGCAACGTAATTTAACCGCTACGATAGATAACATGAAGGTGGAAAGAGAAAAGATGCGGATTGACATGTTGGAAGCTAATGAACGGGCGAATTTATTGGCACAGGAGATTGATGAATATCATGTTCACGTGGAAAAGACGAAGAAGGATTTACAGAGGCAGAGCGAACAACGTTATGCTGAAATCACGAAGGAATTGTCGGATCAGCTCAATATCGAACGGGAGATGGATGCCGCGACTCTAAAATCAAAGGAGGATCAGTTACTGGCGCTGCAAAAGGAGAACCACGATATGAGGAATAAAGTCGTAGATATTTTGCAAGAGAGTCAAATGCTCGAAGCGGAAAATAAAATGCTTCTTAGCCAGATCGAAAAGTTGCGGCAGTCTAATAACGATTTGTTAACACAAATAAAAGTATTAGACGCGGAGCACGATGAGATACAAAGCATAGAGGCGAAGCAACAGGAACAAGTCAACTTCTTCGTCGATCGTATTAAACAGTTGCAATCCGAAGTGACTCTCTTGCGAGATCAGAATGATGAACTTGGCGCGGAATTGGAAAACTTGAGATGTTACGGCAAGGATACGAGATACGAGATGCTCGCGTCGTCGTTGGCGTACGATTTACAGCTGGATGAGAACTCTTGCCACATGGCGCAAGAGTTTCAAGTGGATCGGCAAATCAAGCACGAGGGAGCGTCGTACGATGGCTTTGGTACATCGATGAATGGCCAAGGTCAAACCGATACGTCGCTTGGGGATATGATTGTAAAGGATTTGGAAAATGTATTGTCAACGAGTGCGAAATGCCTGCCAGAAAAGTGCGCTTTGAGAGATGGTATATCGAGCGTGATCACTGGCCTGCGATCGAGCTTTGCGTTACAACGTTGTCCCTCACGGGAGAACGTTCCTTTCGGAAAAAGTATTGCATCTGAGCTTGAAGTCGACGGTGAGGAACGAGCCAACGAGTCCTCGCGAGACTTGGTCGTTTCGAAAATACCGAAGCCACCTTCCGCGAAACGCACAACACGGTCCACGAGCGCGGAAGATTTGGATACGTTTGCTGGTCAAGATGCAAAAAATCTAACGCAAACCAAGGCAACGAGTCTTAGAGATTATCCACCGCGAAAAGAAGAACATTTCGTGGATCAGTGCAAGGCTAACAAGGAGAGACATAGTCACCCAAATGTTACCAAAGTCGAAAGTGTTGCACCAAACGTAGACGTGTTAGAGCGTGAGAAGAAGCACGTGACCGAACGTTGTCGGGAACTCGAACAAAGTTTAGATTTATTGAAAGCGGAATACGAGGAATGTGAGGATTATTGGGCTGCCAAATTAGAAGAAGAGAGACAGCTCTTTGAGCAAGAACAAAAAATAAGCGATGACAAGCTTGCCGAGCTTATTAATAAGATAACAGAGTACGAAGAATTAATTAGTCCCTCGGATAAATCAAAAAGTAATGGACGATTGTCTCCTATAGAAGAAAAGTTTAACTTGGAACAACAGGTACAGGACAGAATCTTATCATTTGCGTAAATTTATGTTTATTTTTTGTTTTCGATATACCAAATCAAATGTTTCGTTATATCCTCATCACATGCACGCACCCATTCGTATCATTTTATTTTAAAAACTAAAAATATTTTCCATCTTTAACGTTTCAGTATATAGAGCTCGAAGAAGAATTTGAGAAATGGAAAGTAAAAACTGATGTTGATATCTCGCAGAAGAATCTTGAAATTGGACATCTCCGTGAAAAGTTAAGACTGATGGAACAACCACGTACAAATGATTCCTACGTACAAGTACCGGATGAAATTTCCTTAGCAACCTTCTCGGATTCGTCGCCGTGCAACGCTTCCAGTACGTCTAGTATTCCGTCAACGAACGAAATGTTCGCGACGATGGATTTATGTGGTACAAACGTGCAAACGTGTCATACCTCGGCGGACGTTCCATTGTCCAACACGCTTAACGGGTTGTTGAAACAAAACGATCACATCGATGGACATAATCTGTATAATACAGGGCATACCGAATGCCCTATAAAAGTAATGAAAGGTATAAGTCGAGATCAAAAGATGTATCACACGAACTCACATGTTGCTGCTAAAACTATGTTAGCGATGAAAGAGGAAGATGAGGAAGGCGACGCGGACGTCAACGTGATACGTGACGTAATGAAAAAAACCAGCTGTACATGCTCGCAGAGTACGAGCCAGCGGCAAGTAGGTTGCGTCGATCTAAACATTTTTCAAAACTTGAAAGTGAAACTTTACGCACAAGAACGCAAGAAACGGCACTTGCAGCGTTATATTAAACAGCAGCGGCAGTACATTGAAAAATTGTTGCAACGTAAGTTTTTTTCATTTTATCATTTCGTCATTTACGATAAAATACGTGTTGATAAATCTTTACGATACACAACATATATATTTGTGTAAAAAAAACATGTTACTCTACGTGAAGAAAAAAAAACTATTGCAAAACTATTGCTGTTATAGGTATTATGGTGCAGCACCAGACGGAAGTATGCGAATTACAGTGCCTTCTCCGTGATACCCAAGAAAGACTTCAGATACAAGTTCAAACAACTGTCGATCAGGTACTGATCACGTTTCAAATCACGTTCTCTTACGCATGAACGTCCGATAAGAGAATACAATATAGTGTAGAGAGAATAGAATATGGTGTAGTTACGACACCTCGTTGCTTAAAAAAAATATGCATCAATTTTGCGAAATACTAAAAATCATACAGAATGATTACGCAAAGCTAAAACCATAAGCATTAATAATAAAGATTTAAAATAACGCACAAGATCTAGTAAAATAACAGTTTTTATCATTATGATTTATCCCAATAGGCTGATAAATTAGCGAGTGCTGATATCGTGGTGAAGGATTTGTACATAGAAAACGCATGTATAACGTCACATATGAAGCGCTTGCAAGAACGATGTCTCGTCTTAACGGGCCTTGACGTAGGGTCGACTTCGATGTGATGTCTACAAACAGCTGTTATTTATATACAGTTGTAATAAAAATCAACGTCTCTTTGTACGTATTGAATAATGTATATTTATTTCATTATATAAAATTATTACGTAACGATATAAAGGTGATATCATAAGGCCACGATATAACTCAGGGATACGAACGGTCAGATGATGTATGTTGTAACACGGGTGCCTTCAGTTTTTACGTTGACTTCAAACTAAAGTGAGAGATTTGGCTTTAATATATATCGAGATATCATAGACGTAATGATTAATCTACAATTTACGAACGATTGTTACGATAAATAGCAGAAAAATGTATGTAGGCAGAATTAATCTACTATATATTTAATACAATAATGGCACGATGGTTTTTTGTATAGTACGATGTAAGTGGATAAAACATGAAGCACGGTAACACGCTGATATTTGTTATGTTGAGATTTTATGTATATGTGTATAATATTAAAACCATTGTATATGATTTTAATCGCATTATATATATATATATAATGGTACGTTATTGCAGTATTCTGTGCCATAATGTTTATAGATAAACAACAGTCGGAATGTTTGTATCGTAATGATATTAGAATCTTCCTTCGCGTTAAACGTGCTTCAAGCTTAACAAGTTGCACGATAAAATACTATATATTTCACTACGTATCTTATCAATAAGATGTTTAGAATAAGCCAAGTATTTCTATAGCAAGTTGTTAAACACTTGGAAGAATGTAACGTACGTTTGTAAAAGAAATGTCGCCGTCTTCAAAAGGACTAGCTGTCAAGAATCATGTTTATTATATTTTGTGCATAAGCACAGACTTGAATCCAGTTGCACCAGTTTTTTAACGTAAAACCGAGCGGGCATACTCTGATACACGTATTTCATTTTGTATAGTTGTAGTAAAAGTTATGGAATATATACTAAAATCGTATGATAAATCTCACTTGTTTGTATATGAATATAAATATAATTGATCAGCGTGTGTGCATAGATGAACTAATAGCGTGTGTGTGTGTGTTTTACTACGTATTTAATGTCTGAAAGTTACAAAAAAAATCATATTTGTCAAAAAATTTTTTATTAAAAAAGCAACCTTTAACACTTGCAGAAATTTTTATTAATATGTAACAAAATTCAACTAGTCCGTTTTTGTTTTGATATACATCTCTTATTCGCCGTATCGCTTGCCGTGAAAAGTACACGTTGCCATACAAGTGTATAAAACACGAAAAAACATATAAAAATATGAAACGTGAATAATTTTTAAAAGAAAAATAAGATATGTTTCACGTGTTATTGAATTCACGCACATGTGAATAGCACGAGTGGAGTATTGCAACTTGCAACACCGATATACGCTAGCTGCGTACTACCGCAGGGGGGGCGACGAAAGCGCTATCTGGGCGGCATAATTTTACAGTTTTTGGGTCTTTTCGCCCTAGATACGTACCGCAGCGGGGGTAGAGGGGGCGATGAAAGCGCTATCTGGGCGGCACAATTCTACAACTTTTGGGTCTTTTCGTCGCCCCCCTGAGGTACGCATCTAGCGTATACATTCGAATATATATTCTTTTATTACCGTAATTTGTTCAATAATGCTAGGTCTACAGTGCGAGTCGTAAAGTCGTGAGTCGTAAGAATTGACCAATCATAGTCGATTATTCTCCTCAAATTCGATTGTGATTGGTCAATTCTTACGACTCGCGACTTTACAATTCGCATTGTAGACCTAGCATAATGGGCGCGTTCAGCAGACACAACCGATGAGTTTGTCTTATCAACACTCTGCGTTGATTCGTTGGTTCTAAAAGTAAGAACCACGCACATTCGACTGTGATGCTAGGTCTACAATGCGAGTCATAAAGTCGTGAGTCGTAAGAATTGACCAATCAAGGAGAATAATCGACTGTGATTGGTCAATTCTTACGACTCACGACTTTACGACTCGCATTGTAGACCTAGCATGACTCTGCATTTTTCTGTCGTTTTCAAGACGCCCCTAATTTACACCGTTAACTTGATACGCGAATTAAATAGTAATCAACTAGTAACGTAGTATGATTATTGTAGATATTCGTAAAAAAATACGTACGAGGCCCCTAGATTTTCTTTCGTAGCATAGCATAAGACCGCTAAACCAATGAGCATCCAGCATAAAGCCGCCATATTGATTTACATCTATGTAAATTAATATGGCGACTTTATGCTGCAGGAGTGCAGGATGCTCATTGGTTTTATGCTACGCTTATGCTGCGTTCCCACTACACGCGTCGCGCGTCGCGTCATGAGTTATACAATCAAAACATTTCATTTTATGACGTCATTTCCGACGCAAGATTTTGTCGGAAATGACGTCATAAAATGAAACGTTTTGATTGGATAACTCATAACGCGGCGTCGCGTCGTTTGTCGTTAACCAATCAAAACATCCCATTTTATTACATTATTTGTGACGGGATGTTTAGATTGGTTAACGACAGACGACGCGACGCGCGACGCGTATAATGGGAACGCAGCCTTTGGCTGAGTTTCCACTGAGCGCGTCACGCGTCGCGTCATCCGAATTAACCAATCAAAATATCTCATTTTTTAACATTTTTGTAATGTAATAAACGTGGACGTTTTGATTGGATGACGCGACGCGTGACGCGCTCAATGGAAATTCAGCCTTAAGAATACCGGTCCGAGAGAGTGATTTTTGGAACGCAGCCCTTGAGTGTCAAGATAGGTTTTGCTGGAAACTGGAAACGCTCAAAAGGCTCGAAAGCAGGACTTGAAAATAAAAAAGAAAAAAAATTAACCGAACGTCTGTGCGCGTCATTATTTATAACGTATATTGTAAATTAACCGTCTTTGTTGAGCGCGGTGCCTGAACCTTTTGATACGTGGAGATGTATATATGTGCTACGTACGCTACACGCGTGCATGTATTTATCTACTAGAGACACGAAAGCACAAAAAAATAATAAGATTACATATATATAAACACGTAAAACGTGCGTGGAGATTAAAGATTCACGTGAATAGGAAAAATAAGAGAGAAAGAAAAAACAAGAAAGCCCACACGCACGTACGCATCGAGACACGCCATATCGGTGCTTACATATCATTATGAGTGAAATTTCAGAAACGCAAAGTAAAGACAGCGTCTCTGTTATAACTGAACAAGAGCGTGAATTGGCTCAAAATATACTGTTAGAATTTCAAAAGAGTTCTTACGCGTCGTGCTTATCATACTTGAATAAGCTGGAGAGTCTCAGGCCTACCGATCTTAAAGTTACGCATAACAAAGTTGTGGTGGAATATTATAAAAGTGACTTGAAGAAAACCGAGCTGACACGGAAGAGTTTGAACGCTATATGCGGCCAGATATTAACTACGGATTCTAACGAGACTATCGATGACGTCGAAAAGTGCGTTATGAGATATAATCAAGCCGTTTTATTATATCATACTAAACAGTATAATGCTGCGCTTCAAATCATGACTAGGCTGTTTGCCTTTATCGAGCCAATGGGTACGTACGACAATGATACGTTCACATACCAAGTTTTTAAAGGTTAGACGTTCGAGCAGCCAAATACTCCAGTACATACGTGCCAAGTATTTGCCAATGTGTTTGGTTCCATTTTGATAAACAGTCTTTATTTGAGATTATATACGTGAAACTTGGCTTATATATATAGTATCTCCATTTTTTTTTAAATAATATTTATACATATTTTTTTCTTGATCGTAGAAGAAACTTTAGCGCATAAAGTTTGTCTGCTACTGATCGAATTGTACATAGTAACGGAGCAACCAGACGCAGCTCTGTCAATATTAACGTATGTGGAGAGTCAATTTATATCGACTACTGACAGTTCCAAGATATCCGTTGACAAGGATGGAGTAATGAAATCTATTAAGGAGCAAAGAGAGCAAAAGAAAGATGTTGGCGATACAATGACGGATACATTTAAGATTAAACTCTTGAAATATAAAGCGAGAATATATCTTTTGACTCATCAACTGAAACTCTGTAAAAAAGAATGGAAGACATTAGTTTCATTGGGCATAGTGGTAACGTTATTACAAATTATAACTTGATTTAAATTCAAAGTTATTCAAGACTCATTGAAGATATTGAGAATGATCTCTGATATATGTATAACATACCGTTTCTATTAAGCTACTTGATTCTTTCAGAATACATCGACAATTTTTTTGAAGGCTAATCTGGAATATTTGCGAGGAAATTACGAAAAGGCAATACAATTTTTGACGTCTAAAATGAAAGAAAATTTAGATTTTAAGTATGTTACATATATTAACTAAATTAAATACAAATGCATGAAGCAAAGCCAAAAATTTGTAAATATTAATATTTGTTATACAACGTGAAACGATATACGTCCATCTACCTTGAACATTTTTACTTTTTCTCAACACGACGACGAGCACGCGAGCTGTGCGTTATATCCGTCAAAGGGAACATAACAAACGGAAACACAAGTTAATAGACGAGTGGATTCGTGAGAAAAAAAATGCACGTACATTTTTCAATCGCTCCACATTAGACATCTGTGAAAACACGTGGTTCATACGCCATTTCAGTTTCAATCCATTAGTTTTTCCATCTTTATTTGGAAAAAAAGTCTAAATCTGCTGTTTAAGATGAGCAAAAATGTTCAAGTAGATGTCAGCTCGATTCTAAAACACATTGTGTCGATGTACTTACGATTTACAGATTATGTGGGGAATCTTCGGCTGTTTTGTTTTATAACAATATGGCATGTCTGCATCTCGCGATGGGTAAACCTATTCTGGCTTGTTCTTATCTTCAGAGAGCTTTGCGCGCAAATAAATGTGCGTTGGAGAGCATGCAAGTCAAAGACATTGGTACGTTTTAGAATTATTAAATGTAAATTTAAATACAACGCACGTAAACGTGTCTCTTTTTTATCTTTATTTTTTAAATGGTTAATTTTTGTTTCGTCCCTACGACGGTTGAATATTCACGAAGAGTGCAAAAAGTAAGATCATGTTTCATTAAAATATCACCAAGACTAATATTATGGTACACTTGGATCTAAGCAAGCATTTATAGCGTGAAAAAAAGAGTTGGTCATATTTTTGGCATTCGTCTAAATGACGTATGCACATATGATGCCAATATTAATAATATTAATAAAAGAAAACTTGATTACAGATCCTTTGTCTTCTCAACCATTATACACGCTTGGTGGCAATAAACATTACGAGTTAATGTACAGTTTAGGTGTATCGTTGTTGTACGCTGGTAAAGCGTCCAAAGCTTTTGATTGCTTCACAGAAGTAGCACAGAAGGTACACAATAATCCTAAACTCTTGCTCAGAATGGCAGAATGTTGTATCTACAGTCATAAATATGTAAGTTGCACGTGTGATATTGGTTTCACATACTCTTTTAACGTATATACTTCTTAACCAATATCAACATCATTTTGGAAACATTTATTATTTGCTGCACGTACTATCGTTATTCAATGAATATGTAAAATAAACGCACACATGTGATTTCTATCTAATGCGCATAATAATACACGTGTACCGTGCTTCTGTCCTATATATTTTTTAGTCAAACGAGGTCGATTTCAATATTCCAAAACGGCGTAAAGATTTGGTGCAGAAGATAATAGGTTCTGGTATCCATAAAAAAATTATATTAGCCACATCTCTTTCGAAAGACCGTAGATATCATTCGGAAGGACTATCCTATGCAATCCCACAACCAACATTGGAATTTGGTTATTTATGTCTGAAAAATGCATTACTTTTACTACCGAACACGACGGAGCCAAACGTACCTGTAACAACTATGACGACGTCAGTGTCACTATCCGTAATATCTGGTCACACGTTAGGTATAGCGTATAATTTACACCGCATATATATGATATTCCGCTCGCACAACGCTACCTTGTACATACGTATTTCAGGTATCCAGCATGTAACATTAATGTCACGAGCTACAGCTATCGAATCTTTTAACTTAAAAATTAGTGTCTTGGCTGCTAGCGCTTATGTCTCTTTGTGTCTTGGAGATTATATACTTTCTCTGGAACATGCAAAAACTCTATTAAGCTTTAACAAGTTACCTGGAGCATATAAAATGCTAGGCAACTTGTACGCCGCTGAAAGTTTAATATTCATGGACAAAATTAGCGAGGCACTAGAGTACCTTAAGCTAGAAAATCTTCAAGATTTAAATACATTTATATCCATGCCAGAAATTCAAGAGAAGGATAAAGAAAAGGTGGAGGAAATTACGGTAAAGCCTGTAAGAGGTAAATTTAGAAAATTATATACAGTGTGTGTGTGTGTGTGTGTGTGTGTGTGTGTGTGTGTGCGCGCGCGCGCGCGCGTGCGTGCGTTGAAAATTAAAAAGAGAGGGACATCCGAGACCATTTTCATGGTCTGCTAGGTTGTATTTATTTTTCTTTACTTATTTCTTTTAAATACAAGATTCAGCAAAAAATTGATTACAAATCGTGGAAAAAAATTGACAGATTTGTCTTTTTCTAAGACAAATCTGTGTACTTTTGATCATTTTGGATTATTTTGTATCAAACATCGATAGAGAAAAAACGTAGATAAGAGTTTCAAAAAATTATATTTATTGTAAAAGATATATGATATATATGATTTGAATCTTTTTCACCGTATTACTTTTTTTTTCATATCTATATTGTTATTTTTTTCATTCGGTTATATTTTTTTCACCGTTTACGTGATATTTCGATGGTTCCTTTATCGAAAGATATTCAACCTGTCCATTTACTACGCCACCTTCCTTTTACCTAATCACTTTTTCCAGATTTTCAATAATATTTAGTGTTAATAATAATAATAATAATAACGTTTAAATAAAATATCTCGGAAATAAATATTTTGTTGCTTTGACGTATAGCATGGTATCCCACAACAGTTTCTACTGGCATTGCTGTAATACGTTACAACTTGGCTGTGGCTTATGCCATACGAGGCGAACTAGACAAATCTGGAGAAACTTTGAAACAAGCAAGTATATTTATATCAAGATTAATGTAATACATAATGTATAAGATATATTTTTTCTATTATACGTTAACGTTTTACTATACTTAGTGTCCCGTTGAAACCTTCACATTCTGATTTTGTTTATAATATTAAGAGATTAAGACAATATTAAAAAAGAACACATTAATGACATGATACATGAAATTTTTTTTCATTTGCCTTTTATATGAAACGCTATTTCTATCACGTAATTTTTATTTCAGATATGGATGTCAAAAGAACCAGCGTGTGATATACCTATACAAGTGATAATGTTGGCCTTGTATATAGAGCTACAATTAGGTAATATCTTTTTTTAGTATTATAAACGTAAAATTTATTTAAAACTTGGAACACGCGGTGGATAAGAATATCTTTTTTTTTATTTACTTACATCTCTTTGCGTTGTATACGTAGCCAACGTCTTTTATTTTTTAAACCGCGTGCAAAGCACGAAGTTACTTTTGTCCAAATACTTTTCTTAGTTGTACATTCGTTCAATGTTTCGATAAGCAGGTGTATGCACTATAGATACATTTGTTGTCAAGTATCACGCACATATGTGGGAAATGCATTTTATATTTTTTAATTCCAGGTCACGCTGACATTTCAAAATCGATAATAAAACAGCATTGTCCACAGTATCGTTAGGAATGCAAGATATATGTCTATTTAGAACATATGCATATAAATATTTAGGTATTTTTAATTTATAGATGCAAAGATATGTCTGAATCTTTTACATCTCTTTCTACATGATTATATTTCTACAAGTAGTGAAAGAAAGAAGGAAAATTTTTCAACGTGTATAAGTAGTTTTGTTTCGAGATGGACATTTTACGATCGACATAATTATTTTAGATGGTATCACACTTTACGCGTATTATAATAAAATATTGGTTTAAAGCAAAAACAATTCTTTATTACGTATAAAATTAGACGTTTATCCATCGCTCATTCTTCAAAATACAAGGGTTATCTTTGTTTTCTTATTTAAAGGTTTAAAAGTGAAGCGCCTCGTGGCGCTTTTTCATTCAACGTGACTCTTTTCATTACGCATACCATTTTTTTTTAAATACATTTGTCTTTTATGTATAAAATAATGTTGACGTGCTTATCTATGCAACGTCATCATTCCTCAATTAATTTTTCTAAAAACTTGCACGAATGTTTTTATACGTAGAATGAAATGACGAAAAGAATCGATCTACGTAGCGTTATGTCGTTTTGTTTTTCCTCCCACGTCTTTCACTCTTCTCCTTCGTTAATCTCTTCAGTCAAGACCAAGGTTATCTCACCCTCTTTTAAAATAATCCGGCTCTTGACTCTTGGTGCGCGCGCGGTGCGACGCGAGTGCGCGAGGCCTGAAGAGTCGAATGGGACCGTAGGGGTCCGTAAAGGGGTCGCGTGGAACTCCGTGGAAGGTCGAAGTTTTGCGTTTGCCTTTAGGAGCCAAGCCTTAGGGGCTTTAGAGGCCTGGACGAGGGAGACCGTAGCCTTTCATTTCGACGACTTACTCCGAGTTCGCTTCGTCGTCCTTCATGGCCATATATGTGGCCAGCCGGACTTGACCTATATATTATTATGCCATTGGCGTACAAATGCAACGCGCGTCGTTCGCGCGAGTGTACCCCCAGGGCTTTACCGAGGTTAAGTCTGGTTAAGTTTGTCTCGTAACTCTCGTAAGTCCTTGCCTGCCTGCCGGTGACCAGCAGTGACCATCACGTCTGTGCGACACGGTCTGACGTTTGACTGTTTGACGTTCTACGATAGATTCGATTCGAGATGCGTATTGCCCGTTCTAGACTGGAGGATGAGCCGACTCTCGGCTCATCGCTCATCCGAGTGAGTGGTGTAGACGGATAAAAATCTATAGTTTATGTATAGTTTATGTCACGAACACTATAGAAGGCGGATGAGCCGAGAGTCGGCTCATCGTCCAGTCTAGAACGGGCATAACGTAACGTCGTAAACAGCTCATGCGTAGCGATAGTAGGGAGTAGGGTATCGATATAAATTTTTTATACTTTTACGTTTAAAATTTAAATATTTAACGCGTGTTCGAGATTATTAAAAAAATTGACTTTTATCACTTAAATTAAATTAAACCATTATTCACGTATTTGTGCGTGCGTGTGACTAAAAAGAATACGTTCAATTCTCTCTCTCTCTCTCTCTCTCTCTCTCTCGTATCGGAGGCACGTATTTGTATTATAAACTCCCTTTCCTTCGCTCAAGGTTCACGTCGAGTGCCCTTCGGTCATTCGCCGAATGTCTCATTCTTGACCGGTATTCAAGAAGGCCACGAGCGGCCACGAGACCATTGTAGCTTCACTACGCACCGAACTTGGCCGCGGCTATAAAACGGATCGCGCGCAGAACGGAAGGTCAGTGTGAGCGACAAGCACGCGCTCGTCGGTCGTTCAATTTTTATGCTTGTGTTTTCGCACAACTCTTTTCTTCAATACTGACAATAAAACATATCAGTGTTACAAAGAAGAGAATACGATATTATATATACATATGGCACGGGCCAAATATATATTATATGTATATATTCTTGATGTAACACACGACGAAACGTTTGTAAACGCCAAAGAGAGAATATAATCTTCATTAAAGCGCGTGGTTACAAACTGTAAGTTGCTTTTTTACAATCTCTCGGATAGAGATATAGTTGCTTTACTTTGATAAAAATATGGAGTTGGAAGTATCTCAAGATTTAAAGGAGCGGATCACGAACGATCTGCCATCCTCACCAGCTCCCCGCATGAAGAAATCTGAAACAAAGGACAGCATTTCCTCCGTAGACAGCGACTTGAGTCTTTCTTTCGACAGAAGAGGTTCCAAGAGCGACGAGGCCGACTTGTCGGATTACGATAGCGAGGTCAGGTTCGTAAAGGGACGTGATATTGAACAAGATTCGGGTGCGGACTCTGTGGATGATGTTGCGTCGAAAGAAGTTATACAAGTTATAGAGAGACAAGTGGATGTACCGTCGGACGCTCCAACGGAATCAACGGACGTAACGGAATCAGCGATATCAACGGTTGAGAAAACGACGAATAATTTCGTGATGCCGACGGACGAGTTAGCCGACAAGATATGCGCCCAGGTGGAATATTACTTTTCCGACGAAAATATCATAAAGGATGCGTTTTTATTGAAACACGTGAAAAGAAACAAAGAAGGTTACGTATCCCTTAAATTGATATCCAGCTTTAAAAAGGTGAAGCATCTCAGCAGGGATTGGAGAGCAGTCGGAGCGGCTTTAACGAGATCTAAGAAGCTCGAGGTTAATCCACAAGGGACTAAATTGCGTAGAGTGAATCCTTTACCACCTTTTGATCAGACAGCTCCTTCCAGGACCATTTTAGCGGCTGGATTACCGATAGAGAAATTAACGGTTGAATCTGTCGCTGAGATTTTTAAACCTTGTGGTGAGATAGCGCTGATAAGGGTTCTCAAACCTGGACGTCCCATACCTCCTGAGGTAAAACGTTTTCTCTCTCTCTCTCTCTCTCTCTCTCTCTCTCTCTCTCTCTCTCTCCCCCCCCCCCCCCCCCCCCCCCCCCCCCCCCCCTCTCTCTCTCTCTAACTGGACGCACATCGTTGATGCGAATAACGAATACTTAGCAAAATATTTTACTTTTTTACTGTGAGTCCTACTCTGCAACGCGATATTTGTTCAATTTAAGTTTTCTGTTTAGGTGCATTTTCAAATATAAATTTAACAGATATACTTTATCATATGTAATATATAGATTTAGGCTGTTTTTGTGCGCTATTTTGAGTGTGTTCTGTCCTTGTTCAACTTTATGAAAGTAACAGATAAAACAACGCTTGCGAGCGTTAAAAACGTGGTTCTGGAATTGCAGCCTTAAATAATTAGATTTATAGTTTTCATTTTTGCAGACACGGTTTTTCATTTTTTAGATATAACTCGTAAAGTGTCCATTCAACTCTTCGGCTAAGAAAAAGATAATGTAGCTGCGCGCGAATCAGTCGAAGAATATACCTACGAATTTCAATGGTTTTTACACTTTAGAGTTAGAGAATTTATCTATGTACATGCGTAGAGATGTGATACAAAGTATAATTATATTTTGAAATATTATACTTACATCGCGTTAGTGTTACGTCTTTTTCTCCCCTCTTCGCACACCGTTATGATATCTTTTTGGATCGTATTTCTTATGTTCTCCAGAAGATGCATGAGGTAAAAACACGCATAAAGGACGCAATAAGAAGGCTATACTAATTATCGATAGAAAAATTAATGTAATTTGCGAAATTCCTAGTGTCACAATTTCCTCACGTACTGTCGACAATTCTACAGACTGGAACATTACCGAGTTCTTTGATAATAACCGGTAACACGGATAATGCTTATTTATTACGTTTCCATCCTGTCGCCCGTCAAATTTTCCACAATTGCACTCTATCGTGACATAATCACGGCACATGGCCTAACTCACTGTGACGTAACGTTCGTACATGTTGTACATAATCAATTTATCACACCTAATAACAAGCTACAGTTGATCCATAGAAAACTACATAAGGTTTCCACCGCAGTAGTAGATTATTCAATCGTTACGTCAGCTATTATCAAACACATAATCTATACATTTATATTTACAATATTTTTTTATATCTTTGGAAAAAACTATCTTTTCCAGTTGTATTACCAGTATGAGACATGTACGTATTACCACCTGCAATTCACTAAAATTTAAATTTTCCTTATTAATTATTAGTTTCGATTAAATGTTTTTACCTAAACAGATGAATGACTGTTAAATCTTGGTCGTACAAGTACAAAAGTATCCTATTTTTTGCAAACATCACGTTGCAGCGTTATAATATATGTATATGTATATAGATTGTATACATACACACACACACACACACACACACACACACATATTATGGCGCGCGCATGTGTGTGTGATGTGTGTTGTAAATAATCAGTCGCGGATAGGCATTATGTGTGCTATGCATAAATCTCGTTTTGCATAATATTTTTGAGAGTCGATGATGTCGAACCACATCTAATAACGATATCGAAATAGAAAATAAAATTTTTACACGCTTTTATGTAGGTGCGACAGGCAATCGCCAAAAGACCAGACGTGGCCTCCATCGAGGAGTGTGCCATGGTCGAGTTCACGGATTCAGCTTCCACGCGAATCGCCATGCAAATGGCCTTGGGCGATGCGAAAGTATTTGAATTACGACATTCGGTTGACAAGAGAAGAAAGCACCAGCCTGCGAAGAAATGTAGTCTCAATAGAGTAGCGAGGGAAGACACGCACAACTCGTCCAGTTGTCCCAGTGGATCCGAGCCAGAGGATGGGAGAGTAAGGCTTCAGAGAGGCTTTCAGGGGTATCCAATGTGTCACGTTCATAATACGAGTTATTCCTTCCAAGGTATCATATCGTAAGAAAATATCGTATACTATACAGGATATCATAGACCAATCGTTGATCTATATTTATTTGATCGATTTTAAATAGCTCTTTCTTTGTTAATCTTTCATCGTTTTATTACCATTTCTTTGGTTTTTAAAATTAGATTTCTCCGAACGATTAATTTTTAAATCTTAAATAAGGGTTTTGTCGCAGCAAAAAATTGTTTTCTTTCCCTCGCGATCCTTTTCGTTAGAAAAAAAAGAAAAGTACACGTAATTTTTATAGGATTTATTAATACGTGTAATTTCTGTACTATTAAACTTTTCAATCAACAACGCCTTGAACACGCACGCATCTGTCTTATTATAGCAGGGCCACCATCACCGGACACGTGTTTATCTCGTAAGCTCTCTTCCTGCTCCATATCCAGTTCCGAGAACGGTTTTGTGTTTCGGCGTCTGTCTTCCTGTTCCGGTTCTGGTTCTAGTTCAGACTCTGGTAGACGTTACTCCACCTGCTCGTCTGGTTCCGAAGCAGCTTTCTTTCATCCAAGTTACTCGAATACGTTCTATCATCATGAAAATCGCCGTTACTCTTGCTGTTCTGCCACTGGTTAGTACGCATATATAGCGTATATACGATATATCGTTACGCAATGGACATGTCGATCGCGGGACAATCAATTTTTGCCCGTGGTACATTCTATCACGTAGATATGTAATTTTTTTACGTGTTGCGCAACATATCAATATATGTTTACTCGAAATGATACAATCATTTATTTATCACTTCGTACTTATCACAGGTTCTCCGATGGAGTGCCGGGGAAGTTGCTATATCGCAAATCGTCGTGGATCGGCCGATTATGGACCGTTATCAAGAAGGCTCTCGACATACAGTCGCGATTACGATACGAACATCAGGAGAGGATCCTTGTGCTCTTCAACGTCGGAACAGAATGTATTCTATCGATCGAGAAGCAATAACAGCATCGCGATAATGCACGTGCCTGAGAACGTGATGAGAATGCCATCAGGACCCGATGGTACTCGTGGCTTTTTCGGTCGTTCCGCAAGAATAACGTCTGTGGAACCTATCCATTGAATGAATAATATAAAAGGACTCGTCGATAGCGATAGGACTCAAAAACCGAAAGCAACTACAATATTGGTCAATATACTCGAGGCGTGCTCGATAGAGCTAGGCTTACAAGATTCGAGCAGATTCTGACCGATATTTATAGTTTGTTTCAGTCAACTATATACTATACTGAAATGTGAAATCTAATGCGCTGTAAAACGATATACATTCGTCTCTTGTCACACGTTATCCTCAAGACAGTACAATAATGAAATGTCAGTGAAAATTATTAAACAGATCAAAACCGTTTTAATCGACATCTTATTGGCGTCTATTTTTCTATTCGATATAATACAATTTTTCCAATTCCTTCGATGACCTAAATTAAATACACTAGTGCGAAATTTTATAATAACATCAATGGAGCAATATTTAATTTAAATTTTAAGCCACGTATCGTGGCAGTTTGTTCTTCTGCAGGCTCGCGAGAGTTATATTTAACTTAAATTTTAAGCGCCACGTATCGTGGCGTCGATTGGTTGTTCTGCCTGCAGGCACCTAGGGAGTTAGATCTAATTTAAACTTTAAGCGCCGCGTATCGCGGCGTCGATTGGTTGTTCTGCCTGCAGGCCCCTAGGGAGTTAGATCTAATTTAATCTTTAAGCGCCAAGTATCG